ATTTATAATAATTATTTTATTATTTAATAAGAAAATTATTTTAATTATAATCTTATTCTAAGAATAAATTTAAACGTCAACAATATCTTTCAAATAAATTATTTGACTTAAGTTTTCGTGAGACCACTACACTCAATTATTAGAAAATGGGTTAACCTATTTATAAAGGATAGATTCTTATCCCTCCTTAAGAAGTTGTCGATGTGGGACAATTTAAAAATGCCTCCTTAATACAATTTTACATCAGTTTTTATTGATATAAATTTTGTATCATTTAAAAAGTGATCTTAACAAAAATTAATAAATACATCAATTATCTAAATGATGTAAATTAATATTTACTATCAGTTTTTAAAAAGTGATACGAAATAATAGCTTTTAAATCAGTTTTATATAATTGATGCCAAACTAATTAATTATAACATCACTTAGTATAATTGATGCTAAAACACATCATTTATAAATAAATGATTCAAAATAATATCATTTATTGAAGTGATACAATTTAAGTGATTTAATATGATCTTTTTTTTGTAGTGCATTATTGATATATAAGTAAACATACTTAATGACTCTAAGCGTTTGTTTTTTTTACAGGATAATATGTATATAGGTTATGATGTAGTTGGCATATACTGTCTCAAGCAAACCATAAAGTAAGTCTACTCAAACTATATAGTTGGTTAATCTTCATGAATAAAATATAGTAACTTTAAATCTGAGAACATTAAGGTATAGAATAGTAATGTTTAGGTATTTATAACATAGTTCAACGATAGTAGCAATGAAATTTAGGGAAAAGGAACTTAATTATTCAATATAAATTGAATACCCATGAAGGATTCAACTTAAAAACATAAAGAACCAACAGTAAAACAAATGCAAAAACCAAATAAACTGAAGCAATAGTTCTCAACAGAAATAACAAACAAACTCTAGAAAACATGAAAACATAAAGTGATCTAAAGAGATCACTTCTTCTTTTCAATCTTCACCTTGATATCCTCCTTCTTAACCACAACCTTCTTCACAGCTCCACCATCATCATGCTTAACCTCCTCAGATTCGACCACCTTACCTTTGTTCTTCATATCAACATTCTCCTTTGCTTTGTCTTCTGCCTTAACATCTGCTAACTCAAGAGCAACCTCTCCCACAAACTCCGGATTAGACTTCTCCAAGTGCACTGGTGCAATGCACAACTTCTTTGAAGTTGATGATCCATCAGAGCTTCCAACATTAAGAGGGTAAACACGCTTAGAGGATGGAGTTATTGAGTCAGTAGTCTCTTGACTACACTCCAGCATTAGAGGTACCTGGCCATAGAAAAGAAAAGTAAATTCAAGTTGTCAAAAACTAACAATTGGATGATTAACATAAACAAAGATTATATATATCAACCTGAGGAATTACCTGATCACCAGATACAATTGAGGCAGCATTGACAATGTCAGAAGATTCCTCCACCAATTGTTCCTCAAGTAGTCCATTCTTCTGTAGAACTTTTGAAACCTTGTAGATTTCTTTTCCATCAAAGATGTTTGCTCTCTCAATCCAGACCAGAAAGAGAAATGTCTTCCCAATAAGATTCTTAACCGGATCAGGCAAATCCTCAGGATCATCAATCTACAGAGCATTGAATAAGTTAGTACAGTGATTGGTATGTTTTAACAAAAAAAAGCTTTGTATGTATTATAGTAGCACATACCTCATCAACTGAGCCATCAAGCACAGATGCTGCAGATTCACCAATGATTTCAGAGCAAATTGAATCAAACAGTAGGAGTCTTGCCTCACCAGTATTATCCATGACCTTAGCATAAATCATAAACCTATAACAGATAAGAATGTTAATTAGGTGGCTACTGAAAACTATATATTTTAAGAAAACACAAATCAAGAATAAAGAAGTATTACCTAGCAATGACATTTGTGACCACAGACTTGCACACGTCACACCAGAACCTAGGTTTCTTCCCTTTGTTGTTGACACCATTAACCCCAGCATGGACATGTGTGACCTTCTTATTGCAAGATTTGCAACTAATGTAGTACCATGCCCAATCAGTATCAATGGCATAGATGGTACACATCAGCCTTGCCTTACCAACCTAAGAAAATAAAAAATATAACTTAGAGAAAGCTAGATATAAAGAATGAGAAAGCAAAGTTTCTTACATCCATAGAAGTGATGAGTTCTGAAATTGTGTTCCTTGGAAACTCATCATAATCTTCGTTTTTGGCACTGACAATAGCAAATCTTGGTACTCTCTCACGGAATACACAGATTATACCATCATCCGGGAGTCTAATTTTTAACATAAGAGTTAGCAGGTAATGAAACAATTATGGAGAAAATAGAATAAGAACTATATAATTAGGGCAAGTCTTACGATTGGATAAAAGCAGCTGCTTCAGGGTAGGCTGGATTGACATGGACTTGAGTAGCATCAAATGAATTTGATAAGCTCCTAACACCTAGGTAATATAAGAACTCTAGTAAAAAACTGTCTGAAAGTAGCTACATATGTATTTATAATTGAGAGTAGCTGCTAGGTACCTTTGAATGCCTTTATCTTAGCAAATCGAATCAGGCACACGACAGTCTTGTCTTCAGCAGCTTGACAGGCTGTGTAAACAGTCTGAGCAAATGACCCCCACAAAGTAACTGCAATTCTCACATCCCTAAAAAAAATACAAAAGATCAGTATATTGAAAATATAGAAAGATATAAACTGAGTATGTTGAGAGTTAAAATATCACGTCTCATCTCTCATTTCAAAGTCAAGCTTGCAAGTAGGCTTATTATTAGCCTCAAGGTTCTCCAACTCAGATACCATAACAATTTGACCCATGACATCTGTTAAAACAAATACAAATGTTTAGTATATAATATTGTAAAAGAATAAATATATATGATTTACATATTTAATAAATAGATCACTTACCAACCAAAATGTGGGGATTAAGCTCTCCACTGTGAATCTTTTCGAACTTGGCCAAAGACAGGTAGTTTGATTCAGACTTAGGTTCAGAACCAAATACAGTAGTGGTGTTGACAAAAGTCATCTTGTAGAGATGATTTGTGGGACGGAATTGACCACCAGCATAACTAAGACCAAATGTCTCAATTAAGACCCAATCTCCAACAGTTAGACTGTTGACATACCTGGAGACCAAATCCTTTTTGACAGTGCAATGAATTTTCTTCCCCTGCAAAATGAAGTATTAGTTATGGTAGGAAATAGATAAAATGATGTGTATAGGAAAATTGATATGTTTTGTATTTGCTTACCAGTTCATCAGAGAACACCAACTCAAGAGTCTCACCAGTATCAGAAGTGTACTGTTTCCAGGCGTGAAGGACTTTCACCTGCACTCTCCAGCCAATCTTGTAAGGACGAACATCCTTGAGGTAACCAAAAGTAGCAGCCATTGTGGTCTTTCTAATATTTGTTTTGATGGATAGAGAAGTGAGATGTTTAGTTGCGGATGGTGAGAGTTGAAATGCAAATGAGAGTATATATAGTAAAATGATTTAGGTTAAGCATGTAGAGTTGTGATCACGCAAAAAAATATATTTAGGAGAATAAAATTAGGTATAAAATCTTTGGATCCCAACATAAAAGGAATATGCGTGATTATTAGTTTGTAATCGTAATATATTTCTTGTTAGAAATGGATATAAGAGAGATATTAAAGTGAGATAATCTCGGAGAATTAATGCAGGTACGATTCAATGATTGAGAGGAATATATGTTGTTGCTAAAACTGGAAAAAACGATTCTGGACCATTAAGCTCGGGTACCATTCAAGGTAGTTTGAGAGTAAATCAAACTGATGAGATATTCTTGCGAAAGATATTTGGTAAGTTAGATAGGATTAGGTTTAATAGCAATGTAAATTAAATGCAAATCTAGATATTAAAATGATTTGGAGGTTTTATTAGTTTCCATTTGATAATGTTTTGTCATATATGGTTAAACGAATTGTTTAAAATGGTATATATGCGTTGGATTAGGATTAGTTTTTGGTTAGTTGATTTAATTTCGAAGATATCACCGAGATTATGGTGATTAAGAGTTTTAATGACGAATATTTGACTTCCATTTGTTAGGATTGGATATCTCGTAAACGGAAAATTAGGAATTGTTAGATGAGTTTATTAATTGTTTTGTAAATTTCATTAAGACAAACATTTTGTCAGATTTTATTTGTAGGGACTAAATGTACAATATTTAAATTGTAAAAGGATTTTTGAGGCCAAATCTTCACTAAAAATGTATATATAGATTGTATTTTGATTTGTTAATTTTAGGATTTCACCCGTAGTATACTGTCCCATTTTAGATAATTGTAGAAATAAAGAAAAGATCTGAATGACTCAATTTCGGGTCAGAATAAAAAAAAATGACCCGATTAAATGTGCAATTTGTTCTTAAAAAATGTTAATATAGATTATACACATACTTTTTTTCTTCATCGATTGAGTAATATATGTCTGTTTTAAAAAATTTGAATCATAACATATGCAGAAAAAAAAAAACTAAAATTTATTAACTATATATATTTTATAATAATTCAAAATAATATAAATATAAGATCAAATAAAAGTGAAATGAAAATCATATATTTATGTTTAAATTAGGTAGAGAAGTTTTAGGAAATTAGCTCAAATTTGTTATATTATCATTAAATTATCATATTTGATTTCCTAATCTATAAAAATTGTAAAGAATATACCATAAATAAATAGTTTAGATATAGTAATTAGTTGAGAAAATATATATAATTTAGATTTTATTAGGTATTTTCGTTTTTAAATTTTGCCATAATTTAAGGAAAGATCCGATTGAAGATTTCCGGGTCAAAATCTGAAAAAAAAACCCGACCCAATTAGAGGAGCAAATTTGTACTTCAAAAATGTTAAGTAGATGTCACTATCATTAATAACTGAATTAATATAGTTTAATGATATATGTGCTAAATTTAATTTTCAGCTGTTTATACTGCCGATATTGGTTTCTGCCATTGGAGAACGTTGGGTGTTATCAACAGGGCTTCTTATGGAATTTTTAAACGTAAATACTTTGGCAAAAGAAAAAATTTCTTCATTTTACGCCAATAATTAATCTCTGACATCCTAAATAAATTCATGTCCTCATGAAATTTGGTTATGTGCTTGTCATGCAGGCAGCTTGTCTTAGTGTTGCTTGGTGATCAGCATGGGTGAGTTCGCTGAAAATTCTTAACAAAGAAAAAAAAATCTAAATCTTAAAACCCTCTATGTTTTAACAAAAATATATTTATATACAAATAACATCCATATTTTGAAAGTTAAATATAGCCCTAATATCAAGATCGTTGGTCGTAGAGACTTCAAGATGATTAAACATGTAAAGGATTACTAATTCAATAGGATATATTGGTTGTTTTGTTCGAACAATATAGGTTCCTTATGCCACGACCGTGCTTGTACCGGGAGCCATGTTCGTGATGCCATCAGTAAGACTTTATCGCTTCATGGTCATTAATAATGGAGATTTTTTACGTAGTATTGCTTAACCATAGCTTGAATTTGATTGTAGATTTGTGGTATTGCCTCAAGACAAGTTGGATCCGGTGAACAGGTAAAACCGTAAAAATATTTTTCTCTCCTGCCAACTTTCTATTGCTAATATTAACGTTTTTAAAGAAGTGTTAGAAAAGAAGAGGGGGATTTAGAGTATGAGCCAATTTCTTTATTTTCAATTTTTTTTTGAGTTAGAAGCTTACAAAGCTAAACATGGTATTGAATTCTAAACACAAGCTAAACTAACCTGAACTGAAATTAATCTGACCCGAAATTAGTATGGTTAATCCAACCCTGAACTAGTGTAGCCAGTCAAATCCCAAAATTAGGTCTATAATGCTATCTTGGCAAGATAAATTGTTAGAAAAACTATTATTTTTTAAGGAATGTTAGAAATCTCACATTTAAAATAAGAAGATATCTAAAATAATATATAATGGAAAACCACATTTCATATGATTGAATGCCACCGTTTTCAGTTTATTATGTATAGTTTGTTTAACAATTACTCCCTCTGTCCCAAATTATAAGAGGTTTTGGCTAAAAGCACAAGGATTAAGAAACAATAAATGTTTTCTAATTTATAAAAATTCAACCAATTAAAAAAAAGACTGCATAATTTAAACAGTCAAAACTATTAAATAAGTATAAATAGTGCATTGAAACTTGAAAAAATCTATTAAAATGGAACAAAGAAAAAACCCTTAAACCTCTTATAATTTGGGACAGAGGGAGTAACATATTAAAGACAAACAAGATTAATTATTATAGATTCATCTTTCTAATTTAGTACCAATCAAATGTTCAATCAAAGGACGATGATGATGTTTTGATATCTACTTCCATCTCACTCTAGGGGAAGGTCCAAGGATGCATAGCCGGGGTAAAGTCCTTAGCTGGAGTTTTAGCTCCATGTATATTTAGTCCATTAACAGGTACGTAAACACATCAAAATGAACTTTGAACTTCATTCATTACTATCTTTTATAACCTTAATTATTATCGAGATTGAAAAAAGTTCTAAAGCGTTCAACATATAAATAACTAGAGTTGGTTAACCCTCTAACCGGCTTAGTAGAAGTACACGAAACCGATTTCGCCGCAGTGATTAACCGAGTAGACCATGGCTTAGACTTGAATGATGAACATAAAAAGAGAGTGCCTCGCATAAGATTTGCAGAGATCAAAGTCATAACTTTTGTTTTACTATCTATCTACTCTTTGCATAAATACAATTTAAACAAGTTCAAGTCTATTAACACGTGGCACCAAGAACCATATATGCAGCATTGTGGTTTAACACGTAATCTAAACACGTGGCAGACTTCTAAATATTACACGAAACTCTCGTGCTAAACCTAGGCTGGGGTCGATTCTCATTGGTCACTTATGGGTCAGGTTTGATTCTCTATTTTTCATTATGGAGTAGTTTTGGCGGGAAAAGTGATCCCGCAATTTTTCCCGCCAAAACACTTGTAAATACTTATAAAAACCTTTAAAATACCTTGTAAAATTTTCCCGTAAAATTTTTTCCCGCCAAAAAATTTTCCCGCCAAAAAATTTTTTTTGCGGGAAAAGTGATTCCGCAATTTTTTTGGCGTTAAATTTTTGGCGGGAAAATTTTTGGCGGGAAAAATTTACAAGGTATTTTAAAGGTTTTTTACAGGGTATTTATAAGGTTTTACAATGTATTTTAAAAGGTTTTACAACGTATTTATAAGGTATTTATAAGATATTATAAGATTTTACAAGCAATTTTATAAGGTTTTACAAGTTATAAGGTTTTACAAGTTTTTTATAAGGTTTTACAAGTTATAAATACCTTATAAAACCTTATAAATACCTTGTAAAACCTTTTAAAATACATTGTAAAACCTTACAAAACACTTGTAAATACTCTGTAAAACCTTTAAAAAACCTTGTAAATTATTCCCGCCAAAAATTTTCCCGCCAAAAAAATTTCGCCAAAAAAATTGCGGAATCACTTTTCCCGCAAAAAAAAATTTTTGGCGGGAAAATTTTTTGGCGGGAAAAAGTTTTACGGGAAAATTTTACAAGGTATTTTAAAGGTTTTTTACAAGTGTTTTGGCGGAAAAATTGCGGGATCACTTTTCCCGCCAAAAAATATTTTGTATTTTGTGGACCTAATTTTGTTTCAAATAAGGGTAAAATGGTCATTAAAAATTAAAAGAGGGCAAACTTAAAAATGGACTCTCAAAGAGGGCATTTTTGAAAAGGGGTATTGAAAAAGGGGCATTTTTAACAATTTCTCTAATTTCATTGAAAGTAACCAATTACAAGAAGAGTATAATTGAAAGCATTACTATTACACAAAAAAGTAAATAATATTGAAATTACCGAGAAATATAAACATCAATTTAAAAACATGACAAAACAAAAAGATTGAACTATTAAGAAAATCATTGAATTAAAAACATAAATAATTATTAGTATGTGGGTTACAAATCTGAAAATACATAAAATAATTTATTGTAAATTACTATTATAAATTTATTTTCCACAATATTGGTGTCAAATAAGATTACTAAAAACTATTGAATTAACAACATAAATAATTATTAGTATGGGGGTTACAAATCTGAAAATACATAAAATAATTTATTGTAAATTATTATATGAAATCTATTTTCCACAATATTGGTGTCAAATAAGATTATTGGTTTCATTATGGTAAATTAATGAGAATACTTAAACACTTTAATAATAATTAAGGTTAAAAAGAAATATAGTTGTCATATTTGAATTTTATTCTCTACATTTTATTGGTCTTAAAAAGTATGGAGGAAAAGAATTAAAACTTAAAATATTGAAAAATAAATTAATGGAAAAATATTTATTGAGTTAAATAAATATAGATTGCAGTATATTAATGTGGATGATTAAGAGATGAAAAATATGACACATGTCAAGCATTTAAAATGCCAAATGTCAAAATATTAAGGCAACTTTAGAAGAAACCTTCTCATATTATATAAGATTTTGGTTTGATATAGCGTTGTTTCTCTCCGAAAATGCACCGTTCTATTTCCCTGGATTCAGCCTTCTATGTATCGCCTTCTCTTTGGTATTTTTTACATCTACAACTATATCAATTATATATACGTTGATTGTTATTATACTCATATTAATGACTAGCATTGCTTTACTTGCACAGATGATTGGATTCCTTCAGAGTCTTCTGTTAAAAGATCTTCATTCTCCATTAGTGAATAAAGCAATCAACAAGACATCATAATAAGAAGCTTCACAAGAGATACCTCATCATGAAGCAAATGCAACTTGAATCTTGTAAAAATTTGCTCCAAAAGTTTATTTGTAACGAACTCGGAGCTAAAGGTTGTTAAAACCCACTTACTTTTCTATACATTTCATTTTTGCAGATTGTTTTTTCTTTTTTGCTTGAGTAGGTAATACTGATCATTTTATTTTCACTGAATGAAAACTTATTCATTTGGTAGTTGTTGGTGACTGCGTGTAACTGATCACATCAACATATTTTGTTGTTTTTGTTGAATAAACTAGCGGTTCAAAATTTTGATCGCTAGTCACCGGAATCAACCAAACAACATTTGGTCACAGTAGATAGTTCCAATTGCATTCGACTGCTCAAAGAATATTAATAGAACTTGATCATGGACTAGTCAGTATCGTCAGGCCACTAGGCCTCATCATGTTCACAGATGTTCTAGTGCTCATGAGTTACATCGAAATTTGACATGCAAAAGGATAATTATAGTGGAAAGGATATAATGATTTCATATGATATCGAAATAAAATCAAGATTGATCTTCACAAAGCTTTTCACTGAGATTTATTCTGGATGTGTTGATAGCTACAAATTTTCCTACTACCTATATGAAATGGATCCATCAACAATAAGGTTTTCAGTGACTTTAAAACAATGAATTGTGTGGATATTTGCAAGGGAAATAAAGGTTTGAGACAAAGAGATATTTTATTCTAATACCTCTTTATCATTGACATGTATATATGTGTTCTCCAGGATGCTTGATTTGAGATTTACTCCTAGACTTGTGACCTTTGGTATGATATTTCTCTCATTGCAAATGTGGTGTAGATGCAAAATCCTTATGATTTTTTGTTTAGCACCAATCAGAAAGTTCCATAAAGAAAAACCCGACATCGTAACAAGTCTCATAAGTCATAACGGAGTGTTACAAATTCTAACAGACACAAGGAGTTTCGTTGATCTTGTGATCGTTTTTTTTTTGTTTGCTATAAGATCTTATGGTCTTAGAAACGGTAAATCGTAAAAGAGAATTGACCATGTCTTTAGAGGTAATCAATTAACTAATGTCTACGACCAGGATGACTATCATGACGGAATTCACAGTGGTAAATCGCATGGCGGCTTGCAACGCAATGATATGAATTATTATAGTCTTTATAATAGTATTGTAAATATTTTTAATGTGTTAGTATAGTATTTTATATATAAATCATCTAAAAATAAAAATAGATAATCCCTTTCAAGACGGTTTCAAAGGGATTTTCATATCATTTCCGGGGCATATTCAGCACTTGAAGTTGATGATTTGTTTTCTAATTTTTCGTCTATCTATGTGAATAGTCGTTCTTTTCAATAATAGTGTACCTAATTTATCTTGTGATCGACTAGGTGCTTTACATGCATGTGAGTGATATCAGATTGTACTTTATTGTTATGAAATGCCAAGAAATGCCAAGAGCCTGTCGAAATGTTGGACAACAGAAAGAAAACAAAAGGAAGAGTCTCTAAATGATTGGCTTTTACTCAGGGTGATTTTATATATCCAGATATCTCTTTCATATTTGCTTTAAATTTGTGTAGATAGCTGATAATATGCAGCTATTAAATTGGATACTTTATGTGATAATTCCATTTAATCCTACAAGAAAATTAGTCGACAAAAATCTATAGGCAGCTTTCGTGATACAATTTGTGACGGTCTAAGATACAAAACTCACATTATTGCGATGAATATTCACACACTATTTGCAACGAAACAAATTTTAATATATATATATATATATGGTCGACCAACCTTTCCGTGCTTTTCTAATTTTTAACAAACGTTTAGTAACATTTTTTGACAGAATTTGTCACTCTGCCAAGGATCGTCGCAGATATTGTATTTTATGCGGTTGATATTTAATGCAATTTGCGAGAATTCTTAGACAACGTAACACTAGTGCCTTGTAATTTTTTCGTAAAATAAACTAGATTGTGACATTAGATTTTTGTTACCAAAGTGCGACAGAAACTATTAAATTCTTTTTTAAGTTATTGCAGTTCTACAGAAAAAAAAATGTCTTTCTTTAGTCACACATAATTTTGCGATAATCTTTCATGCCGTAATTTATTTTTATAAAATTCGTTATTTTTGTAGTCTCTGTTCTGCTCTTGAACTGTTTATTTAGTCCGTTTTGCTAAATTAATACTCACTACATAGCAAAAAAAATTTAATACTAACTACATTTATTCTACTTGTTTCGTTAGATTTGTTTGTTCCATACCGTTTGTTACTTATCGTGATACAAACATTTAAACTAGAATTATGGTATGTCGACTACTGATAAATTTTTATTTAATTACGTAATCGTCTAGATTTATATATGTTTTTAATGCAGTTGAAACGGTCCACTACCAATATTTTTTGCATAGCCTTAACTTCATATCGATCGTAGTTATTACAACATGTCACATAATTAGTAATGCGTAATTAAAGGTATTATACACAAGAGATGGTGACTAATGATCGAGTCGGCCAGATAATACCAAAAAAGTCCTCAAAAGTCTGATGTGATCTCCCATGCTTCAACCGAATTTTTAAAATAAAGAATTAGACTGAAAAAAATATCTGCCGGTGAAAACACACTTTGTACTATTTTCAAATAAGCTTTCTTTATGTAAACTCAAAACCAAAAAAACAAAATTGTAAACACTTTGTGTGTTTTGTTTCTCTTCTGAATCGAAGTCATCAAACATAGGCTAAAAGGTGATGGAGGATGGAATTGGAGGGCTGAGACACATGTTGACGACGGTCTTCTTTTCTGCCTTCGCCGGATTCATGGTAGTACCTGTGATTACCGATGTTACCGTCGCCGCCGTGTGTTCTGGCCCAGACGACTCATGTTCTCTAGCCGTTTACCTCACTGGTTTCCAACAAGTGGTACCAACCTGTACTTCTTCTTTTAGTCTCTGTTTGGTTTCTTGATTTTTAAAGGTTTTGTTTTTTTAATTGCTTAAACGAAGCATGACATATGCTTCCAAATGTATGTATCTAAACATGATTTTGAGAACTTGTTTTAAAAGATGATCGGATTTGGCTTTGTTCTCAAGCAAAGTATTTTTAAAGAATGAAAATAAAAAGCTTTTAAAGAATTTAATCCTATTTTTTATTCAAAACTAATCAAGGCTTTGACTAGAAGCTTGTTTTTTTTTTTTTTTTTTTTTTTTTGCAAACTGACTAGTAGCTTTATAACAGAGTAAATTTTCTTTTTATTTAGATTTACTCTGCATTTATTTCACTTATAGATTAAAAATAGAAAAAAAAATTCGAGATTAAATTTTCTTTTTTTCTCTCTAGTTTGTTCCTCCTACTTCTATTTACTATCCCGGACATTTTACCAGCCACGGTCTAAGTTTTTTTCTTTCTACTAATTTATTACAATTTAATTAAATCTTGCAATTGTTAAGAAAATTTAATTATTTCACTTAGATGGTTTTGGAAAATAGAATTTTTTTTTGTTAAACCGATAGGAGTTCCGGGGTTTTGACTATAATATCTCCTAGTACTCGGAGTTAGCCTTTAGATATTCTGATTAAAATAATACCCCTCCGTACAAAAAGAAGCTAAAACCCATAAAATAGAAATTAATATAAAATTTGATGTAATTAATAAATATGCTTTAGCTTTTTGTAAAGGATATGCTTTATTTTATTTTAAAAGATTTTATATAAAAAAAGAGACAAAAAGCAATTAAAAATAGCTTTCTTTTGCTGTAAAAAAAAAATAAAAATCGTATGTTATGATATTGATGATTTTTTTCATGAACTATCAAATGAAGGCGATAGGGATGGGGACAATGATAATGATGCCAGTAATTGGGAATCTATCAGACAGATACGGGATTAAAACAATCCTCACACTTCCTATGTGTCTCTCCATTGTTCCTCCTGGTTAGTTTATTTGTCTCTCTTTCCTTTTTCTTTTTCTTACTTTTTCATTCGTGAGAGTCACTAACTCACTAACGCATGAACATGACTCACTAACTATATTAAAGGATATGATAATGTGTACGTTAAAAATGCTATGTGCATTGAAAGTAATGCGTGGAAGTAAAGAAGCTTTACCCCACTTCAACACAACACGCGCATGCATATATATCGTCATTTGCCCTACCACTTGTGTTCACCTAATTAACAAGTACCACTAGTTTAATGCCGACGCAAAAATATGAATCATTTAAACTAACTCGATCTATATAAACTTTATATAAAAATTTTCATTAAATCTTATTTATATGTGAGATTACTGTATCTTAAATGTTATATAAATCTAACACCTATAGCCATAAAACACTAGAATTAGTGGAATAGTTAGTTGGCTTTCTAAACTAACTCATTAAGAATTTGACCATATATACTGGCATGTGTTCGGTGTTCCCAAAGAAACCTGTAGATGTATTACATGGGATTTTTCGTATTCTCACTTTCTAAATATTTTCGATATTTGCTTTTGTCTTTTTCTCTTTCGACTTTTTAAAATCACTTTAAAAATATTGTTTCATATCCTTTTTTCTTTTCTTATTTGTTCTTTAAAACCACTTTAAAAATAAGAATAGAACTATTTTTTTTTTCTGAAATTTACCCAGTTTGACTCAAAACTTAGCAAAAATAACTAGAATAACTCTCAATCCAAATGGATAACTAAACTAACTCAAATTTTATGTTAAAAAAACTATTTAACCATTCATTATGCCATTTCCTTACAAAAAAAATTTCGTTTTTTTCTTTTGAAAGTAACCAATATTTTTTTAAATTAAATAAACTGAATAAATAAAAATAACAAATTTAAAAAACAAAAATCAACAAATCGCAATTTAGGTTTTAGTTTTTTTAATTTTTTTCATTCTCACAGATTTCCCAGCCATGCCTCTTCTTCTTCGCTTTTTCTACTAAACCCTAGCCATCTCTCTTTGAATAGACCGCTCCCACAAACGACGACGACGATTTCGATTGGGTTAATTTAAGTGATGTTTGGATTTCGCAGCCGCTGGAAGACATCGTTTTTGACGATTCCTCTTATCCAGTGGTGACTATTCTTCTTCTCCGGCCACACAAACGGCGGCGCGAGGAGTCTGCCTTTCTCGATTTCATAACAGTTTCTTCTTGGTAACTACCAAACATAATTTTGTCGTGATAAAATCCGACTTCAAACAAAAATTATAAATTTGTCATAATAAAATAAAAATCTGTCATAACACTAAAAAATATGTTGTCAGTAAATAGGTCATTCCAGTAATTTATTTTTAATTCAATAAATCTACTATGAAACACCATATTTTTGTAAATTAAACATAAATCTGGCATCACATAAAAAAAATCTTTCATAACGTTAAACATATCAGTTGCGAGTATATGTCATTCTAACAATTTTATTTTTTTCAACAAATCTGCTATAACATTCCAGATATTTTGTTAACATTAAAAAATCTGTCATAGCATAAAACAAATCTGTCAACACTAAAAAGTCAAACTAGTAATTATTTTTTCATTAACTAATCTGCTGTATTATGACAGATTTTTTTCTAAAAATATAAGTCTGACGCCACTAGAAACAAAAATCTGGTACACATTATAATAAAACTGTCAAAATTACGAAAATCTGAGGCGTCATCATAAAATAAGTGTGGCAAAGGAAAAAAATCTGCTACAAGTTAAATATATGTCGTAACCATATTCAAATAAGTCTGTGGGAGGAAAAAAAACTGTCGCATTAACAAATCTGCTGTATTATGACAGATTTTTTCCCAAAAATATAAGTCTGACGCCACTAGAAACAAAAATCTGCTACACATTATAATAAAACTGTCAAAATTACGAAGGTCTGAGGCGTCATCATAAAATAAGTGTGGCAAAGGAAAAAAATCTGCTACAAGTTAAATATATGTCGTAACCATATCCAAATAAGTCTGTGGGAGGAAAAAAAACTGTCGCAGAAAATCTGTCGTACACCATTAAGTCTGTCGTGGAAAATAAATCTGTCACAACGACGCCCGCAGACTTTTCACGGCAGATTTGTTTTTTTCAAAAAAAATTCACCCACGTTTCCAAAAAAATCATAGGGTAATATTGACTTCTTTTTTTTCCTAACAAAGAGAGAAATGGTATTTTGGTCATGAAAATAACTAGATTGACCCATATATTTTAGGGTACATTTTATGAGTTATTCTGGTAATTAAACCTTATTTATGGGTCAAACTAGTTTTTTTTTTTTTCTTATTTCTTCTTTAAAATCACTTTAAAAATAAGAAAAGAAAATCATGAATATGCGGTTGATTATGTGATTTAATTTTGACAGTAATTTTAGGATACAGAAGAGATACAAAATTCTTCTATGTGTATTATATAAGCAAGATTCTGACCGCTATGGTATGTGAAGGCACCATTGACTGTCTCGCTAATGCATATGTGGTAACTCTTCTTCCACCATGATTTGTTTTCAAAACTTAATAAATTGTCGTTATAAGAAAATATCTATCATTTCTATAAATTTAACGTTACATCATTTTAATTTTATATATAAAAAAAAATCCAGGCAGTAAATATTCATGGCAGTACAAGAATTTCAGCTTTTGGTATTTTAGCTGGTATCAAAACAATTGCTGGACTTTTTGGAACATTAGTCGCTCGTTTTCTACCCATAGCTTTGACTTTTCAGGTATAATTTCATCACCAAATTAAAATTAACACATTGAAGTTAAATTCTCAAGTGATACAAAATCAATTATTATTTTTTCTTGGATTAATTAATTAGGTTTCTGCTATATCATTTCTCGTTGGCCTAGTGTACATGAGAGTTTTCCTACAAGAAAATATATACGATGATGATCATCATCATGGTACGTATCATCAAGAGGATCATCATGACAGTACTAATGCCACAATGTTAGCAGAGCCGATTCTGAACGAGACACCCATTAAAACACAAGTCTTTCGCAAGAAATATTCTTCACTGAAAGATATGATCAGCTTGATTAAGACTAGGTATTTCTATATGCCTTTGTTTTTATATTTACATATAGGTACTCATATATTATTATTCGAAGTGATGGATATGGGTTTGATAATGCAGCACTATATTCTTTCAAGCATTGGTTGTTACATTCTTCAGCAGCTTTTCAGATAGTGGAATGGAGTCTGCTTTCTTGGTTTAGCTCATACATTATATACTTATCACATATTGAGTTTTTCTCTATATTAATGAAATAATACGTATGATTTTTTTTTCTACCTATGCAGTACTTTTTGAAAGCACGTTTTGGATTTGACAAGAAACAGTTTGCTGATCTCTTGCTGTTGATTACCATCGTTGGGTCTATCTCTCAAGTAAATATATTACGAGTGATTATGTGTAGATAATATTGTATAAACCTAGCATTAATTTATACTTTATTATATGAACAAATTTAGTACGTTAATTCATTGCTAAATGTTTTCTCAGTTGTTTGTACTGCCAAGATTTGCATCTGCCATTGGAGAACGCAAGCTTTTATCAACAGGGCTTTTTATAGAATTCATAAACGTAAGCATATTTATTTTATGACTTATGCTTCTATTGACACCTTAAATAATCGATCTTGTTATATATAAATAATAAAATGGTGCATATATGGGTTTGTGATGCAGATGGCCATTGTCAGCATTTCTTGGGCACCATGGGTGAGTCAGTCAAAACTAGGGACCTAATTCAATGTTTCATCTCAATATGATTTACTTTTGTTTTTTGTTTTCGATTTCGCAGGTTCCTTATCTCATTACTCTGTTTGTACCTGGAGCCTTATTTGTGATGCCATCGGTAATTTGACATAGTTATTAGTTAGTCATTACTGCTTTGCTAGTTAATAAAGTTTGTAAGGAATCTTACATTGAAAATGAAATAAGACCTAGAGTAATATATAATGTATTGGAAATAATATCTCACATCGAATATTAGGCAAGAATCTTAATTAATTGATAAATAATGATGATTAATGGGTTATATTGGCCAATATAATAGTATGGAAAATACCTTCATTCTCAAATGGTTTTAAATTTGATGTCTAAAAATTTTAAAAGTTTGAACATTTTCGGTTGTAGGTTTGTGGTATTGCCTCAAGACAAGTTGGTCCTGGTGAACAGGTAAAAGCTAGTTTATTGTTATTTATATATTTATATTTTTTTTCGCCAAACACCATTTCATTAAGTTATCGAGCAAAGACTCTCTTCTTGAGAGAGACAATCTGAAACCAATGTAGCTATTTTATTGTTATAAATATTGAATATTGGTATTTGATTTTTGTTGTATAAACATGTATACAAAAGAACAAAAAAGCACACAAACTATTGTTTGAACTGATGTAGGGAAAAGTGCAAGGATGCATATCTGGAGTGAGGTCCTTTGGCAAAGTAGTGGCACCATTTGTGTTCAGTCCATTGACAGGTTTGTAAGGCCGTAAGGACAGAAATTACTGCTAAGTTTAATTTCATTCATATCTTTTGACACATTTAATATATTGGTTCCATGTATATAGCATTGTTTCTCTCGGACAATGCACCGTTCTATTTCCCTGGATTCAGCCTTCTTTGTATCTCCTTGTCGTCGGTATGTATGAACATCTCACCCATCAAGACTACCTTTGATTTGATTTTATAGAGGAACTAATATGTTTTGCATGGGCAGTTGATCGGGTTCTTTCAGAGTCTACTGATTAAAGATGTTCCTACTCCACCCTTAAACAAAGCAATCAACAAAACATCAGAGGAAGAAGTGTGATTATATGAAATTCATCATGTATAAATGAGAAGAGTGTATATGGCCTTGTAGCTTGTGACAAAAATATATATATGTAATTGATATATTCAAAACATGATCATAACTTCATGTGATCATTTGTTTTTTCTAAACATGTTCAAGTCCTGCTTATCTGAGAATGAGATCACAAATTGCAATGATTAAGAAAAAGTTGAGAAAAACAACCTCATTATGAAAAAAAAAAGTGCATGATTTTCGAGAGTCATTTTCTCCTCTGCCACAAAAAAACAACCTCATTACTAAAAATATCATTAGTTTCTATTTCATAAAGTTTTTCTATAACACAAGTTTATGATCCCTTATTTGCTTTCACCTTCATATATATACAACACCCTCATACTAAATCACAGTTTGTTGTCTCTCATGCACTTTAGATAACACAGTTTACACCCAAAATGTTTTGGCCACAGAAAGAAAAGGCACACATCATCTCTAGCTAATTACCCTGAATCAGGGTTTTGTGACCAGCCAGGTGGAACTCTGCTCGAGACAACCATTGGCATGGTTTTGACATTGATGTCAAGTGGATGAAACCGGTACTGAATATCGAGTTCGAGGAGGATTTTGATTACTTCTTCGACCAACAACGCCCTTCTTGTGAATCTTTCTCCCATGTTTTGATGGTTAATTTTATGACACAGCCATATTGCTATCCTCACAATGTTCAAATCTTCCACATCTTTTACAATGATATCAGCTTTTGGATACCAATACTCTGGCTTGCTATCAATGTAGCTGCGGTTTTCGCGAAAAAAAAGATCATCAACATCCCGTCATAAATTATTAAGACACTAGGACAAGTGCGGCGTTTTCTTACCTCGATATTCTTTGTTTGATTGCAGCAATCTTTTCAGGAGGAGTAGTAATGTGGACACAACATGTTACTTCATCTCCCATGTCCGGACTACGGTGGTAATTGTGAATTGCTTTCTGCCACAGAAGAATATTCGGATACACAATCTTCAGATTGTCAGCTCTCAAAAACACTGTTGTCAGAATGTTCATTTCCTCCACCACCATCTGTAATTTGATCTTGTTAATTACCTTATTAGATTCATTAAATAGACTCAAAACACATATTTTGGTGTTTTAGTACCTCTATAGTGTCGATGAGTAACCGATCACCAACATCGTAAGGATGAATAATGAAGAGGAAGATAATTGACTCGAAGACGGTCTTGAGAGAGTTCCCAAACATGAAGGCTAAGAGTACAACTTGTGAAGTTAAAAAGAGAAGATACTTGGAAGTGGCGATTTCAAGAAGGATTAACCATATGACTACAATGACAATGGCAGTGAGAAAACTAATCATATGATGTAGTTTGTTCACTGCTGTTTTGGTGTCATTGAGTGTCAAGGCAAGTGCTCTTCTTTCTCTGAAAGCATTGACCTAATTAAGCAGGAGCAACACTTTAGTGACATATATACATAATCAGAAGAATAAAAACTTATTTTCTATGAAGAAGAAGTACCAGCCAGTTCTTCAAGGCTGATTTGGTAATCTTTTTGGTCACTAATGCACCTTCGAAGAGACACATTGTCTTCATCGCCTCGTCTACTCGCAGAAATCTCATCAAGTCCTCCAAGTAGATGTGTCTTTTTTACATGTAGATTATGGATTTATTAGGTCCTAGGAATTAAAGAAATTTTGTTAAAAGAAAGAGGAGAAATTGTAGACTCACTTTGTACCAGGTTGAGCTACGTTCTTGAAAATCTTTCTTGCAGCTGCTTTAGCTTCTTTTTCGCTACGTATCTGTCGGGTGGATTCATCTTCAGATGTGTTTTGAAGCGCTTGTTCGTCCAATGTAGTCAGGGAAACATTTCTCACAATCTTCATCAGCCTCTTCATGTTCCAAGCTGAAACATTTTTCTGATTCATCTTGTGTAAATCATCCATTGTGATTCCGTTATCAGTTCCCGTCTTTGGGATGATTGGAGAGAACTTTGTGTTCATTGTACTCCCGCTTTTTTCCTGTGGAAACGCAGCGGAACAAAGTTCGGGTGATAAATCGGCTCCTCCTTTCTGCATCTTGAGGATCTCTTCTTGCGCCCGATCTTCCTCTTCCTCAATCCTGCTCAATTCAAGCATTGGAGGTCCAGATAACGTCTCGATCAAGTAATGATGAAACAGAGCTTCTTGAATCCGATCAAAATAGGTACTAACGTGGAACGAAGAGGCTAGAACTTTCACCACCAGTGTCTTGATCAGCCACAAGACGGTGCTCAACAAGAAACACACCAAGATTTTGGACACGAGAAGAAGAACATCGCTCTGTGTTTCCCTTTCTACTTTCTTGTCAAACAAGAAATGCCAAGCAAGAAGTACGAGGCCGAGCCAGAGACAGTTCTGAACAGCGGTCTTCACACCATAGACGAAGTAAAGAACCCGTTTCCTCAACAAGAAATTTCTTTCGATAAAGAAGACAATGATTCGTATCCCGCATCCCGAAACCAGCCTCCCGCAGATGAGAACCAACAAGACCACTTCCCATTTCCACAGATGAAGGCTCCAAAGAGTTGCATTTCTCCACGTATGAAGCGCTAGACTCAACACTAACGCAACTACGAGTGCGATCAAGCTCAGCCATTGAAGCAATGTTATCGCGTCCATTTTCAACCTTCGATATTCCTGTGGAACATCTTCCTCAGCCAAAGAATCATCTTCTTCCTCAATATCATCGGACTGTCTCCCAAGTAAACCGGATCTTAACTGATCCGATGTCCCGATCCAACTCGAATACTGTTGTTCCTCTTCTTGTGGCGGATCTATCAACCTCGATCTCGCCTTCGCCCTTGAAACTAGCTCTGATTTCCTCATCGATGAACATCTTACAACTACCTCTCCTTCCTCCTCTAACTGCTGCTCTAAATTCATCCGCATTGTTGCCGAAGAAAAAGAAGTGGAAGACGTACAAGAACGTACCGAACCAGACATATTATTGGTTCCTGAACTGTTGATTTTGAAAGAGACTCTCGTTTCTTTCGAACCGGAGATATTGTTGTTGTTGCTTATATCCTCTGTTTCCTCTGTTTCGTCGTTCACATCGAGTGTGATCTCCTCACGGAATTGCGGGAAATCAAAACTCCCGCTCTTCCGGTTTCGCAAGTGATCATCGGGTGCAATGTCTTCCCAGAACTTGTAGCTATGACCATCAAAGCTAGAACCAGAGCTCTGAGTTTTAGCAATGTGGTTAGTATGATCATCTTCATCGTCAAGAACCGAGAGTTTCTTCTTCTTCTTCTTCGTCTTCTCGGTTTGGTCTCCCGTGCTTATAATCTGTTTATACGAGCTATGAGAATTAAAGGGTTGTCGAAAATCCATCGAAAGAAAAAAAGAAAACACAAAATTTAGAATCTTTAGAAATTGAAACAGAAACTATGAAGATGATGAATTAGTACACAAAGGTTACGTTATAGTTTGAAAAGAAGAGTTACGAGTATTATTTTTGTTCTCTGTTACTTAACTTACTAACAATTATAATTTGGTTTAGGAGTTTTTAAAACCACTATGAGTTGGATAATGACTTAATATAGCAATTAATTCGTCATTTGATAAACGATCACTAAATTTAATGAATGTGTTTACACATCTCACGTTCTAATTTTGGTCTTTGATTGTTTTCGTTATAGGGTGGGCACATTTATTAACATTTAACAACACCCAACACAACATTTCTTTTAGTCATTTCGTCGAACACTTTGCGTGCATGGCTTATTGTTCTTGTTTCTCTCGTTCTTATCGTCATCATTAACAAGGTTTGACTTGGGTTTTGATTCTTTTCTTTATTTTATGAATCATCATTATTAGATTAGACTACATAGCTTTGCTCAATAAGCAAGAACTAACTTGGTTATTGACTAATGATTCAATGTGTAGATGAGATTAGGCTTAAGTTTGAATTAGGGAAGATTAGTTTAGAGATTATAGTTGTTACTTAATCCTAAGCACATGTAATGTAAGAGTAGAGTCATAGATGTTTAATTGATTGGTGAAGAATTCTTGAATGGTGATTAATGAACTTAAAGATGTCAAAATTGTGGTTATAGGAACTAATTAATTAGATTAATGTTTTGTTTGGTTACAAAATTGTTGACTCGTTTGAGACAAAAAGAAATAAACATCAACCTGTGTTGGGTTGTTCATCAAAATTTCAGGCAGGTTGGTTTTGTGACCAGCCAGGTGGGACTCTGCTAGAGACAACGGTAGGCATTGTTCGTACATTGATATCGAGTGGATAAAACCGGTGTTGAATGTCGAGTTCGAGGAGGATCTTGATCACTTCTTCGACTAAGACGGCTCTTCTTGTCCATCTTTCAGCCATGTCTTGGTGATTAATCCTATGACATGGCCATATTGCTAGTCTTACTATGTGCAAATCTTCCAAATCTTTTACAATGATTTTGGCTTGTGGGTACCAATACTCTGGCTTGTTGTCGATGTAGCTACATTGCGGTAAGTTAGTTAGCAAAAATAATCAGCAAAATCGGTATAAAAAAGCGTTTATAAGTCTTACTTTGATATTCTCTGTTTGATCACGGCGATCTTTTCAAGAGGAGTAGTAATGTGGACACAGAACTCGATTGCATCTCCCATGTCCGGACTGCGGTAGTAATTGTTGATTGATTTTTGCCACAAAAGACTATTCGGATACATAATCTTGAGATTGTCGTATCTCAAGAACACCGTAGTGAGTATGTTCATCTCCTCTACCACCAACTGGATTTAATTTAGTTAACCTTTTGTTAGCTAATTAAGAAGATTCTTGCGGGTGACATTGTAAAGGCGCATGCACATACCTGTACACTGTCGATCTCACAGCGATCACCAACATCGTAAGGGTGTACGATGAATAAGAAGATGATGGACTCGAAGACGGTCTTGACTGTGTTTCCAAAAATGAAGGCCAAGAGTACAACTTGTGAACTTACAAAGAGAAGTACCTTGGAGGAAGCAATTTCAAGAAGGACAAGCCATATGACTACAATGACAATGGCAGTGACAATATTAATCATGTGATGGAGCTTGTTCACTGCTGTCTTGGTGTCGTTGAGTGTCAGGGCAAGAGCTCGTCGCTCTCTGAAAGCATTGACCTAATCAAAGTCAACAACGGAGTGATATATATACACAGCAGAAATTAATCTGGTGAATCTTTTTCTAGTAAGGTCAATGCAGAAAATTAACAATTACCAGCCAGTTCTTTAAGGCTGATTTGCTAATCCTTTTGGTCTCCGGTGCACCTTCGAAGAGGCCCATGGTCTTCATCGCCTCGTCTTCCCGCAAAAATCTCATCAAATCCTCTAGGTAAATGTACCTTTTGTCATTCAGATGAGTCTATTAGTGAAAATTAAATTGGATTCTAATAATGAAAGTAATTGTAAATGGAGACTCACTTTGCGCCACGTTGCTCAACGTTCTTGAAAATCTTCCTTGCAGCTGCTTTTGCTTCTTTTTCGCTTCGTATTTGTCGGGTGGATTCATCTTCGTACGTGCTTTCAAGCATCTGTTCGTCCAATGTGGTGAGGGAAACATTTCTCACAATCTTCATTAGCCTTTTCATGTTCCAAGCTGAGATGTTCTTATGATTCATCCTGTGAAGGTGTTCCATGCTGATTCCGTTATCAGTTGTGGTTTTCGGGATGATCGGGGAGAGCTTCGGATTCAACACTCTCCCGCTTTTACCAGGTGGAAAAGCAGCCGCGCAAAGATCAGGAGGTAAATTAGCACCCGCGTTCTGCATCTTGAAGATCTCGTCTTGCGCCCGCTCTTCCTCTTCTTCAATCCTGCTCATTTCAAGCATGGGAGGACCCGATAACGTCTCGATCACATACTGGTTAAACAACGCTTCTTGAATCCGATCAAAGTAAGTACTGACGTGGAAAGAAGAGGCCAGAACTTTAACCACTAGTGTCTTGATCAACCACAAGATAGTGCTTAACAAGAAACACACCAAGATTTTAGTAACGTAAGGAAGAAACCTGCTCCTTGTCTCTCTTTGTACTTTCTTATCGAACAAGAAATGCCAAGCGAGAAGAACTAGGCCGAGCCAGAGGCAATTCTGAACAGCTCTACGCACACCATATACGAAGTAAAGAACACGTTTTCGCAAAAGGAAGTTTCTTTCGATAAAAAAGACAACGATTCGGATTCCCCAACCCGAAACCAACCTCCCACATATAAGAACCAACAAGAACACTTCCCATTTCCAAAGATGAAGGTTCCAAACTCTAACTTTCTTCCAAGACTGAATCGACAAACTACACGCCAATGCAGCTATAATAGCGATTAAGCTAAGCCACTGGAGCAGTGTAATGGCATCAAGCTTCCCTCTTTTATACTCATCTGGTACATCTTCTTCCGCTAATGGATCATCCTCTTCATCAATATCACCAAGTAACCCCGATTTCAACTGACCCGATCTCCAACCCGAGTAAGGCGTTTCTTCCTCACGTGGCGGATCTTGAAGCCTAGACCTAGTCTTAACTCTCGAAATAAGCTCTGATTTCCTCTGAAACGACATGTTCGAAGTACATCTCACAACCTCATCCTCCTGCTGTTGTGGCTGCTCCTGATTCGTCCGCATTGTAGCGGACGAAGAAGTAGTCGAATGAGAAGACGAAGAAGGAACCGAACCAGCAACAAACGTACCACCCGCTCTACGAACGTTAAAAGAGACTCGCAATTCTCTAGACGCATCAAACGAGGTTCGAGCCGTTGATGTAGGCGTAGGCATTGTCTGGTGACTTACATCATCATTTTCTTGATCAACATCAAGTGTGATCTCTTCATTATTTCTACCTCTCCATTGTCGATTCATAGGTTCTCCAGCGACCATTTTCGTTGGAGACTCCTCAACCGGTAGCTTCCCGTGCGCGAAATCGAAACTACCGCTTAATCTATCGCCTTTTCGAATATTAGCGATTGGATCTTTATCACTTGTTCTCACCGCCGTGTCATCCGTGGATGTTCCAGTGTTGTCTTGCCAAAATTTGTAACTGGCATCACGTTCTACAGGTGCGTTACGACCATCGTCGAGGCTAGAACGAGTGCTTTCGGGTTTCGGGTCATCGATGACCATGCTGGAATGGTCAGGATGGTGATCGTGATCGTGGAGGATAGGAAGATGTTCAGGGCTTGGCTCGCTTTGATCACCGGGGCTTCGAATTTGTTTGTATGAGCTATGAGATTTGAAGGAATTTCTGAAATCCATTTGAAAAATAATAAATTATTAAATCTAGAGTGATTAACAAAATTACGAATTTTTAGAAAAAGAAACAAAAACTTCGCCGATTGTTGTGATGCATGGTACAAAAGCTTACGTTAATTAGGAATAAGCGTTACGTGTAAATGTAATGGCATCATAATATAAGAATATAAGACTTGTAGATTATTTACGTATAATACTTTTTTTTTTGGTCCACTCCTTTGTTTTGATATTGGTATATGAGAATTTTAAAATTGGGCGAATCTAAAAAAAAAATTCATGTTTTGCAAAACGATTCCAACTCTAATTTTTATTTTATTTGATCCAACTCTAATTTTTATGACAAAACACACTCCAACTCTAATTTTTATGACAAAACACACTCTTATTCAAATAATCAAAGACCAAACGTTCACGAAACATGAGATGATTAGAACAACAACAACTATAACAACAACATGACAACTACAATTCAAAAACAAACATCACAAAAATTAAAGCCTAAACAAAGTCCCTAAAGATAAAGAGAATTGGTGTTTACCCATATAGCTTCAGTATTGATCAGTCTTCTTCTTCTTCACTTTCGTCTTCTGCGTCCTCCATTTCAACATCACCTTCATCGCCAAGAATCCATTGTTCAAGCTCATCTTCTTGTGCTTCTATGTGTTGGTGTATGTCTGCAGAGTCCCAGTCGTCTTCCCCATCATTTCCAAGCTCTTCTCCACGGCAAGAGACCTGTAAATGTGATCGTCTCCTCGCCAAAGCATCTACGATATCTCTGTTTACACTTCCTGTGATCCCTAACCATTTAAGCCTCGGGAAAAATGGTTTCTTTAGCCATTTGAATGAGAGCTGCGTGATGCCTCCACAGTCGTAAAGATCCAATAAACACAAGCTACTTCCAGGACATTCGTCTTCGTAAACCCGTGTAGATGCAAGAGCCATGACTGAGGCATCCCCTATGAGTCTACACTCTCTTAGTTGCAGTTTTGTGATTGGGGCTCCAGATTTTGCTAGAGCAAAAATGGCAGCATCCGTTAGATTAGGAAGATTAGACAAGTCGAGTTCACGCAACGCCAGTTTTGAGGATCCGTCAAATAAGGTAGACATGAACTTATCTGTTAAATTTCTGCACCCTCTGACAGATAAAGAAACTAAGGAGTCCAAAACTCCCTCTTTTAGGTAAGAAAGCCCCGTGTCGCTAATATCGGTGCCATCAAGAAGTAAAACCTTCAGTTTTGGCAGATGAGACACAGCTTTTAAGGTTTCATCCCTCAGGTTTCTGCACCCTCTGAGGTCAAGATTCTCCAGTTTAAGACTTGATGCCAACTTTTGAATTGCGTGGTCCGTAAGAAGATGGCACCTTCTTAAGCTAACATGACTAAGCGATAGAGTAGTTGCTAAGATGTCATGGAAGACAAGATCTGTCAACTTAGGTCCATGATATATGCTAAACTTAGAGAGGCTAGCGCAAGAGTGCAGAATAGTCTTGAAACCAGCATCTGTTACCCGACAAAAGCCACCAAGACAAATGCTTTCCATGCCCAAGCATTTGTCAGCAAGAAAAAGCATTCCTTGATCACTAACTCGCCGGAAGTAAGTAGGGTGAAACTCCTGGCTACGGATTAGAGAGAGGTGCTTCAGCTTACCGTTTTGATTAATCTCATGAAGCCCAAAATCCGTCAGGTCTGATAGTTGCCTTGGATCCTCAAGGGGCGCATCTCTTATGTCCAAATCTATCAAAGATGTAAGAGATTTCGATATCGCCTTAACCACAGCATCAGTAATGCAATCCACTGAGAGGCGCAACTGCTGGACATTTTGTAGCACAGTAGATGTAACCCGGCTGCTGTCTTGCCCCGAGATTTCAGTTGATGTAAGTAGTTGAGTCATCATCCTTGACGAGATGTGTCCTAGCTCCAGATGAGTCAATTTATCAGATACCAATCCAAAAATGCGACCATCACCAGGACGCAGATACAATGAGAGGTCAAACATGAGTGCTAAAACCTGCCAAATACAACATAAACGGCATGATTCCATTACATAGACAATCAACACTAGACCAGATATATACCATCAAAAGGTTGATTAAGGATTCAAACCTCTAAATGGGAGCAACCGTTTAGTAAATCTTCGAAAGCACAACGGCTAATACTTCGACCAACTTTCTCCGCCACTGAACCCAAACATAGGAGCCTGATGTTTCAGGAACAATGACCAATCCGTTAGACACAACAATGGAAAGATACTTCATTTAGCAGATGCATCACACACATACCTCAAATCCTTGCATTTCCTACCGATTTCAGAGATAAGATCTCCGCTGAAATCGCGACAATTGTGAAGAGAAATCTCCCTCAGAGAAGGACGTACCAATATATCAATAGCTGAATTACCAAGCCTTCCACAATCAAGCTTGAGACTTGAAAGTTGTTGATTCGGAAACAACAATGGTCTAACAGTTTCCATCGACAATGAAACATTCTGAAATCCAAAAACCACAGCACCAGAGATAAAAAGAGACAAAACTTTTTATACAATTTCAGAAATCCAAATCAAAGCCTTAAAGAAATGTGGAGACTTACGAAGATGTGGAAGTTAGGAGTGAAGGTAAGGACACGAGTAACACAGCTCTTAAGTGTTTTGCAAGTAGAAGCCAACGAGCAGAGAGACGCAACGTCAAGCTTCGTCATTATAGTCTCCAAGAGAGCCGCCGGTAACAGATCCAGGCTTCTCTCTCCATCGCAACCGTCAACATCTCCTCCTCCGCCACATAAGACGGTGGTCGCCATCGACGGAGTCTCTCTTTCCTGATCAAGACAATTGCGGAAATTGTGGCGATCTCGTTCTGTGTCCGACCGATCTCATCTTTAAATGTCTGAATTTTTAGATTCCCCCGATCCATTTTACAAGGACATTAAAATATTTGATATAATATAAAACGTCAACGTTTTATCTAGGAGACCGAAATAAGTCCCAACTAAAACCGGAATTTAATTTCGGTTTGTTCAGTTAGATTCGGTTCGGATTATTCTCTATCCGGTTTCGGTTTGATAAATTATGGTTCGACTCGGTTCACATGTTCACGACAATCCGGTAACAGATTCGGGTCGGGTCAAATCAAATCGTCGATAAATTGGTATCGAGTTCGTAATTTGCGTCTGTCTCCGGCATTTCTCAATCGCATCAATGGTGGATTGGTCTACACTTCCGAAGGATCTCTTAGACCTAATCTCAAAATCTCTAGAATCTTCCTTCGATCTCGTCCAATTCCGTTCCGTTTGTTCTTCATGGCGATCCGCCGCCGAGCCAAAACGTCCGCTCCCAACACATCACCTCCCGATCCTCCCCGATAACGGTGGTAGCCTCTTCCCTGATTCCGCCGTAGGTTTCCGTCTCTCGCAGCGGAGTATCTTACTTATCAAGCCTCATGAACCACCACACAACGAAGCAGATTCGTTTGGATGGTTGATCAAAGTCGAGGAAGACCTTAATGTTCCTCGTAAGGTGACTCTTTTAGATCCGTTATGTGATAAAAGAAACTCAATTCCTGAGAATTTCCCTCGTGTTCTCGATATGTCGAAGTTTAAGGTTCGAGAATTGGGTCGAGAGTTTAAGCTTCATTATTTCAATACTGTTGGTGATATTGTAGAGAGTTTGTATTTGGAGAAAGCTGTTGTTAAGTATCTAGATTGTGATGTTGAGTATAAATTTGTGTTGCTTACGATTCATGTTTCGGGGAAGTTAGCTGTGTTTAGGTCTTGGGATCGAGCATGGACTGTGATTAATGACATGCCTTCTCCTTATGATGATGTGATTTTGTTCGATGGATTTTTCTTTGCTGTTGATAACAACGGGAGAACTGTGGTTGTGGATTACAGTTCTTTGAAATTGACGTTGGTCGCGAGTCCTGTGTTTGGTGGTGATAAGAAGTTTTTGATTGAATCTTGTGGTGAAATGTTGCTTGTTGATATGTATTTGAGCTTAGAGGCAGTGGAAGGGGATCCTGGATTCGTCGAGGAGATTTTCGAGCATCCTGCGTTTTATATGAATGAGAGAACGGTTAAATTTAAAGTATATAGATTTGTAGAAAGAGAGGAGAGTTGGGTTGAGGTTGAGGATCTTGGGGATAAGATGTTGTTTCTTGGTGATGATTCCACCTTTTCCGCCTCAGCTTCTGATATTTTACCTACCAGTGATGGAAGCTCCGTGTTCTTCAATGGTAATGTCTTCAATGGTAATGTCTTCAATGGGGAAGACTTGGGCGCAATGCAAGATCGAGATTTGGGAGTGTTTGATTTGAGGACTGGCAAAATAGAGCTGGTGCAAAAACTCCCTGAATATGCCAAGTTGTTTTGGCCTCCACCTCCCTGGATTACTTCTCATGCGGTCAGTAGTTTTGAAACTCTTAACACCTGAAATACCCGTTTGTTTAGGATTGTTTTCTTATACAGTAGTTGTGTATACACTACCTTGCATTTGCATCTCGTGGCTATGGAAACTCTGTGACAATATCCTTATATCAATCAACATCTTTCATCTTTGCCATAGTCTCTGAGCATGCATTGGGTTTCTTGTCAGTTTCATGACTGTTGCTTGTCCCTAACCGCGACATTTTGAGGGTGGTTGGACAGTCAAATCCATTTGCCTTACTGCTATTCTGTTTTCTTTTCACGTTAGTCTCACTAAATGATGCTCATTGCTAATATGCGAAACATTTACCGTCTCAGTGTGCTGAAGATCATACTGGAGAATCATTATCCCAATCTTGAAAAACATATGTATAATCCGGAGTTCAAGATTTTGGAGATGCTATGGTTACTACAGTCTTTTACGAAAGTTAATCTCTCTGATACATATGAGATTGAGAATCCACAGAGAGACTACAACTTGAATCACATGTTAATGTTTTTTCTTACTTTGTATGAACTAGTAAATCAATGTTTTGAATTTAACCATCAGTGTGAAAATCAGTAACACGTGAAATATATATTACTCTAAAATTTGAATTAGATGAAGATGTGATGTCAGAGCTGCACCACTAATAGTTGTCTTGTCACATTACAGTTAGTACATCAGAGACCCGGTACCAAATTGCTTAACCGGTACCAAATTGCTTAACCGGTACCAAATTGCTGAACCGAAGTCCGGTATACAGCGATGTGGTGTCGTCCGTCCGGATGGTGAGTCAAAACGTATGGATAATGATTGAGTGATGTTGGAAAAGGATTTACGGCAAAAAAACAGAGGCAAATTCGTTACCAGTTAAAAAATGGCGGCTTTGCTCCAGACCGTCCATGGTGGTAAACCCAATTACCCAACTTGTAGACTCTTATTCCTCATTGATTCTTTCGGTTTTGGTAACTAGGGTTTTAAAGTTGTTCCCTTTTCTGAAAACTGTCGTATAGACGAGAAACTCGAATTGATGAAAACGAATTCTGTGTAAGGTACAAATTTTTATTCAGTTTCTCTGTGTAGCATTAGTTTCTCTAATTGATTGGAATTGAATAGGGCATTTGGGCATAGAACGTATGTAATTTAGCAATTAGAGCTCAGTTTCTGATTCAATTCATCGATATCGGTTGATTTCTTATTCTCTACTTGGTTATACAATGCAGGTGTGGTTGTTACCAGAACCTTGACTCTTGTTTATCCTGCTACCTATATGTCCAGGCATATAGCTCTGAACCATATGACAAGCAACAGTAACAGTGGCTTGGGACGGTTTCTTTTCACTCCGCCTCAGCGGCTAAGCCAAGGTATCTGTTACTTGGGAGTAGAGCTAAGCAATGTGTCATGGACTTACAGAACCAAAATGGTGGTTCGGTGCAAGGCCGGAGCAGTGCCTCTGATGAAGCAAGGCGACCGGTTTCTCTCCTCCCTGTCGTCCCCAGCCTTAGCTGGAGATCCGTCAGTAGTGAACCGACACATTAAGAAGTTTGTGGCTGCTTCTCCCAAATCAGTGGCTCTCAATGTCCTCTCTCATCTCCTCTCTGATCAAACTTCCCATCCTCATCTCTCCTTCTTTGCTCTCTCTGTGAGTCTTTGTTTTCTTCCTGTTTCTCTCAATCATATATTGTTAGAGGTGAATGACTTTATATTGCTTGTTGTTTTCTTCTCCAGTTGTATTCGGAAATTACCGAAGCATCGTGGTTTGATTGGAATCCTAAACTCATTGCTGAACTTGTTGCGTTGCTCAATAAACAAGAAAGATTTGTTGAATCAGAAACTCTAATTTCTACTGCAGTTTCAAGGCTGAAGTCAAATGAACGAGACTTTGCTCTCTTCCTCTGCAATCTGGTTGATTCAAATTCTAAACAAGGGTCTATACAAGGATTTGATGAAGCCTGTTTTCGTTTGAGAGAGATAATCCGAAGATCGTCATCAGTTTATGTTAAAACCCAAGCTTACAAGTCTATGGTTGCTGGATTATGCAACATGGATAAACCTCATGATGCGGAAAGAGTTATCGAGGAGATGAGAGTGGAAAAGATAAAGCCGGGATCGTTTGAACATAAGTCTGTTCTATACGGGTATGGAAGATTGGGATTGTTTGACGACATGAACAGAATAGTGCACAGAATGGAAACAGAAGGTCACAAAATCGACACTGTTTGTTCAAATATGGTTCTCTCTTCCTATGGAGCTCATGATGCACTTCCCCAAATGGGTTCTTGGTTACAGAAATTGAAGGGTTTTAATGTTCCTTTCTCCATAAGGACGTATAACTCGGTCTTGAATTCTTGTCCTACCATCATATCACTGTTGAAAGACTTGGATAGCTGTCCGGTTTCTCTTTCTGAACTGCGTACTTTTCTGAATGAGGACGAAGCGCTTCTGGTCCATGAATTGACTCAGTCATCAGTTTTAGATGAAGCAATTGAGTGGAACGCGGTCGAGGGTAAGTTGGATTTACATGGTATGCACTTGAGCTCATCGTATTTGATATTGCTGCAATGGATGGATGAGATCAGACTTAGATTTAGCGAAGAAAAATGTGTGATTCCTGCCGAGATAGTAGTTGTTTCTGGATCCGGAAAGCACAGCAATGTAAGAGGAGAGTCACCGGTAAAAGCGCTGGTTAAAAAGATAATGGTGCGTACTGGAAGCCCGATGAGAATTGACCGGAAGAATGTTGGTAGTTTTATTGCCAAGGGAAAAACTGTAAAAGAATGGCTCTGCAAATGAAGATTTATAACTGTATATTTTGATCATTATCTGCTTAAGATGGTGTTGATTGGTGATTCCGGTGTTGGTAAATCGTACATGTTGCCAAGATTCACCAGGAATAAGTTTTGCTTAGAATCAAACTCGTGGTGTCAAATTTTCTACCAGCACTAATCAGGTGAGTCGTAATTTTCTCTTCACACTCTTAAAATTACCTGCGTGGGAGTAAAATCCTGAATAGCTGGTTTAGAATAAGAGAAATTTGAAGAAAAATGATTTCAGATTTCAAGTATATATGTTAAACCCTAGAGCTCTGTGAAATTTGAACAATAGCTTGTTTGTCTCTGTTTCTGGTGTATCTTTAGCTCTATTCCATGAAGTTTCTAGTCTTGAATAATGTGTATAGTTTATTTCAAGCAATGGCCCTGAAGCTTTCTTTAGTTTGTTTAAAATTGCATCTGCTTCAGCCCTTTGATTTGGATGGCAAATAAGTGAAAGGTCTTGTCCCTATAAGGTTTCTTCAGATTAAAGGTATTGATTTCTCTTTTGTCTTCTTAAGATTTTTATTCAAGAGAGAATCTTAGATGTGCTTTTCTCATTTTAAGAGTGCAAATGGATGGTCGTGAGGGCCAATTTGTCTTCAAAAAGTTATTTTTCATGCTTGACCTTGTCCACCTTTGAACTCTCTTAAAGTCAACCGATAAAATTTGTAGAAAAGAAAAGCTTTTTGTTCCACCCATGATGGATTGGGCAAAACTCCCAAAGGATCTCTTAGACCTGATCTCCAAATGTCTAGATTCTTCCTTTGATCTCATCCAGTTCCGTTCTGTATGTTCTTCATGGCGATCCGCCGCGGGGCCAAAGCGCCTTCTCTGGGCACATAACCTCCCGTTCTTCCCCTCCGTTGACAAACCCTTTCTCTCCAATGTAATCCTCCGCGTCGCGCACGGGAGTATTTTACTTATCAAACCTCATGAACCGCGATGCGAGGCAGATCTGTTTGGATGGATTGTCAAGGTCTGGGATAACATATGTATCTCGTAAGATCACCCTTCTCAAACCGATGACTTTTTCAAGAAACTACTTTCCTCAGAATTTACCTCGAATTATCGATATGTCTAAATTTAGGGTTCGTGAATTGTGTCGGGAAGTCAAGCTCTATCATCCTGATTACAACTGTGACCCTGGACACCCACCTTTAGAGTTGGAGTTGGGGAAAACTGTTGTCAAGTACCTGGAGGATGACAAATTCGTGTTGCTTACGATTCTTGAATATGAAAAGTTAGCTGTGTTTAGGTCTTGGGATCGAGCATGGACTGTGATCAATGATTACATGCCTTTCCGTTGTCAAGATTTAATAATGTTTGATGGACGTCTCTTTGCTATCGACTACAATGGGACAACTGTAGTTGTTGATTACTCTTCTTTCAAATTGACATTGGCCGCTAATCCTTTGATTGGCGGCGGTGACAAGAAGTTTTTGATTGAATCTTGTGATGAAATGTTTCTGGTGGATATAGAGTTTTGCAGAAACAGACCGAATGAGGATCCAGAAATCACCGGGGGTTTCTATTCATATTTTTATGAGACCACAGTCAATTACAAATTTAAATTCTTTAAATTAGTGGAAAGAGAGAAGAGATGGGTTGAGGTGGAGGATCTTGGGGATAAGATGTTTTTCCTTGGTGATGACTCCACATTTTCCGCTTCAGCTGCTGATATTATACCTCTCTGTGCGGGAACTGGAAGCTCCGTGTTCTTCTACACGCATGAGGAATCCTTGTTCGTGATGGATGATCGAAACTTGGGAGTGTTTGATTTCAGGAGTGGGAAAATAGAGCTGGTAAACAAACTCCCTGAATATGCCAAGTTGTTTTGGCCTCCACCTCCCTGGATTACTACTTCTCATGAGGTCAGTAGTTTCCAATCTCTCAACCACCCGTAATAGTGTATTTACATTTGCATCTTGTGGCTATGGAAAATCTGTGGCATCATCAGTAGTCAACAACTCTCATCTTTGCAATAGTTTCTTTTCAGTTTCATGACCGCAACATTTTTGGGACTGTCAAAATCTTTGATCTTACTGCTTCTTCTTTTTTTTCCGCTTAAGTCTCACTAACTTATGCCCAAATATTTACTGTCTCAGCGTGTTGAAGATAATACTGGAGAAACATCATCCCAATCTTGAAATACATTTGTATAATCCGGAGTTTTAAGACCTTGGAGATGACACTTCAGCTTGAATGAGATGTTTATATGCTTTCTCTTAAGTTTTCTAAGTAAATCAATGTTTTGAATTTATTTGTGTGAAAATCCAATGTCTAAACCGATGTCCGGTTTATATATTTGTCGGATCTCAGTTTCTGATTCAGATCATCTATATTAGTTACTTTCTTGTTCTGTAGTTGGGTTACTCATACTCAGCTCACTATACAATACAGGTGTGGTTGTTACAAGAACCTTGACTCTTCTTATCTTTATGTCCAAGGTATCTGTTACCGGGGAGAAGAGCTAAGCAATGTCTCATGGACTTACAGTACCAAAATGGTTGTTCGGTGCAAGGCCGGAGCAGTGCCTCTGATGAAGCAAGGCCAAGCCCATTGCTGAACTTGTTTCTCTGCTCAATAAACAAGAAAGATATGTTGATTCAGAAACGCTACTTTCTACTGCAGTTTCGAGGCTGAAGTCAAATGAAAGAGACTTTGCTCTTTTCCTCTGCAATTTGGTTGAATCAAATTCTAAACAAGGATTCGATGAAGCCTGTTTTCGTTTCAGAGAGATAATCCAAGATCATCGTCAGTTTATGTTAAAACTCAAGCTTACAAGTCTATGGTTGATGGATTATGCAACATGGACCAACCTCATGATGCAGAGAGCTATCGAGGAGATGAGAATGGAAAAAATAAAGCCGGGATTGTTTGAATATAAGTCTGTTCTATATGGGTATGGAAGATTGGGATTATTTGATGATATGAACAGAATAGTGCACAGAATGGAAACAGAAGGTCACAGAATCGACACAGTTTGTTCAAATATGGTTCTCTCTTCCTATGGAGCTCATGATGCACTTCCCCAAATGGGTTCTTGGTTACAGATATTTAAGGGTTTTAATGTTCCTTTCTCCATAAGGACGTATAACTCGGTCTTGAATTCTTGTCCTACCATCATATCACTGTTGAAAGACTTGGATAGCTGTCCGGTTTCTCTTTCTGAACTGCATACTTTTCTGAATGAGGACGAAGCGCTTCTGGTCCATGAATTGACTCAGTGATGTTAATTTGGGCATGGAACCCCCATTTAATAAATGGGTATGTACAAAAAAAATTAACCCATTTAAACCCATTTAGAGAAAAATGTTAAATGGGGTTAAATGGGTTACCCCAATTAAACCCATTTATTAAATGGGATTTACCACAAATAAATGGGTACCCATTTAAGTCCATTTATATTTTAGTTTATATATTTAAAACTAATATTCTACTTAAATTCAATTTTTGATTTAAATATTTAAAAGAAAACGTAAAACCACGTTTCCTATAACATGGTTATGCGATTATGGCGGGAAAACGCGGGTTTACGGTTTTGGCGGGAAAACGCGGATTTACGGTTTTGGCGGGAAAACGCGGATTTACGGTTTTGGCGGGAAAACGCGAGTTTACGGTTTTGGCGGGAAAACGCGGGTTTAAGGTTTTGGCGGGAAAACGCGGGTTTAAGGTTTTGGTGGAAAACGCTATTTTATGGGAAAATAATTTTTGGTGATAAAACGCAATTTTGCGATTTTGGCGGAAAATGGCGTTTTCCCGCCAAAACCGTAAACCCGCATTTTTTCGCCAAAATCGTAAAATTACGTTTTATCACCAAAAATATCATACTATAAAATGACCCATCTTGTGTTTGAGTTTGGTTTACATCATATTGTATGTGGAAAAAAGAAATAAAAGGCAATATCCCACTTAAATGGGTTTAAATGGGTCTACATGGGTTTACCAAATTTAAATGGGCAGGGTTAAATGGGGTTCAAATATAAATGGGTTTATATGGGTTTCAAGTTAAATGGGGTGGGTTTAAATGGGGTGGGTTTAAATGGGGTGGGTAAGCCCATAATAACATCACTAGAGACTCAGTCATCAGTTTTAGATGAAGCAATTGAGTGGAACGCGGTAGAGGGTAAGTTGGATTTACATGGTATGCACTTGAGCTCATCGTATTTGATATTGCTGCAATGGATGAATGAGATCAGACTTAGATTTAGCGAAGAAATGTGAGTAATTCCTGCCGAGATAGTAGTTGTTTCTGGATCCGGAAAGCACAGCAACGTAAGAGGAGAGTCACCGGTAAAATCGCTGGTTAAAAACTAATGGTGCGTACTGGAAGCCCGATGAGAATTGACCGGAAGAACGTCGGTAGTTTTATCGCTAAGGGAAAAATTGTAAAAAAATGGCTATGCAAATGAAGTTATAACTGTGAATTTTAATCACTGGATTCACAAGTTCTTAGTTCTGCTTACAAGTTCTCAGTGAAAAAGAGAAGAGTACATTAAAATTTTGTATGATATGACAAAACCAGTAAAATACAGTCACCTAGTTTTTACATTGCATTAAAAAAAAAAAAAAGCTTTTAGTATGTATGTGTTAATTTCTTTTTGGATAATCAATCACTTTAATGGTTAAAAAAATTCCCCACTACAATTATACAAGTTTAGTTATAAAGTGAAGATGCTTCTTATTTTGGGAAGTTTCGTTGATATTGTTGTATTCTGTTTACTGAATAATGTTTGGCATTTAAAGACAAAAACTAAGATAAAGTAACTTTTCTGAAGTTTCCGGGAAACTTTCATATGTTTGTCATATATATTCTTCCTAGCCCCACTAGTCGAACTCACTTGTATTTATTCGGTGTTGTTTGGTCTTTTGGTAACAAAGAAAACGCTTTAAATTTTATAAATATCTACTTAAAAGTCATGTAAGTTTCAAAAAGATAATCTAAAAAATAATGTAACTATTGATTGTTGAGAATTGTGGTGTTAACGATTATACGGGTGGAGGATAGTGAAGGCTTTGGCGCTGTCCATCTAATGATAGACGAAGACCATATGGTCCATTGTCGAGCCAAAGGAAATCGATGATTATAGCCAAAGGAATGAAACCATGTTATAGTCGACACCATGATATGTCTATTTGAGGGTGGTTGCCAAGTGCTCATTAGTGCGATCATAGTAAAGTGAGCAATAAATATATGCTTGTTCGTTGAGTGTCCTTTCTTTCATCACAACAAGGAAATTCACTTTCTTCTCAAATCAGAACTATAATTTTCTCTTTTCGAGATCAAAACCATGCACTCGATCTTCCAATCCCCGATCTAAGACATCGCAAACGTGAACGCACATACTTATTGCGCATAAGGGTTTAGTGCTATCCCAACAAAATTTAGATTATAGTAGTTCATAATGTGATGGATCAAAATTGGTTCATAATCTGCATTCGATCTCCACCACAATAGATGAATTTGGAAATAAACATGATTATGTAGATTGATTTAGAATTGCAGAATGTAGATTCAATGACTAAAGATTCCAACACTAACAACACCATAAAAAGATAAAAAGCCGGTGAGATAACAACACCAAACTTATTGGTGGTACTACAAGATTTGCCTAAAATAAATTACACATAACCTTATTAAATTCTTCTAAGATATATATTACACATGATATACATACTACATGGTTACTTAAAAGCTAAAATGATATAGATTATTTTAAAGCTTGATTAATATATTTAGAACTATAATTTTTGTAACTTATGTTTTAAAATTTATTTTATAATCAATAATAATCGGCTAGTAAGAAAACAAAATTAATAAAAGATCAAATAGTTCCCACAAAGACAAACGACTTCAAGTCCTTAGAGGAGACTTCCCAAGTCAATCTGAGATTTAAAACAAATGGTGGAAGTCCCACAATCAAAAAGTTTTATTCTTTTTCACAATAAAATATAATCAAACTAATTAGTTAAAATTAAAAAAAAAAAATTAAAAAAAAAGAAGAAGAAAAGTGGAGAAAACAGAAGAACCAAGCTCTGGTCCAATTCTCATATGACCATTTCTAAATCTCTTAAGATAAAACCGCGTGGGTTCCATCCACTTTGATCAAGACCTTTCTCCTTCTTCTTCCAAGTAAACATCACAAACCTCTAAAAAGTATGAAAGAAAATAAAACACAATGGAAAAAAATTTCACAAAAGACTCTCAAAATTCAATATGTTAAATCATTCATGCCTCCACATATTATTTATTTTTCTCCCTTGACTTAGTCTGCTCCATCAAAGTACTGCCCCACAAAGAAAATCTTTCACAACATATTCGGTCCTAGTTGTATATAAATGTGCATAGCTTCACATAAGTGATAACCACCAACAACCTTTTCACTTACACAGCTTTTAAAAGAACCAAATCTTGATAAGTGTTTATTTTTAGAGACAGTGAGAGATATGGGAAAAGAGATTGAGCTCCCGGGTTTTAGGTTCCACCCTACAGAGGAAGAGCTTCTTGATTTCTACCTCAAGAACATGGTTTACGGGAAAAGATCGAGTGTCGAAGTCATTGGTTTCCTCAACATCTATCGTCATGATCCATGGGACTTACCTGGTAAGTACATGGCTTCTCCATTTACCTAAAGCTTCTTTTTTCCCTCTCTAGGCTGTGTATTAAAAGACTGATTTTTGATCACAGGTTTATCGAGAATCGGGGAAAGGGAATGGTACTTCTTTGTGCCAAGGGAAAGGAAGCATGGGAACGGTGGGAGGCCGAGCAGGACAACTGAAAAAGGATATTGGAAAGCAACTGGATCGGATCGTAAAATCATAAGCTTGTCAGAGCCAAAACGTGTGATAGGGCTCAAGAAGACACTTGTGTTCTACAGAGGAAGAGCACCAGGAGGAAGCAAGACTGATTGGGTGATGAACGAGTTTCGGATGCCTGATAATTGCTCCTTACCAAAGGTACCTTGCAAACAAAAGCTGTCTTAAAACCTTTTTGTGATCAGGAAAACAACTTTGTTACTCATCTTTGTGTCCTCTTTTGATCAGGATGTTGTGCTGTGTAAGATATATAGAAAGGCAACATCATTGAAAGTATTGGAGCAAAGAGCAGAGATGGAAGCTAAGATGAATCAAACATGTCCAAACTCTCCTCTCTCGTCTTCCGAGACAATCTCATTCGTTGGAAAAGAAGAAAACATGATGACTTCTTTCCGTGTTCCTCAAGTGATAGCCATGGAAGATGCAAACAAGATCCTAACACTTCAAGAAAACGCGAAAGCCGAAGAGAAACAAAGAGAAACAGAGAGCAAAGAACCTTCTTCATCACTGAAGCTACCATTTGGAAGCTTACCAGAGCTACAATTACCAAAAGCAGGAGGTGAATGGGGAGACCAATTGTTGAGTATAAGCCCATGGCTACAGAATCTTACACCAATAGTTAACCTATTAAATTGGTAGGATATGTAAAGAACAAATACATTAACTACTCTTACTCTTATGAAAAAACAGAGCTTGCACCAAATAGTATTTACTCAACTTATATGTATCTTTTGTAAGTTTGTAACATAAGAAAATTACATGTAACACTATTTATAGTCATATTTGACTACACCATTATAAAAAAAAAAAACTAAACTTTGAATCAAGTGGACGATCATTTCTCTCAAGCATACCAAGATAGATGTTGAGATTATCATTACATATGTGGAATCAATGGACGTAGCTCTTGTCTTGATCTGCAAAAGGATCGTGTCTTGGCCTTACACTGACTTAGTGGGACCTTGGAAGGGATGATCCCACCGTTGACCTGACCGTAAACCCATTAATATCTTCATCTTTTCTGCGTAATTTGCTCAATGTGGATGACTCACTAGCCAAGATCCTTGTCCTGCTTCCATCCGAATTGACCAGACCGTTACATTGAGCTGATCTTTGACGGTTTTCTCGGCGATTGACCGAGAAACAGGAGACATAAACCCTAGAGGCAGAGTCATTTCTTTTTTTCATTTTTCATTGGGTTTTGTTTCAGGTTACATTCCTGTAAGTTTAATCATTCCTATAATCATTCTAGAAAACTATAGAAATTTCATAATGTGGAGTTGGATCAAGAAATTTCTCCAAGAAGACATTCAACAAAGTACAAGAGTCTTTGACGGTTGCACAAGCCGAAGATAACAACAATGAAGTTTTAGTTGTCTTTGAACAAGCAGAAACTATTTATAATTCCTATGTTTGATTCTCTATTTAGCTACATGTTTGGACCATAGAATTTTAGCAGATGGTCAGTCGTCTCAAAGCTAATGAAGAAGAAGACAATTACATGTGAAGCGCAAGCAAACATATTCTCAAGGGTTGACTCCGAATTCCAATCCAAGAAGACCTTGACGATGGAGATGTTAAGATCGTAGAGTCATGCATTCAAAATTTTGGAGATGGACTTGAGTCACTTTCAAAATCAGTGATCAAGAGTCTCAATTATTATCAGCTTAGGCCACTAAAAATCCTATAAACTTGTGGAAAAGTTCATAAATATAATTATTTGTAATAAAGGAGCATAGATATAATGAATACAAGATTTTCTCATATAACTCTGTTCTTGTGATATCAATCTTTTTTCATGAATGATCATTAAAGAACCAAAATGCATTTCTAGATTTGCAGAAACTTGATACAACATTTTACCCTCAAATTTCACTCTTTTATCTTTGGCAGTGAAACTTTTTATTTTATGGAAGCCAAAAATAACGTTTACTTGTTTTACATATCATGTGGCATCTCTGAACTTCCACACGGTTGTATGAAATAAAAAATATATCCTCACAAGTCACAAAATGTGTTAAGTAATCCATTATGGATTTGTTAACATGCCATGATCTACGGATACGGATCTTGCCGCTACTTCATCCTAACCACCACTATAATCATTGCCCAAATAGGCTTTCTTTTGATTTGTATAATCATCATGCAAACGTGTAAGCTACTGGAAACAGCTTACCACACGGAGAGACTTACACATATTGCACATTCTACTATAAGACTTCACAGAGAAAAATATAATATAATTCCTTGAATATAGGAATGAGATTTACACGAGTGACATGGCCTTCAATAGCAGACAAGCCAGCTTTGAAGATATATCATTGCAATATTTTTAACCACCAAGAGATTCTTTCTGTCTATCTTGCTTGTGGTGTATATAAGTATTGACCGGAGAGTCATTGAGAAGGCAGAACAAACATTTTTAGCGCTCTCAAAATCTTTTCTTTAATCAAGAAACAAAGAACTTAAAAGATATACACAAAAATGGCAATCTCTTTCCATGTTCGCTCTAACAGTTTCCCCTCTAGACCTCACCCACAAGCAGCTCATGTCGATGAGCAGTTGGCTCGTTTGAGATCTTCTGAGGATGCCTCAACATCATCTAACTCTTCTATCTGCCATAGACTTGAAAACCTTCAAGAGCTACATGAGTCTCTTGACAAGCTTATTCGCCTACCTGTAACACAACAAGCTCTAGGTCAAGAGCAGAACAAGAAAGCCGTCGAGCACTTACTTGATGGATCTTTAAGGATCTTGGATTTGTGCAACATTTCCAAGGATGGTTTGTCACAGATGAAAGAGGGTCTCATGGAGATCCAATCGATTCTACGAAGAAAGCGCGGCGATCTATCTGGAGAGGTCAAGAAATACTTAGGCTCAAGAAGATCCCTAAAGAAGTCATTCCAAAAGGTCCTCAAGAGTTTGAAGGTCAAACAAGACCAAGAGTGCAGCGACGACAAATCCTTGGCAGTGTTTGGAGAAGCAGAAGCTGTCACAATTGCTCTGTTTGATTCTTTGTTTTGCTTCATGTCTGGATCAAAGACTTGTAGCAAATGGTCAGTCGTCTCAAAGCTAATGACCAAGAAGATAGTTACATGTGAAGCTCAAGGAAACGAATTCACAAGGGTTGATTCCGAATTCCAATCCGAAAAGACTTTGAAGATGGAAGATGTTCAGATCTTAGAGTCATGCATTCAAGATCTTGAAGATGGACTCGAATCTCTCTCTAAGTCTTTGATCAAATACAGAGTCTCAATTCTTAACATCTTAGGCCACTAATGCCTACAAAATTTTGTACAAAAGGAATTATTAAAAGAAATATATTCAAGTCTCAATTCTAAGCATCTTATTTCTCATATCTTTGATTCTTTAATCATCCTAGAGACAAGAACTCAGACAGTTTAAACTTCCTGGTAAAACAATTCTCAAATAAGAAACATTGTTTATATCAAATAAATAATAATTGTTTACTTTCACACGTTATCAAGAACAAAATAACTCTGTCCATGTCTATATAGTGGGGAACAATATAATGTAAATGGTACAACAAGAAAATCAACGAAGAACCATTAAAGTCTCCGTGTGCATTCACGTGTCATAATCGATGAATAAGGATCTTGTCTGAATTCTAATTTTGAATTGGTCATGCATTTTGAATGTTTGATCATTTGTAAGTATCAGTGGAAGCCTACGAAGACGTGACATATGGAAAACATTGGACAAGGAACCTAGAAACTGAATTAATACAAGATGTTCTGATATTACTTCTGGTCTATTGACTTCTCTTGTCCACTCTTTCCCATTAAAGAAACAAATCCTTTCAAGATGTAAGAGAATTTTGCAAAACATCAAAACATCTTTTGACCCTTGAAATTTACAGTTTAATCTTAGATGGTAAACCATATATTATTTTACGACAAACATTTACCTCGTTTGCATATTCTGTTTTAAAATCTCTATCTCTGAACCTCCACACGATTTGTTGTTCACATGCCTTTATCTACGAATATGGATCTTACTCAACCAGAAACTACCATTATTAGCATAGTTGTTTTAATAAAAATTTGATGATTAATATAAGCATACTGCAAGCGTGTGGGATCATATGGCAAGCTCATGTGAATGAGTGGATCTATCAATACTTGAGAAGGAAGATTAAAGAGAGAGTAATATTATTTTTCCTCTTACATTTCACACTGAATCACATAACATGGTTGCTGTATAAGTTGCGGCATTTTCAACGTGATTAATAATACTTGAGATTCACATTCTTGAATCAGCATTGTCTATGCCTTGTCCTTTGCCACATTGTATTCTTGAAGTTCACATGAAATAAGAAACGCTTGAAACGAGGTGAGGTCGAATAAATTATTTTCTTAAAACCTTGAGAGATATAAGGATGAGATCTGCACGAATGGCAGGACCTTCAACAGCAGACAAGCCAGCTCTCTTTCATTTTTATGTTTTAAATAAGCACTCATGCAACTTGCAAGCGCATCTCAAAAAAATTTGAACGCTGGGCTGTAAGGACGGTTGGCAAGAGACAAATGATATGGCAGAAATCTTTGATTTTTTATATTTAGCCTCGAGAAGATCCATCAAGAAGTCATTCCAAAAGGTCCTAAAGAGTTTGAAGGTCAAACAAGACCAAGAATGCAACGACGAATCTTTGGCAGTTTTTGGAGAAGCTGAAGCTATTACAATGACCCTTTTTGATTCTGTTTTCTCCTTCATGTCTGGATCAAAGACTTGTGGAAAATGGTCACTGGTCTCAAAGTTAAAGAAACAGAACAAGGTCTCATTTAAAGCAGAAGAAAACGAATTCACAAGGGTTGACTCCGAATTTCAATCCGAGAAGACTTTAAAGATGGAGGATGTTCAGATCCTAGAGTCCTGCATTCAAGATCTTGAAGATGGACTTGAATCACTCTCTACGTCTTTGATCAAATACAGAGTCTCTATTCTTAACATCTTAGGCAACTAATGCGTAGAAATTTTGTACACATATGAAAGAAAAATTAATAGAACCTAATTCAAGATTTCTCATATGAATTTGTGTTATCCATTCTTATTTGAATCTATTATAATCCAAGAAAAAGTTTAGTCCAGAATCAAGAAAAAAAACAGTAATTTAAAAACCAAATCTACACCATTGGCTAGTGAATAATCCCAAATTTCGCAGTTTAAGCTTCCCATTGTAACAAGTTACGTTGTTAGCATGAATGAGTCCACCAAACTTCAGTCCCAAGATTGCTCATAATTATAAGATTATCATGTCTGAATCATGAATTAGGACTTTTTCTGTATTGGATTCTTGACAAAGCAAATATACGAAATTTGATATTCCGCTCGCATTTTAATCATTTAAAAAAAATACCGAAAATGAGAATGAAAACAGAGCAAATATGTTACTTCTCTATTTTAACTTTGTATTTTTATTTTTGACAAAGACCAACTATATCAACTAAACATCCAAAACGTAGACTATATATACATGTCTATGTCAACTATTTTACGCAATTTTTTATGTGATTGTTTGACGAAATACGAGCAAGCTCCATATGAAACAATCATGCCATTTGAATTAGCAAAATTTTCAGATTCTATGTTCTTGTTTCTTGAAACGTATTTGTTCTTTCATGGTAAATGATGCATATACAAAAAAATGAATGAGACAGGGATAACACAGTAAAATAAACGAATAAATCTTGTATTCATTTCTATTGATATTTGTTTTATGTACAAAAATATCCAGGGCTTAGTGGCCTAAGCTGTTAAGAGCGGAGAGATATTCAATCCCATCTTCAAGATCTTGAATGCATGACTCTAGGATCTGAAAATCCTCCATTTCCAAAGTCTTCTCGAACTGATATTCGGAATCACTAAGCCTTGTGAATTAGTTTGTTTGTGCTTAACATGAGACCTTTTTCTTGTTCATTAGCTTTGATGGACCAATGACCATTTGTCACAAGCTTTTGAGTTTTTATCAAGACATGTAGCAGAACAGAGAATCAAACAGAGCAATTGTGACAGCTTCTTCTTCTCCAAAGACAGCCAAAGATTCGTCGTTGTACCTTGTACGCTTGGTCTTGTGCTACTCTTAGAGTTTTTTTTTTATATCTTTTGGAATGATTTCTTCTTGAATATTCTTAAGGTTAATTATTTCTTCATGTCTCTCGAAAAATCTCCATGCTTTCTTCTAAGAATCTATTAGATCTATTTAAGACCCTCTATCATCTACGGAAAAGCAATCATGGAAATGCTTCAAAACTCCAAGATCCTTAGTAATCATAGCTTCTCGACAAGTTTCTTGTTATGTTCTTGAGCTAGAAGATCACAAATAGCTGGATAAGCTAGTCAAGAGACTCGTGTAGCTCTTGAAGGTTGTCAAGTCTTTGGTAGATAGACAAACTTAATCGAGCCAACTGTTCATCGACATGAGCAGATTGTATTTTTGGTTTTATGTTAAAAAACAAGAGAAGATTGTTTGTTATGCATATGTTGCTTCTCTCGTCTCTACATATATACAGCCATCGATTATGGGAAACATGTGGATTCTCATTTTGATTCGAGAGAGCGATGTTTGTGCAATGTCTCCCTCCAAACATCTTCCATGACTCATCCTCGATAAGAAAAACAGATATGATTCAGATTTGATCACATGAATTATCCTCTAAAATAATATAGCCATTCGAGTGAGTCTGCATCTCATTCAACTTGGCTTGTCTCATTTGCAGGGTAAATTATTTTACTACAATTGAAATAAGCTGTTATTTTTTTAATATAATGTTAAAATTAAATTCAAAAAAAAAATATCGTTTTTACATCAAATGCATCTATTTTTTAATAAAGATTTTGATCTTTAAAACACTAATCGCAAGTTTAAAAATTAACTTCGCAACTCAAACCAAGTTTGGAGACCCTTGTCATACCGCTTGCTCAAAAAAGCTGTTATTATCTTCTCCAGGGAGACAAACCGTAGTGGATTGTGCATGTGGAAGGGAAACATTGCATAAACATCGCAGTTTTGTAATCCAAATATTTAATAATAAAGATTGCAAATGATGATATATTTCTCATATGGTATATATGTATTGATCAAAACGGTTGATGTAGCATCTTGAGTTCATCTAAGGTCTTTTGTTGATCACAAAAATAGAGAGGGAAAAAACAGAAAATGTTGGCAATCACTCACACGTTAGAGGAAGAAAGTCGTGGTGTACTAATTTGATGGATCCTTCATGATATGGATTTATGCAAGATGAGAGAGAAGTTCTAGTGCCTCTAAAGAAGACAGTGAGGTGAAGAAGTATTTAAATTTTTGAAAGAACAACACATCAAAGTCATTGATCTTTGAGCTGATGAACCAGGGAGAGTATATCAATAAAAACCCGCATAAACGAACAGTTATGCTCTACCTTTCAATCTTTTCCTCTTTGAAAATGGAGCATGTGTAGATCTTACACTCCTTCAAGATCTTGAAGATGGCTCAAAAATAGATGATGCATATGTGTGAACTGTGCTTGGTTCAATTGCTGAGACAATCTGAGTTAGGTTTGTTTTTGGGTATTACAAAATGGGATAAGGGTTTCCAAGGGGCAAGGGGTTTCAAGTCTGTTCTCGTTCTAGCCAACAATGACCGAATCACACGTTAGGGTTTTGCAGAAAACAGAGAGGTACCTTCTCGGAAAAGCCATTAACGAGATTCAAGATAAATAGTGGTTATGATGTCATTGATGCGTGAGAGATTTAACTATAACCCGGTCTTGTAACTATATCAATGATATATGTCAGAGCTCTCATCCATCTCAGCTCCTACTTGTCTACTTTCCCCCAAACAGGTTTCCAAAAAACTTTTGGTCTGCTTCCTTACACTTTTGGACACATTTGGTAAGTTACATCAAACGGATCCACTTCATAGAAATTTGGTATAACTTGTGTCCTCAAGTTTCTTCCTCTTCACTTGTGTCAATTTAATTTGGGACTCATGGACTAGCAGTAACAAAAATATTTTTACACGTAGTAATATAGAGTAATAGGTTCTCGGATATATGTGTGGACATGACGACAGACTAACTAGATCAAACTTGTTGCTTTGGTTACAATCAAAGTAAGAATGAAAGGCTGAAATGGTATTATTACAGAGCACACGGAAAAAACTATTCTTCATGTATAGCTCACAAGCAGCCTCAAGAAGAAATAAATTTCTACATGGCATTTTATAATCTCAAGGTGCCATTATTTTTTTATTTTATCTACTCAACTCTGTAGTCACCGTGTAATGGAATGTGATTGTTATGTAGAAGGCAAACAAGATATCCGAGGTTTTAGCCAATAGCTAGCCATGGTGGTTCATAATGGAGAGTGAAATATGCAAGAATAGAGTTGTTATCTTCTTTTCCCATGAGACAAGCCACGCTGGGTTTTCCATAAACTACGCCAAAACGCGTTGCAAAGTCTATTGTGCACTTTCATTTTATGTGATCTGAGTCATATCTTTATTGCATATAGGCAATGACTTGTGTAGGGGAACATTGCACAGACATTGATGTTCATGATTCAATATAATAACTTCATATGCAACAAGAGATTCTTAATGTCTCTCTTTCATGATGGTGTATATAAATATTGACCTCAAAGGCAATGAGAAGGCAGAACAAGCGCATCTTTAATTAGCACTCTCAACATCTTCTCATTGATCAATAAAAAAAAAGATAAACAAAAAATGGCTGCCTCCTTCCACGTTCGTTCTAAAAGTTTCCCATCTAGACCTCACCCAAAAGCTGCTCATGTCGATGAGCAGTTGTCCCATTTGAGATCTTCTGAGGAAGCCTCAACATCTTCAAGCTCTTCTATCTACAAAAAACTTGATGACCTTCATGATCTACATGAATCTCTTCACAAGCTTATTTCTCTACCCTTCACACAACGTACAGGCTCTAGCTCAAGAACATAACAAGAAAGCCGTTGAACAGCTTCTTGATGGATCTATGAAGATCTTGGATTTGTGCAACATTTCCAAGGATGCTTTGTCGCAGATGAAAGAGGGTCTCATGGAAATCCAATCCATTTTAAGAAGAAAGCGTGGAGATCTATCTGGAGAGATACAGAAATACTTAGGCTCAAGAATATCCCTCAAGAAGTCATTCCAAAAGGTCCTTAAGAGTTTGAAAGCCAAACAAGACCAAGAGTGCAACGACGAATCTCCTGCTATGTTTGTAGAAGCAGAAGCTGTTACAATGGCTCTTTTTGATTCTCTGTTTTTCTTCATGTCTGGATCAAAGACTTGTGACAAATGGTCAGTCGTCTCAAAGCTAATGAACAAGAAAAAGGTTTCAAGTGAGACGCAAGCAAACGAATTCACAAAGGTTGAGTCCGAATTCCAATCCGAGAAGACATTGAAGATGGAGGATGTTCAGAACCTAGAGTCATGCATTCAAGATCTTGAAGATGGACTTGAATCACTCTCTAAGTCAATGATCAAATACAAAGTCTCAATTCTTAACATCTTAGGCCACTAATGCCCTAATGTACATATATGACAGAAAAAGTTAATACATCAAGATTTCTCATATAATTTTGTGTTTCTTAATCTGATTCTATTATCATGGAAGCAAAAGTTCAGTCCTGAATCAAGAAAAAACAAGAACTCACCTAATCAAGAATTCTACCATTGACTATTGAATCCTCCCAGAAATTTACAGTTTAATCTTCGTGCGGTAACAAGTAAAGTTGTTTACCAAATTACAGCGCCAAGATTCCTCATTATAATACTACAAGCATCTATCTATGAATCCACACGTTTTCAGCAATAATATCTCTCTTCATGTCTTAATGGTGGGATACAATGGAAATAATTCAACATAAAAAATTAGTACACCGTGTTATATTTCACATGTCAAAACCAATGAATTAGGATCTTGTCTATATTATATTCTTGAAAACAGACTTTCATAAATATGAGACATTGTTTTAAAGCCATTCGTGCTTATTTGTATTTTCTTTACTTCAATAAGTATTTGGTGTTTACATTAAAGTAAAGCCACATTGATAATTTTGAACATGGCAAATTAGCAAAGCTTTCTCAATGATATTATACAGACAAGATCCTTATTCGTCGATTTTTGACATGTGAAAACAACCGGAGACTTTATAGTTTTATCTCTTAAATATGGTTTCTTGAATATAATCACTTCAAATGTTTCCCACCATACAGACATGAACAGAGTTATTATTGATGAGAACATGTGAAATAATTCAAAAAAAACTTCATCAATAATGAGTCTAAACAGCGTCAATTAGGTGGATTGAAGTTATTAACGTAATTTGTGTAACCATGAAGTTTAAACTGTTATATTTTGGAAATAACAAGAATTTTCTGATTTCTTGTTATTAGAATGAACTTGTTCTATGATGATTAAAGAGTTAATGATAAAAGAAATAAGATATTTGGAAATGAGAGTTGAATTTGTTTCTATTAACTTTTCTTTTCTGTACAAAATTTTTAGGCTTTTAATGGCCAAAGCTGTTAAGAATTGAAACTCTGTATTTGATCAAAGACTTAGATAATGACTCAAGTCCATCTTCAAGATCTTGAATGCATGACTCTAGAATCTGAACATCCTCCATTTTCAAGGTCTTTTCGTATTGAAATTCGGAATCAACCTTCGTGAATTCGTTTGCTTGCGCTTCACATGTAGCTTTCTTCTTGTTCATTAGCTGTGAGACGACAGACCATTTGCTACAAGTCTTTGATCCAGACATGTAGCTAAAGAGAGCATCAAACAAAGCTATTGTAACAGCTTCTGCTTCTCCAAAGACAACCAAAGATTTGTCGTTGTTGTCTTCGGCTTGTGCAACCTTGAGAGACTTTTGTACTCTCTGGAATGTCTTCTTGAAGGACTTTCTTGATGCTAAGTATTTCTTGACCTCTCCAGATAGATCTCCGCGCTTCCTTCTTAGAATGGATTGGATCTCCATGAGACCTTCTTTCATCTGCGACAAAGCATCCTTGGAAATGTTGCACACATCCAAGATCCTGAGAGATCCATCAAGAAGCTGCTCAAAGGCTTTCTTGTTCTGCTCTTGACCTAGAGCGTGTTGTGTAACGGGTAAGCGGATAAGCTTGTCAAGAGACTCATGTAAGTCTTGAAGGTTGTCAAGTCTTTGACAGATAGAAGAGCTTGAAGATGTTGAGGTTTCCTCAGAAGATCTTAATCGGGCCAACTGCTCATCAACATGAGAGGCTTGTGGGTGAGGTATCGAGGGGTAACTGTGAGAGCGAACGTGGAATGAGACAGCCATTTTTATTGATCTTAGGCTCTTTGTTATTGATCAAGAAGAAAATGTTGAGAGAGCTAAAGATGTTTGTTCTGCCTTCTCAATGCCTCTCCGGTCAATACATATATACAACATCAGGAAAGAGAGGCAAGAGGAATCTGAAGGTGGTTAAGCATCAAATTAGAAAATAAAAATAATGGATCAAGATCTCCACCATATCAGTTCTATGTCGTTCTCCAACCAACCTCACAGCTCAATTCTCTATTTACTTAATGCAATTAGTTGAGAGTTCCATTGCACGAACGACTATTCGAAAACAGAGCTGGCTTGTCTGCTCTTGAAGCTAACCCTTACCTCTCAAAGAAATAGGCAATGCAAAATATTAAAAACAACTTGGAGAAAAAGATTACAAGAAAAAAGTTACATGCCAACATAAATAAACCAAAGTTGTTAATTTTTATTCTCTATAGACTTCCTCAAGGAAAGTAGTTTTTGCCATGTTATGTGCTCTGGTTTAATTTAAGAAGACATACAACTTTCAGAAACTGTAATCTTCATTTAAAAATCTAATTTCCCTTGATCTCACACGCTTGCATTATGGTATTTTAAAAAAAAAACTGTGATAATAATGGTGGTTTGGTGAAAATATTAAAACCATTAATAAAGATCTCCTCCACCATATAAGTTAAAAGTGTCTCCCTCCAACTATATCTATATTTTATCTTAATGCATTGAGATTAGTTTCATTGCAATGAGATATATTCAGACAGAGCTGGCTTGTCTGCTATTGAAGGCAATTAAATGCCACTCGTGTAAATCTCATCATGCCTATCTTCAAAGAATTGAATAATGCAAGTTTTATTATCTTATACAAAATGTCTAACCATGCACACGATCAATAGGTTCTGTCAATTCCAGCTTGGCTTTGTCTCCTCTCTCAGAATTTTTTGTCAATATTTATTAGTCTCTCCGTGTGCTCTATATGATATACTAATCAAGAGAGAGCATATTTGGACAACTGCGATTTAGATGAAGTAGGGACAAGATCCGTATCCGTAGATCATGGCATGTGAACTCTTCCACAATGGATCATGAGATGTAGAAACTTTGTTGATCTTTTTTTCTTTTCTAATTTTGAACAAACGTGTAGAGATTCAGAGATGTCACATGATATTTCAAGCAATCACATGTTTATTTCTTCAGGCCGTTTAAAAAAAGGTTTTACCATTAGAAAATGTATAAATTTTCTAACAATGAGATGGTTTGGTTCTTTGATAGGAGAGATAGAGGAAGAGATATAATTAACAAGAACATAGTCATATAAGAAAAAAAGTTGTATTTCTTGTTTTTGTGATCATTTTTACATTAAATTTCTCTACAAAATTGTGTAGCCATTAGTGGCCTAAGATGTTAAGAAATGAGACTCTGTATTTAATCAATGACTTTGAAAGTGATTCAAGTCCATCTTCAAGATCTTGAATGCATGACTCTAGTTTCTGGATATCCTCCATCTTCAAGGTCTTTTCGTATTGACATTCGGAATCAACCTTCGTGAATTCGTTTGCTTGCGCTTCACATGTAGCTTTCTTCTTGTTCATTAGCTGTGAGACGACTGACCATTTGCTACAAGTCTTTGATCCAGACATGTAGCTAAATAGAGAGTCAAACAAAGCAGTTGTAATAGCTTCTGCTTCTCCAAAAACAGCCAATGTTTCATCTTCGGCTTGTGTAACCTTCAAAGACTTTAGTGCTTTCTGGAATGACTTCTTAAGAGATTTTCTTGAGGTTAAGTATTTCTTGACCTCTCCCGATAGATCACCGCGCTTTCTTCTTAGAATTGATTGGATCTCCATGAGACCCTCTTTCATCTCTGACAAAGCATCCTTGGAAATGTTGCACAAATCCAAGATCCTGAGGGATCCATCAAGAAGTTGCTCAACGGCTTTCTTGTTCTGCTCTTGAGATAAAGCTTGTTGTGTGATAGGTCGGCTGATAAGCTTGTCAAGAGACTCATGTAGTTCTTGAAGGTTGTCAAGCCTTTGGCAAATAGAAGAGCTAGAAGATGATGAGGCTTGCTCGGAAGATCTCAAACGGGCCAACTGCTCATCGACATGAGCAGCTTGTGGGTGAGATCTTGACGGGAAGCTGTTAGATCGAACGTGGAAAGAGACGGCCATTTTTGTCTTTGTTTTGTTATTTGTTCTTGAGAGAGTTAAGATGCTTGTTCTGCCTTCTCATTGCCTCTCCGGCCTTACATATATATACAACACAATGGAAGAGAGAAAAAAAGGAATCTTTTGGTGCTTAAATTACTCATATCATTAATTAGATGCTTGTGCAATACACCTTTTACTAGGTGACAAGAGGCATCTTATGTAATATAAAACTAATGGATCAAGATCTCCGTCATATCAGTTTTATGTCTCTCTCTAAGCATCATCACAGCTCAACACTCCATGAAGATCAAGTTCTTTATTCTAGAATTGCACGAGTGACAATTAAGACATGTCTCTTATGTGTCTGAACTAAATCAGTTTAATTTTTTAATGGAGTGCAATGAGCTGTGAGTGCATGGTTGGAGAAGATTACAATAGATCTTAAAATTATACATGTAATACAACCTCCATATCCCAATCTAGGATATTGTCTCCTTTTATTTTCAACAACTACAAGACGTGTAAGTATGTAGACATGGGACTATAACATTAAAATGTGTGACAAACTTTGACATATCTTGTTCTTGCCACAATTTTGTGTTCATGTTCTTGACTTTTATTGATCCAAGACAAGAGGGTCGCTAAGATTGTCGCCGTCTCTAATCTAGTTTCATGCATGCATGCTACATATACATTTAACCTTTTTTGTTATAGACTAAGCAAAGTAGTCTCTGTGCAATCTCCATAGGCATAGCCAAACATATATAGGATCTTTCCACAAAGAATAAAGGAAATTGAATCCAAGAAGACTTTATTTCTCTATATATATACCCAAAAGCTATCTCAATATTGGCCTTGGCAAGAGATGAAAATGGTGTTAAACATTAAAAAGAAAAGGTTTCAAATTCTTAGTTCAAAATTTACACAAGACTCCTCAATCAGAAACAAAAAAATAATTGTCAAGTTTAAATTTCACTTTTAATCCTAAAAGAAATAGGAAATGAAATATCAAAGATTCTTTCTCACTGCTTCAAGAAGAGCGGCTTCTTTCAAAGTATTAGCAGAATCAGTGTTCATGTTGAGTTTAGCTAATGCCACAGACTGCAAGTAGAAGGCAGTTGGCCAATCAGGGAACACTCCCTGTGCATGCATCCCATCGAGAAGGGCTTTTTCTGGCTCATCGCAGAATAGATAGCTTAGACTACGCCTCGCGTAAACACTTGGGTATACCATTGACCTTTCCTCAACGAACTGTGGACAGAAAACAGAAACAAAGTTATAAAATAAAGATTCTACTAATATGCATGATAAGGCAGAGAATGTTAACAACCTGAGAATAACAGGCGATGGCAGTTTTGAAGTCTTCCTCTACGAAGGCCCGATCACCGTGTCTTCGAACATCTTGAAGTTCTCTCACCTCTTGTATCCATTCTTCGAAAGATAACTTAGATCATGAACAAATACAAGTAAAGTAAGATGTTTGATGCCAAACTAGTTGTAGAATTATGTTTAAGTTTATGAGTTTGGTTACCTCGATGACATCCTTGTCATCTTCATATCCTGCCAACACCAAGATTTTATGAATAGATTCGAGGTCCATTCTCGAACAAGCCTCTCCTAGTGGCGATAGATGACTTGACGATGATGCCTCCTTCTCGTCGTTTGTCATTTCAATAACTTCATGTGATGGAGCCTACAAGCAAGAAGATCGACTCTAACATGAATGCGAGAAAAAAAATAAAAAAAAATGAAGTTATGGATACAATGAGCTCCTTACTTCTGTTCTAGTTTGCAAGGTTTCTAGTGTTGCAACAATCTCTTTTGTGTTGGGACTCTCTTGATCCTCGTACTGCAAACATTGAGAGGCGAGTTTGTAAACTACCGTAGCTTCATCTATTGAGAACTTCCCCTTCAAGTATGGATCCATCAACTTAAAAACATTCTTTCGATGTATCATCTCAGGAGCCTAGAAGCATGAAAATAACAACTAATTAGTCGGCTTATATGTGGCTTGTGTTGCAAGATATTGACAATGCTACATAAACCTTATGATTACAATCACAAAGTCAAGATGAATCATGAATGGTTGATCCAAAACCCTAACAAAGCAAATAGAGGACTTGAGCATAATCACTTACATGGCTTGGAGGAATTTGCTTTCCACTTAGAAGATTCACAAGGAGAGTACCAAATCTATATATCACATTTTCAGGGTTCACACTTCCTACAATGAGAAAATAAACATCACATTAATTATGATAATAAATCTGAAGAGAAAAATGCTAATTAATTACCTGTTGTTATTTGATCATTATTGATCTCCTTCATCAAGCCGAAACAAGAAAGACATGCATCACCATCCTTCAACATCCATTAAAACAATATAAAAACATTTTAGAGACCACACGAGAAGGCATATGTATGAAAATGTTTTGTCTTAGATACCTCATCAAACAAAACCTTGTAAGCACTTAAATTACTGTACGATGCAAAGCCTGAGGTGTTGCAATAATCCAGAGCTTCCGCTACACAACAGGCTACTCTTAACCTAATAGACCAATCCATGGTTTGATTTTTCCCTGTGATCCAAAACAAAACAAAACAAAATGCTTGAAAGTTCTGATGCAATCGGGTTTCTACAAGCATAATTATTGATATATACCGTCAAAAGCACATATTATGTCATATAAACCAACAATGAAACAACCTCTCTATCCTCAGATCCATGAACCCTAAAATATGAAAATAAAATAATATATGAAGAGAATAAATCATACGCTGGAATAAACGCTTAGCAAGAGTATCATTTGGCATCAAATCTGCAACAAGAAACCTTTTATCTCCATCACAGCAATATCCAATCAAATTTACGAGTCTCTTGTGTCTTAACTTCCCTACTCTTTGTGCCTCTTCCTATCAAAACCCATCAAATAAGATCAATAACTGTCACAAAAATGATAAGCATTTTCAGACAAATAAAGGGTACGTACCACAAATAGTTTAGGATCAGACCAAGCCATGTTATTAAATCTCTTGATAGAGATGAAACCACCGTTTTGCAAACGACCCTTAAAGACAACATCGGAGGTTTGGTCTGAAACGATGTTTTCGGGACTAAAATGATTGGTGGCCGTCTTGAGATCGGAGAAAGAGAATTTTGTCAATGGAGGATCTTCTCCTCCACCGTTTCTAGGTTCAGAAGAAGCATCGGTCGTGTGGTCTTGAACAGGATCGACTGTTGAAGATAATGAGTAACAACAACCCATGAGATTCTTCAGCGAGCAAAAGAGGAGTGTCAAAAGTTTTCCTTATTATTTATTTGATTCCTTGTTTTGTCTTTTCTGTCGTTTGACTCTGAGGGTTAAGTGTCTCTTTGTTGTCAAGACAAAGAGTCTAATATTTTAGCATTATGATTTATGACAATTATTCTCGTGCCAAATATAGAAGACCTTTCTTTTTTGTCACTCAAGGGTTTCTTAAATTCTTATTTTTGCTAGATGATTATCCGTGTTACGCGCGGGTTTTTGGTTTTAAAAGTTTGCGGATTTTTATTTAAAATATTTTCATTAAATTTCCATTAGGTTTCTATGTGGTTTTCATATTTTGAATACATTTCAACCAACCTTTAATTTACTAGAACTTTTTTATTCGCGATGAGATGCATATATCTTTTTTAATTTCTTTGTTGCCTATTTGAGATGTCTATGAATGTGTGTTGAATTGCAACTAAGATTTTGAAAGTCAATTGAAATGTAGTAAGAAATAGAATATAAATAAATGTTTTGGCTATCAAATTTTTTAACAAATAAGGTAAAGTTATAAATGTAAAAGAATGAAAAAATTTATTTCTTATATTCTTAAAAAATGTTATAAGGTAATGTTAAAAATAAAAAAATAAACAACTTAGAGTCAAGATTTAACTTTATGATTCAAAATTTAGATTTTAGAGTTTACGATTATATATTTATAAATTATATGTAATTTTCTTAATTTTGGTATAATATTGCCTTTTAAGAATCTTTTGTTTTTTAATATGTCTATATAAATAACATAGAATCACATGCTCTTTTGTGTTCTATCGATTAGCTAAAGAACCCTTTCCTGATAATGTTCAATTTGTATCTCATTTCTTTGTTCCAAAGTACCTTGTACACATCTTCTATGAGGATCACAAAATTCATTCTAATAAACTAAGCAGTTGTTAGAAAAAATCATTAAGTTCCCAAAATGTAATTTCGACCAATTGAATGGTGAAATGCTCATATGTTATTATGTACTCGATCGTAACTTTCATGGTAGTTCTTCTTATGTTAATTATTTTCATTTATTCTGTTTGAAGCATATTATGGTTGATTATTATTTTGTGTTTTACTTTATTACACAATGACCACAAGTAAATTTCTTTTTTGGTAAAGGTTATCAAGTAACTTGTTTTACATGCTTTAATTTTATTTTCCGTCCATACTCTTACATTTTTAATAATAATTAATTCATACCTTTTTAAAAAAATTAGTAACTCATAATTTATACTCTTTTTATCAAGAAATTATCTTAAAATTTTCGAATATATATGTAGTTCTCCCCTAGTAATACAACGGCTATTTATATACAGTAACTTTATTTCCTAATAATTCATACGTGCAAAATGTTTACTCACTTTCCTGCATCTAGCCTTGACAAAAAGAATTAACTTCTAGTCAAAAACTAATTAAAACGGTTACTATGTTTCCTATATATATAGTCAATGTTTTAGAAATCTGATATTTTTCAATGTTTGATTATTTTAAAAGTGTTCCCATATATATCCAAAATTTATTAATTTTCTAATTATAAATTTTTCCTAATTTACTAAGAAGTATAAGAAATGATGTAGTCAAACTATATTAATATGTTTCCTAGATTATAATGATTCAATATCTCTTTGCAAATTTCTTTTTTTGTATTTAACCAAATCTTTTGCTAAGCATAAACACTACTCTAAATGTCTCTACTAAAAACGTTATTGTGTTTTTAATCGAATCATATTTTTTTCATTGAATCATACTTTTCACATTATACTTTTAACATACAACAATATTACAATAGTCTACTGCTTCTGCTACACAATAGGCTACTCGCAACCGCATTATACCCATTCCATGGTTAGATTTCTGTGAATAGGGTTGCGAGTAGCTTATTGTATAGCCGAAGCATTGAACTATTGTAATATTGTTGTAGGTTAAAAAGTATAATGTGGAAGTATGATTCAAACTATTTATTGTTGTTGCATATTCTCAAGATCATTTCATGCCTACGAATATTCTGCCTCCTCGTGATCTAGCATATATTAACTGTTTTTTTAATTCTTATAACATGTATAGTCAAATGCAAAAAGTTGTAGCTATACGGAAAAACATTTTTTGTTGCAAGATATAATTGAGTCCATTGTTACTATGCATGATATAAAGTTGTGTATTTGCGTGGATAAAAGTGTCAATTAATATTAGTAGTCAAGATTTTTGCCCGAAAACAATAATCGAAAGTGCGTAGAATGAAAAGAAAGAAAAGAAAATATAACAAAATCAAACAATTGGCTAAAGAATTGAAAGTTCTTAGTATAAAAGACAAATAAAAGAATGTAAATATCCCTCGTACATGAACTCTTCGAGGTGTGCCACAAAGGCTAGTCAATCCAAAGAGGCTAATGTCATCTTTATTAGCTCTGCGCAGTTCGTATGGTAACGATAATAGAACTCTTGATGTTCCAACATATAAAGACATTTCTCAAACTAGTGTCTCCAAGGCAATCGGTAGATTTCGGTTCGGTTTTGAGGTAGTTTTCATTTTTGTTTTGGTTTTAGTTGTGTTTATTTCTTCAGTAGATTAGGTTGATGTGGAGATAGTGGCTTGAGGAATCAACGATCCAAGAAGACAAGTGTTTTGGTTATCCTTTGAATCAACGAACTCTTGTATTTATCGTAGCTTGAGCTACACCAGTAACTTGCATTATGTGTGGCAAATTATCTTACATTTCTATCCAACCATGGTATTTAACTAAACACCCAGTTCTTCAATAGGGCAAGCACCTTCCTCCGTTAACCGAGCAATTGACCCATCTCTTTATCAAATGTCTCCGCGGAGCAGTTAGTGCCCATGTCTGGGGAAGATGATTTGTTAACTTCCCAGTGCATTAAATACCAGTCATACATGAATCTGGTCTGGTACTCCGGTCTTCAGACCACGCAGAGCTGAGTTATGGCTGATCATGCAACATGGCCAAGCATAAATTAGCTGTCTTAAGCCTCACAACTCTATGATGACTTTTTTGGTCATGTGATACTTTCCTCCACGGTTTTCCATTAGTCTTCTTCATCTGTTTCCGGAGAGCCGCATTCTTCTTCTTCAGCACGATGCAAGAGATTTACATAAGCTTTCAGAGATTCCTCTGTAAATTTCTCCATAGCTTCAAATATACGTTGAAGACTACCCTGTAAACTCTCGTTACTAGTGTCGCTTTGGTAGACAATGTTATCCTCGCCTGGACCCACCAGAACCATTTTCATTTCCAATTCTTGAATCTCTTTCTGTATTCTCAGTTCCTCCCGGTCCATATTCCTTGGATCACCATGCCCCATCATCCTCTCCCGGGTTACTAACCTATCTTGTTCCCAAAGATGAAGCACACTCGTTGTGAAACGGCGTATAGCCTCGATAACTTCCTTTTCTGATATTCTATCCAGAGCTTGTTCCCACTGGTTACAGATTACAAAAATCAATGGAGCCCCAATACGACTAGGAGAAAAAGGAACGATTCCATCGGGAGTTTCCTCAGGTTCATAGAAAAGACACTTCATAAGCCAACTATTCAGCTCTCGTACAAAACCCTTTTGCGCACTAACCCAACTCGAAAATCCCACAATCCAATTTATAAGATCAAGCCCAAGCGTCCTTGTTACCTCGAGATGATTGTCACCAAGATTTTTGCTCGCTCTAATGGGGCCTAAACCTCTGGCTTCCTTAATAGCCTCACACTGACTTTGATGGCACTCAAGCATGGATTTCCACATTTTGCTAAGCCTGAAAGAGAGAGTTAGCATCTAATGAGAACTCACCAAAAAGCCATCATATTTAAATACCGATTGCACTTCAACTTCGTCCAGCTTACCCTTGGATCAATTCATTGAGTTGCAGCCATAGTTCTTCGTCTCTTATCTTGTTAATTGTAATTGATATTTTGTCAACCACTTGAATCGCAATCCTTATCTTTGAGGACATACTTCTAACTAATTTTCGAGTTGAATCTACTTTTTGATCCTCGGCACCTCTTTCATCCATACGCTTCAGCTTCCTTAACTTTTTCTCGTGGTTTACACGCAGTTTTTCCTCGGCCTACATGCACAAACTCTAGTTCAAACCGGAAAAAAGTAACAACAGAAGAAGAGAGCTAACAAAAGAGATCACATCTCAGTATCCAAAGAGTGATTGTTTATGCATCAACATACCTTAACTTCATCGTAAAGCTTCTTCTCCCAAAGGTGCAGCTTGTGCAATGTCGAAGAAAGATTACGAGACCTTAAAGCAAGCTCTGCCTCAATGTCTGCGTAAGTAAGAGCAGCCACTGAAGAAGAGGCTTCAGCTTTAGCTTTCTTGGAGGTTGATGATTGAGCTGACGAAACCACAGACGGTGATGAGGTAACCTCATGCAGCTTCTTCGATGAAACTGCTCCAATACAGACACAGTCCATTTTTCACAAATTAAGAATGGTTCAAACACAACAAGCTGACAATAGTAGCATTGAGACAAAACCATAATATATATTCAATTGATTTTCTACAAAGAAACAAACTTTCTGCAACAGAATCATCAAATACCAACACAAAATGAAATAAGAGATGTAGCAAATGATGATGAAAGCTACCATGTTTGCGACCATAAGGATGCTTGCCCACTTCAAGCATCACTGCAATCTCATTTCCTGACTCTGCAGCTCTCAAGAACTGAACTTCTATCTCTTTCACAACCTCAGGCACCCCACGCCGTACACCGCCACCGCCACCACCACCACGCGCAACCGCAGCATTACTCTTCCTCGCCTCATCCCCACCTCCACCATCCTCAACAACTTTCTTCTCCACAACATGAACCTCATGCTCCATTTCTTCTTTCTCAACTAACACACTTGGCCTCGTCTGATACAAAGAAGCCTGACCTCCTCCTCCTCCACCGCTAGTGCTAGCACCGGATTTACCTATCGGCTCTTCCACGGTGGCGGGAACAGCCACAAATTTCTGTTTCCCATGTACTTCCTTCACAACCTCATCATCTTCCTCTAAATCCGGAACACCCAATTCCTCTCTTAACTCTCTCGAATCACGACTAGGAGTGTACGGAGTATAATAAGTATCAAAAGGGTTTAAGAAATCCCAAACCTTTTCCCTCGGCGGCGATGGTGGCGCCGGAGGCAATCTCGAATTCAGATATGGATTGTAATACTCAGAGGTTGATGATGATTCACCGAAATAAACTCTCTGAGGACTCACAGGTCTCTGCTCATAAACCACAGAAGGAGGTATCGAACTATTCTTCATATAATTCATATGCAAATAAGATTTCGAATTCGAGTCATCGTCTAAATGATGATGCAGAGGAGACGAATGCAACGAATCAATATCATCATCGTCGTCAGAATCCGAATCGAAATCGAGATGACCCGACCCAGAATCCATATTGGGTTTAACTTTCTTGGGTGAATCAGAATCGTCGTCAAGGTGGTGATGATTGATGAATTGGTGAAGAGAGTGAGCGATTGCTTTTAAGGATTGTGTGTAGGATACGTGAGCTTCTGATAAAGCGTAACGTTGATGAATCGCTGCTTCAAGGAAGCTACAACGGTCACGACAAAGCGCCACCGCTGGAAGATCGTCGAGCTTTGAGGTTGAACAACCCATCAAAATCAAAAAGTTTTGAAATTTCTTCAGATTCGAAGAATCAGAAGAATCAAAGTTGAGGTTTTTACTTTTTAAGTGGAAAGGAAGAGACTTTGAATAGTTTAAGGTGATAGGAATGAGAAAAGTAAAAGCTTTAAACTTTAAAGTGATGAAGAAAAGAGAAAAGAGGAATCTTTGCCAAAAATTTCAATCTTTTTGTGTAAATTAAAAGTTTTTCAATCATTTTGTGTAAATTACTAATTTTTCGGTTACAAAAGATAATTAACTTAATCTTTTGGATTAAGGAGAGGATTAAGAAATTTGGGTAATTTATGCAGGGAAAATGTGTATGTTTTGAAAATGAAACCTTTGAATTTTATTTTATTGGCAATACACTCGAATTAGTATTTAATTACTGTAACGCCGTCTTAGACCAAGTCATTGAAGTTGATTCTTATTTTGATTTTGGTCGTTGGACAATAAAAAATCTTTAATTATGGTTGTAACGTAAACAACTAAACATGAATTAATTTTATAAGAAGTTATGTCACAATGTTGATTTGATTGTATGTAGAGTCAAACTTTTTTTTCTTCTCTTTAACGGCTAAAGCATTAAAACTTATATTTTTGTAAGCATATTTAAATAAACTATGTATTACCGAAAATGATATATACTAAAGTACTAAGGATAGCGAACCACATTTGGATAGTTTACTTCATTTTTGAAAGGGAGAACGACCTGTGTCCCCCCCCACGAAGTTTCATATAGTACCATAACAATACAGATTTCGGGTCTCGTCTCCAGTCCACACAAAACGAAAGTTAAACTCCAGTTTCCCCCTAAATTGAAAGTTCGAGACCTCAGTCTCCATAAATTCAAATTTCGTGGTTTATCATTGGTTTACTGCGCCGGAAACACCATTAACCGCTTAACATCGAGATTAAACCGGATTTACCCAGAAACCAACCCGATTATTAGACCCATTAAACCCGATAATCCCCAAACTGAACCTTAGAACCCTAAAATCAAAAAATCCCCAAATTGATGGATTCGAATATCTCTCTTGTTGAAGCCTCAAATCGAAGAGTTCGTTTGATTTGATCTGTAATTGGAGGAAAGGTTTTTTGGTGATGGTGTTTGAGATCTAATGGTTGGGATTTGTTGCGGTGTTGTTAGGGAGAGTGATCAGCGGCACTGATTGATCCAACTACTTGAGCTTTCAATAGTAAATGTGAACTGATGTTAATTGAGACTGAGACTGTTTGCGAAATTTGATTTCAGTTTAACATCAATTCCAAATCTGAAAGTTGTTTCTCATGTGAATTGATGTTAATTAAGAAAAAAATTGATTTTGGGTTTGATTCGAATTTGCGAAATTCACATTTAACATCAATTCGAAATCTGGGTTTGATTAACATCAATTCACATGGAGAAGATTTTACAAATTCATTAATTTGTTTATTGTTCTTTAATTTTTCAGAAAAAATCTGGCATTGGAAAGGGAAAAGGAAGAAGACGAAAGGAGGTGCATTTCTTTTTAATTTTTTATTTTTTAGTTATTATTGAAACATTCCAAGTTCATTAGAAGGTTCAGATCATATTATTAAACAATAACATTCCGTTTGGTTTGGTTACAAATCGGTTTATTATTCTGGGTTTTGGTTTGGCATCGGGTTCGGCACAGTAAACCAATGATAAACCACAAAATTTGAATTTATGGAGACTGAGGTCTCGAACTTTCAATTTAGGGGGAAACTGGAGTTTAACTTTCGTTTTGTGTAGACCGGAGACGAGACCCGAAATCTGTGTTGTTATGGTACTATATGAAACTTCGTGGGGGGACACAGGTCGTTCTCCCTTTTTGAAAAGAAAAAAAAAGTTTTGTTTTAGTTTTGGAGTTACACATACAAAGCTATAACTAAACTCACTCACAGTTTTTATAAGTGGTATAGTATATTGTTATAACATATTCTATGGTTGTTAGCATAAATAAACTCATTGTTCAAACAATATTAATTTAGAAAAAAAATTACTTTTTATTTTCATATCTTAAAAAAATTATCCATAATTGAATATTATATAAAATAGAAAATATATTCATTTTAATATTGTATATTGGGATTAACAAAAATAAAAACTTTTTCACTTACTACTATAATATAATATATCAAAACTTTATTCTAAAATATATAATATATAAAATTTTATACTAAATAAAATTTAAGCTGTACTATAACACGGATCATGATCTAGTTTAGATTAATAAGTAATAACTAATAAAGCTCGAAAGTCTTTCATTTCTCTATTACATTTCCTATTAGGCACTTGAATGGTGGACGAGTTTAAACCATCATTACCTTAATCACTTGTCATTTCTATGCTCTTTTATTTCAGTCTTCAATTGAAGAGCTAAGGACATCTCCCTCAACTCAAATAATTATTATAAAAAAAATGAAAGAGAAAAAGATAAAGATTCTCATTTGATAACTTTTGATTAAAGTTTCCTTCTAATTGGTTCATTTTTTAGTTCAAAATCAAAATTAAATACATAATTAAACATATTAAAATATTAGTACTCCCTCCGTTTTTTAATAAGTAATGTTTTAGGAGAATACATGTAGATTAAGAATATCTCAACTAATAAAAATGCTCTAAAACGACTATTATTGCTTATTAGTCAATTCTGATATATATCATGTATGTACCAAATGCCAAATGGCCAACACTTCAATTAAGGAACAGAGCACAATGTGAAACCAGACTGTTCTCATTTAATTTTCCACAAAAAGTCAAAAAGTCAAACTCGAAAAGTATTCTCTCGGTCAACTCTTCTTTGTCCCCATCTTCACAAATCACAACTCTTTTTATTTCCAAAAAAACAAAACCCATCTGCGATAACTCTCCGGCAACCTAAAAATGGAAACTTCCCGTTTTACCCTTCTCGGTCTCCTCGTCTCCTTCTCCTTCTTCCTCACTCTCTCCGCCCAAATGACCGGAAACTTCAACTGCAGCGGCTCAACCACCACGTGTCAATCTCTCGTTGGTTACTCAAGCAAGAACGCAACAACGTTGCGCAATATCCAAACCCTTTTCGCCGTCAAGAACCTCCGTTCGATCCTCGGAGCTAACAATCTCCCACTCAACACCTCACGTGACCAACGCGTGAACCCGAATCAAGTCATACGTGTCCCAATCCATTGTTCTTGCTCCAACGGAACCGGTGTCTCGAACCGGGACATCGAATACACTATCAAGAAAGACGACACACTCTCTTTCGTCGCAACTGAGGTTTTTGGAGGTTTGGTAACGTTTCAGAAGATCAGTGAGGTTAACAAGATCCCTAACCCAGACAAAATCGAAATCGGTCAGAAGTTTTGGATCCCTTTACCTTGTAGCTGTGATAAATTGAACGGTGAGGATGTTGTTCACTACGCACACGTGGTTAAACTAGGGAGCTCACTCGCTGAGATCGCTGCTCAGTTTGGAACAGACAACACGACGTTGGCTCAGCTTAATGGAATCATCGGTGACTCTCAGCTTCTTGCTGATAATCCTCTTAACGTCCCTCTCAAAGGTTAAAAATTGAAATTTTGGATCTTTTGAGTTTGAAAGGTTGTGACTTTAGCAGTTTTATTGGATGATGGCTTAGATAAACGAAAATTTCATTAAAAAGTCTTTGACTTTAGCAGTTTCATTGGACAAATCTAAATGGGTGTGAGTTTTTGTTACTAATTGATGATTGGGTTGAAGGAAAGTTATGAACTTTGAACTTTATTTTGCAGCTTGTAGCTCTTCTGTGAGGAACGACTCGTTGGATGCTCCTCTGCTTCTGTCTAACAACTCATACGCCTTCACAGCAAACACTTGCATCAAGTGTTCTTGTGACGCTTTAAAGAATTGGACGTAAGTGATGGATAATCTTGGAGTTGTGTTTTGTTTGTTTCATATGATAAGATTGGGTTTTTCTTTAGATTCTGATGGTTTTGGTTTTGTCTTTTGTGATCAGTTTAAGCTGTGAACCATCTCAGATTAGGCCTTCGAATTCGACATGGCCAACTTGCCCGCCTTCACGATGCGAAGGAGCGGAGAGTTTGTTTCTAGGCAACACGACTAGTAGCTCTTGCGGACCTCGTTCTTGCACATATGCTGGTTACTCCAACCAGACCATCTTCACCACACTTTCCCCAACTTGTCCAGGTTTGTTTGATCCACGTTTCTGCACATTTGTTTTTTTTGTAGTGGTGATTGATTAATGACTTAATAACCTGGTTACTCTCTGATGAACAGATTCTGCTGGTCCTGGTAGTGGTAACTATGCATCAACGTTCAGGTCAAGCTTCAATTTCGTGATGGTGTTGATTCAGTGTGCTCTGCTTTGTCTCTGTCTTCTCTAGTAATGTTTTGTTGTTGTGTTTATGAGTGTGAATCTAAGTACAGTCCGGATTGAAATAAAGACATTGTTTCTCACTTGAAGCATCACGTCCTTGTACAATTATTATATTGGAAACATTTCAGCTTTTGACACATTTGTTACCAACTAAAAAATACCAAAACTTTGATATGAAGTTAAACGTAATTTTCATTATTCAAAAAGTGTTGCTCTGAGACTCAGGCATTTTGCACTTTCCATATTACATGAACAAAAAGAAGGAAAAATCGCACCTTTCGTAAACTAAAGCAAAACAAAAAAAAAAAACCATGTTATTTTTCTCGAAATTTTAAATCCCAATTCGAGTTATCTCGAAAGAATGTGGAAAATTACAAGTATTTCCGGTAAGAGTGAATCATACCGACGTGTGATTGATGATTACGCAAGAGAAGTTGGAATTGTCAAGTCAATCCAAATTTGCAATGACAGCATCAACGACCTCTTGAGTCGTACTGTTTCCGCCAAGATCTTCAGTCCGGCACTTTCCTTCTGAGATGACACGCTTCACAGCGGTTTCAAGGCGGTCAGCAAAAGAAGGGAACTGAAGGTGTCTAAGCATCATGGCTGATGAGAGTAGCAAAGCCACAGGGTTTGCATTCTTTTGCTCTTCCGTCGTGTCCTTCCCCACGTTTCCCGCTGATGCACCTTGCTCAAAGACTGCATACTCAGCTCCAACATTTCCTGTAGATAATTTCATAGCATAAGCAAGAGACTACTTCTCATAGTGCTTGTACATTAGATCAGGGTAAAAAGAATTTTATTATTACCTCCAGGCATGACTCCAGTGCCTCCAGCAATACCAGCAGCAGTATTTGCAACAAGATTACCATAGAGATTAGGCGTCACCTGCAAAGCAGATTCATGTAAGGAAGCTAGTCCAATCATCAAGAAGAGAAAATTTGAGAAAAAGATACAATTGTAAATTCTGAAACATTATACCATGACGTCGAATTGCTCTGGTCTTGCCACAAGTTGCATACAACAATTATCAACAATGATTTCATTGTAGGCAATGCTTGGATACTTCTTAGCAACCTCTTGACAAGATTCCAAGAACAAACCATCAGCCAGTTTCATGATGTTAGCCTTGTGCACTGCTGTAACTTTCTTCCTGTTGTTCAAGTAAGCATACTCAAACGCATACTTTGCAATACGCTCCGAACAGAACTTTGTGATCACCTAGCATAACATTAGCATCAGAGACATCTTAAAGACGATCCACCATAAAACAGAATTCACCAATGTACATCCATGAATGTAGACAAGTTCATGAACATAGCAGATTAATTAACAGTGAGTAGCATTCATTATCAACTTCAAGACATGGTTCTATGCATCTAAACTTGATTCTAGAAGCCAAGAACTCAACCTAAAAAACACAAATGCCACAACTTTCTAACACTGATCAAACTCTCCCAAATCACTAACCTTAATGGATCATTTGCAGATACATATCAATCAAATCACATTTGTAACCAAAACATTCATCAAAAGCAGAGAAATTTCACCTTAAGGCTCTCAACAACACCAGGAACAACTTCATGTTCAAGACCTGCATATTCACCTTCAGTGTTCTCTCTAATCACAACAATATCAACATTCTCATGACGCGAAGCTAAACCAGGCAAATTGAAACAGTTGACCAAAGAAGCGAAAAGATCAAGCTCCTTTCTCAAATTAACATTGAGAGAACTCACACCACCACCAACGGGAGTCTTAAGTCCACCTTTCAAACAAACTTTGTTCTTCTTAATCGATTCCAACAATCCTGCAGGTAAACTCTTCATATCTCCATGAACTTCGAACGGTTCGAAGTAAACCGGTGCGTGCATCGCTTCCATCACTTGTTCAACTGCGTTTGTTACCAACGGACCAACTCCGTCGCCGGGGATTAACGTTACCGGTCGTGGTTTTCCGTCGCCGGGTCTGGGCATGTAAGTCACGGATCGGGTCTGAATTTTGGAACCGGTGGCGATACTACGAAGATTCTTCAGTAGTGAAAGCGATTGGCGAGACATCTTCTTCTGTGATTTTGATCGGAATCAGATTCTTCAGAAGATGATCGTCAGAGGAAGAAGAAGAAGAGTCGCGACTTTTGGAACGAATGAAGAAGAAAAGAAAAGCGTTTACTTTTAGTCTATAACTTTTATTATTTACATAATAGCCCCAAATATTTAACCATTTTTACGTTTTGGTCCGTTTATAATTTGCCTACGGCATTTGAGACCAAATTGAGAAAACGATGTTTTGTGATTTACATAATAGTCCTCAAATTCTTAACACTATACGTTTTAGTCCGTATTTAATTTAGTATTTGCTTATAAGACCAATTTGGAAAATTGAATTTTTGAGTTGTGTAGTTTCATGGAACAATCTCTTGTGAAGGCTTTGTTGAAGAACACGAACAATCCGAGATTAGCATGGAGAATCTTCAAGAGGATTTTCTCTTCTCCTTCAGAAGAAAGCCATGGCATTTCTTTAGCTTCGGCTCCCACCATTGCTCGTATCCTGGTTCGAGCCAAAATGCATGAAGAAATCGAAGAGCTTCACAATCTTATACTCTCTTCGTCAATCCAAAGGACGAAACTTTCTTCTCTTCTCTCTGTTGTCTCAATCTTTTCGAAATCGAATCACATTGACAAAGCGTTTCCGCAATTCCAATTCGTACGGTCGCGGTTTCCTGAGAACAAACCTGGGATTTATCTGTATAATGTGTTGCTTGAAAGTTGTATAAGGGAACGACGTGTGGAGTTCGTTTCGTGGTTGTATAAAGATATGGTTTTGTGTGGGATTGCTCCACAGACTTATACGTTTAATCTCTTGATACGTGCTTTGTGTGATTCAAGTTGTGTTGATGCTGCTCGAGAGTTGTTCGACGAAATGCCTGAGAAAGGTTGTAAGCCAAATGAGTTTACTTTTGGGATTTTGGTTCGTGGGTATTGTAAAGCTGGTTTGACTGATAAAGGATTGGAGTTGTTGAATTCAATGGAGAGTTTTGGGGTTTTGCCTAATAAAGTTGTGTATAACACCATTGTCTCGAGTTTCTGTAGAGAAGGTAGGAATGATGATTCTGAAATGCTGGTGGAGAAGATGCGGGAGGAAGGTTTTGTTCCTGATATTGTAACTTTCAACTCTAGGATATCAGCGCTTTGTAAAGAAGGAAAGGTTTTGGACGCGTCTAGAATTTTCAGTGATATGGAGCTAGATGAGTATCTGGGTCTTCCTCGTCCCAATAGTATAACGTATAACTTGATGTTGAAAGGTTTCTGTAAAGTAGGGTTGCTGGAAGATGCCAAGACCCTCTTTGAGTCGATTAGAGAAAATGATGATCTCGTTAGCTTGCAGAGTTACAATATTTGGCTGCAGGGTTTGGTCAGACATGGGAAGTTTATAGAGGCTGAAACAGTCCTAAAGCAAATGATTGATAAGGGAATAGGGCCAAGTATTTATTCTTACAATATCTTGATGGATGGATTGTGTAAATTGGGCATGCTATCCGATGCAAAAACTATCGTTGGTTTGATGAAAAGAAATGGTGTTTCCCCGGACGCTGTAACTTATGGATGCCTTCTACATGGTTATTGCAGTGTTGGGAAAGTCGATGCAGCTAAAAGCTTGTTGCAGGAGATGATGAGGAATAATTGCTTACCAAATGCTTATACTTGCAATATTCTGCTCCATAGCCTTTGGAAGATGGGGAGAATATCTGAAGCGGAAGAGTTGCTGCGAAAGATGAATGAAAAAGGTTATGGACTAGATACTGTCACCTGCAACATTATCGTTGACGGACTCTGTGGAAGTGGGGAATTAGATAAAGCTATCGAGATAGTTAAGGGAATGCGGGTGCATGGAAGTGCTGCTCTTGGTAACCTAGGCAATTCATATATCGGCCTGGTGGATGATAGCTTGATCGAGAATAATTGTTTGCCTGACCTGATCACGTATTCAACTTTACTTAATGGTTTGTGCAAAGCTGGAAGGTTTGCTGAAGCCAAAACATTGTTTGCCGAGATGATGGGAGAAAAACTGCAACCAGACTCTGTCGCATACAACATTTTCATCCATCATTTCTGCAAACAGGGGAAAATATCATCTGCATTTCGCGTTCTCAAAGACATGGAGAAGAAAGGTTGTCATAAGAGCCTAGAGACTTATAACTCTCTGATCCTGGGCTTAGGCATAAAAAACCAGATTTTTGAAATTCATGGACTGATGGATGAGATGAGAGAAAAAGGCATTTCACCTAATATCTGCACCTACAATACTGCAATCCAGTATCTTTGTGAGGGAGGAAAAGTTGAAGATGCAACTAACCTCCTTGATGAAATGATGCAAAAGAACATAGCCCCAAATGTATTTTCCTTCAAATATTTAATTGGAGCGTTCTGTAAGGTCCCTGATTTTGACATGGCCCAAGAAGTGTTTGAAACTGCTGTAAGTATCTGTGGACAAAAGGAAGGCCTGTACAGCTTGATGTTCAATGAGTTGCTTGCTGCAGGGCAATTATTAAAGGCTACGGAGTTGCTTGAAGCTGTTTTAGATAGAGGTTTTGAGTTGGGGACTTTTCTTTATAAAGATCTTGTTGAGAGCTTATGTAAGAAGGATGAGCTAGAAGTAGCTAGTGGAGTTTTGCATAAGATGATAGACAAAGGATATGGGTTTGACCCTGCAGCATTGATGCCTGTGATAGATGGCTTAGGTAAGATGGGAAACAAGAAAGAGGCAAATAATTTTGCTGAGAAGATGATGGAAATGGCTTCGGTTGGTGAAGTAGCAAACAAAGTCGATCCAAAGGCAAGGGATATACACCAGAAAAAGCATAATAAGTATGGTGGTAACAACTGGCAGAATATATTACACAGGTATGAATGACACTTTCTCCTTCTGGTTTGTCATCTTTTATTGTTTCTCCTGTTATAGGTGCCATTTCAATTGATATATTATGATGCTTTTATTGGAGGTTTTGTAGTTCTTTGCTTTTTTCCTTTTGAATTTCTGGTTTCTTAAGAAAGAAAAAGATTCCAAGATTTGGAGTAAGCATCCGTGTATATGATTAGGCAGTAGACTCTTTGGTTTCAAGTGAGTTTACATTGAGAGAATCGTTTGAAATGTCTTAAACCTAATGAATGTTTTCTCTATCAATCGCTATTTTGCAGAGATGACGGTAGTGGAATTGCGCTAAAGTCTCTGTCAAGGGTAAAAAAAGGATGGGGTCAAGGGGATATGTCAAGCTTCCAGCCTCAGAGAGTTGACTACTTAGACTACTGGGAGGACGATGGTTAAGGAATAGCGTGACTCTGCTTTCTTTCTGATGGGAAAGTTCAGATGGCGGTCAGTCAAGTTTTTGAGGTGCAGCTCATCAAGGATGACAGGTAAAGGTAAGAAACTAGGACTGAAAAAAAAAACTAACAAAAAGGACGATGAAATAAAAAAGAAAACTGTTGATGTAAGTTCTTTTCTCCTAGTAACAGCCTTTTGATGTAGAGATGTCTAATATTTTGTATGACAAAAAAAAAATCTTTAAATCAATAATCAATTTGAAGTAACTTAAAGTAGGACCTTACAGCATTAACTTTCTTCATTCTGCTCCTACTCTGGACAGTAGTAATTAGTTATAACCGAATAAGCATCGAGTGGCATACTCTTTTGATCATTGTCTCCATGCTCTTGTATAAGATGTTAGCCTTATAGTAGCTTGTGATATACAGTTTGAAAGATCTTTAGCAAAGCTAAATATAACCCTGTGGTAAAAGTATCACGGATAATGTTTAGGTATCCAATCTACTTAATAACCTTCATGTTCAATGAAACAATATTTTAGAGTTGGACCTTCACATTCTATTTTCTTGTCTTTGTAGCTAAGCTGGTAGAAGCAGACAGGACGACATGGCTGGACACAGATATGCTTCTAAGAACGACGTTTCCAAGGGTTATTCAAAGGAAAGATTGCATTCAGGGCGTGTGCATTGAAGTCAAATAAACAGATGACATTGGCGGGTAAACATAAGAGCTGCCTGCTTTCATAATGAATTTGAAGCCAACTTTGAATTTTGGGTGGGAGGAACATAATCTACATTATTGGAGAAAATGTAAGCTACTATTCTTGTGCTTTTAGTCTGCACGTTTTCTGGTTCTGGAACAATATGAGTTCGTAATAGGGATACAAAGCGACTAGGTTTGTAACGTGGAAGACCACGAAGTGTTAGCTGCTTCATTGGAAATAGGTTTCTTCTTAAACATAGTCATACTAACAGATTGTTTTTCCTGTTTTTACCAGATCAGTTTTAAGTGTTTCATATCATAATCATTATAATGAAATGGATATTCTGGCACATTATCTTCCTTGTACTTCAATGCAATCATGGATTAGATAGTATCCTGTAACCAGACATGTCCCAAAAATAAATAAGTGAAAACACATAATATTTCAATCGCCATAGTTGCAGTCTTGCAGAGCTTAAGAAACCAGATAATAAAGATTGTACATGCATGAAATACAAGTTTATGGAATGCATCTCTTTTATACAAAAATCTGCTAGGGCAATACAGGAGACCAAGTTACTACTGCCACTTCCAAAATGGTGTTCAGGGCACTGGAAATATGTTTACAAAGGATTCCCAGGCTAAAATGGTAAGTGAGATTTCTACAAAAGCTAAAAAATCAGTAGAATCTTCCTGGTGCTTTGCTCTTTGATTGTTTTTCAGGAAAGACCAGTGCTGCCAAAAGAACCACTTAGCTTGACTTGAGAAGCTTCGTTCAGACTTATTTTAATTGTGTGGGTCTGTGTTAACCTATATATGTCTATGCATTCCACGAGATCCGCTTCACATGTCAGAAGAACCCACTCCTTATCATCATCCAGGTACTTCAGATCAAACCAGGAAATGTCATCTATGTTGAAACGCCTAGCAATCTCTTGCTGCAGCTCTCTGAAGCCACAACTCGGGAGTAAGGTAAACCGTATTCTGGCCTCACCAAATGTCGCTTTCACTTTGATGGCACCTCCAGCTCTTAAGCTCTTGTTGCTACTACCTGGTAATGGAGATGAATTTTCAAGAACAGGAGGCTTCTTGAATGTTTTATGGCTCTGGGTTCTTGAAAGACATTTTGTTTCCTCCTGATTCACATTATGCAGTTGCGCTTCACTGTGAGCTCTCTTTAACACCGCATCAGCATCCTCAGCAACTAGAATGTTTGCAGTATTCTCATTATTGTTGCTTGAACCAGAGCTCTTGCTGCAAGAAGATGATGGTGACCTGGGGTTTTCCTCTGCCATAATACCATAATTATCGGTTTGAGCATTCAAATGACTTGACTGTTCAGTATTCTTCAAGGATGGGCCATTACTAGACATATTTGGGGAGTTAAGCTCTGGGAAGCTTGTATAGAATGAATCGAGTTGGATAGAGCCCTGCGCACCTTGAACAGAGTCCATAACAAGTTGGAGTTTCTTTAACGAATGCCCAACCTTCTTGATTTTTCGGGAGGGCCATCGCATAATTCCATGTTGCCTACATATCCTTTTCAAGGTAGTTGGACAAACTGCAACATAAGAACGAAACCTTGTCACATCACTGAAAGAGACAGATAAAATGGCATGACGAAAATGTTTGTAGAGCATGATGATCCACTATAGATGATATCTGATATTTGTGTATATTGGCCATGGAGTTTTCACATATCCTCAGGCATGAATTTTAGTTCAATGTATTGGTTATGCTTTTCCCAAGATACAATAAGAATTAAAATTCATAAAGAGTGGAGCTATGTCACCAGCAGTGTACAACAATTTCTTACCACCAATGCTCTTGGCTGCATCCTTGAGGCTTCCAGCAAAGTATTGTCGAAGAACCTCCAAGCCAATGGTCTTTTCTGTTTTTGTTCTTCTCTTTTCCCCTGGTTTCCTACTGCCTAACATATTTCCCCCACCAATCGAAGCTGATTCAGTGCTTGGACCTATGTCGACTTTGAGTCCTGAAGTTGATGCTTGCTGAAATTGCTCAGCTTCTAAAGGAACATTATTTGGGACTGGATCAAGCTGACCGTGCTCCTGGCCAGATGAGAGCTCTTTAGGATCTTCTTTCTGGTACTCCCAAGAAAGTGATACATCTTTACCCTTCTCGTTTGCCAGTATCATGTGGGAGATCCATGAGGATTCTTGCATTTCAATTTCTGTCAAAGACTCTGCGGTTTCTGCTCCAGTAAGCGGGTTTTCTGAGAAGAGCATTGTCTCTCTAACAGGAAATACGACTTTTAACTCTAGGTCTTTGTCAATGACAAGATTTGAACTCCTGAAATCTTGCTGCAGCGTCACAGACAATGACTTGAGCATTTCCTGTTGCGCTTCAGTGTCAAGGCAGGCTTTTGGAAAGAAGAATTCCAGCACAAACTCAACCAAACCAGATTTGCTCGTTAATGGGACTGCTAAAGCAGCATGTAGTCCAGATATCTTGGCGTGGTGTGCAAGAGGGTAGTTAGTCTTGCTAAATGTGGTCACTTCGGGCACAAAAAACAGTTTGGTGGCATTGAATGCTTTCCCAACAATGCCTTGCCCCTGGAGCAGATGGTGTTCAGAGCATGCCTCCCAAAATATTTTGCTCTGTTCGTCGGGGACAGAGCAAGCAGAATCCATTGTTGAAACACACTGAGAGAAGTTCTCATCAGAATGTCGGGAACCAACTTTGCCTTGCCGAGCACATGGGGCCCATGACAAAGCTAAAGGTAAATCATATGATCTGCAGACTGTGGCCAAAAAATCCTTTATTTCAGGTAATGCAGCACAGTAGAAATCACTATAGACCTGCAGAAACTGAAACACAGGGGTATGACCTTAGCAATGCATATCGTTGTTTCTAGGAGCTGAATGAACTAAGAGTCCAGTTAATGCACCTCAGAGCTTGGAGTGTTCAAGTTACTTGAACTCCTTAGATTGACGGCCTGCAAAAGCAGCAGCGTCTTTAGACTGTTGTGACACACAAACAAAACTTATCACTGTTATCACAGACATTAATAAAGGAAGAGTATGACTGAATGACTGACAGGAAGAGACATGATGCAGAAAGAAAGATGCAGAACAATCACAGTACAAACATATGCAGAATTGAACTGAAGATCCTGCTGTTGGACTGTAAAGAAAACCAAAAAAAACTGGACAAAATGTGAGGAATTGAATAATGAGCAAACAGAGAAAGCCATCCAGTGAAAGAGACATTCAAGCATAAGGTTTAATGGTTGTATGGGTCTAAACATGTAGGGTAAGTGTTGCGGGATCTATAGAGTAGTTTGAGGTAGAGGCAAGACCAAGAGGAAGAGAAAAACCTCAAGAGCTTTACACATCTTCTCAAGTTCTTGCCGGTAATTCATCTTCTGAGTTGTTGTGACGATCTCAACAACACCCAAACAAGTCCCACTACCTCTTTCGAAAACAGGAAGGGCAAGTGACCCACGAACATCACACTTCTGTGCTTCTTTGATGCGCGGATATTCATCTCTTCTAAAGAAACGCACATCAGGAGTCCACTCAGGCAACTTCTGCAAGAAAACACGACCGGGAAGACCCACAAAGTCTTTCATACCCTCATCAGCCGGGAAATTATAAGTCTCTGAAACATGTCTGTATTCTGCAAGGCTGGAGTATTCTTGGTTGAATAAATGTGGCTGAGCGCAAGTGGTCAGAAAGCTCTTCCCTTCCTGCTGAATTGGCACCCATATCTGAACCAAGAAGTCCTTATCTTGCACCGCCTCGTTAAGACCACTAATAGCTTGTAATAGTCTCTCCTTCACAGATGAAGAAGGTCCTTCACTTGCTCTTGGGGCAATCCACCAACTTTTTCCCACCTCAGCTTCTTCGAGGAGAAACTTTTCAGCCTGGTTACTAGGTGAATGAGGAAACATTCTCTCTGTTTCTTCATTAGAGAAATTATCTTGAGATGGGTTCTCACCAAAGCAGAGGAAAGGGCTAATGTCTATCATGGCGGTAGAAGCTGAAGCAGATTGTTCTGTCTGGTTCAAGCTCTTACTATCTGTTGTCTCTATCCAACATCCATCAAACAAGAGCTCATCCATGAAATCCAAATCCATGGCCGTGTCAGAGAATGCCCCAAAGCTAGAATTAGGTGAAAACCCACCATTTCCTTCGCCTCCATCGCCACCACCATCATCTTCCATATCTAAAGATTCCCTTTTTTATTCTTTTAGCATCTAACAGATCCTACCAAATCCCCAAGTTCTCAGAGACTGTGCTTAGCTTCTTGAAGATGAATAGACCACAAGACAAAGTCCTCTCCTTGTGATGCTAAAACCCAATCTGAAAAAGTTGCAGAAACATTATCAAAGACTCAAATCATAGAGATGTTATATAATCTATATAAGTAGCTTCGCTTTCAATGAAGAGTTGACTTAAGAAGGTATCCATCAGTCAAAGTAGAGTGCCATCAATTTCAAGTCCAAAATTCTCCCCTATGGACATGGAAAACGAAATCAAATCTGATTGTCTATGAAAGGGTAAGATTTTCACCAAAAGTTACTAACTTTATCAAGATTTGTTGCACAAAGAAACAGAAAAAGCTTCACTTTGGGTTTATAACCTAAACCCAAGAAACACTTGGTGAAAGCACCAACAAAAAAACATTGACAAGAAACACAGATTGGATTTTGCTCTGTGTAATTTAAAAAGTAATTGCTCTCTATTTCTTCATACACAAATTAAGATAAGCAAAATAAAATCTGGGAATATATATAAACAAAAAAGAAACCTGTGAAATTTCTTATCACAAGAAAGCTTCTCTCTTTGTTGAATGGTGTTCTTTTTCTTCTTCTTCTGGACACAAGTATTTTGGTGAAGGTGAATGATTAAGACTATTTTAATCTCTAAAGATAGGATTATGGGCTTCCAGAGAACAAGTGGACCCGTGATAAGAGCAGCCACTGTTCTAATCACACTTATATAAAACTTTGTCCGTACCTGTACTAAACAAAACAAAACAAAAAGTAAACAGAGTCTCTTGGTTTCTCAAAGACAAATCAATCTTTTCTTCTGCAAGAAAGAAAGATCAAAGAAGGAAAAAAAAGAACAAGATTTTGGTTTGGAGCCTGATGAGATGATAAAATGTTCTTCAGAACAAGATGTCCTGCTCTCTTTGTTGCCCCCTAATCATAATTAATTAGTACAAGATTATTATAATTAATGATATGAGATTATTATTAATCATTTTGTGGTGATTACGTATGCGTACATTGTTTTATTTCGTCGGTACTTTGTTTTATTCGGCGTTAATGTTTCATTGGTTAGAACTTGGCTGTATCAATCGGATCAAGATTCTTAGAGAAGACATGTCTTTCGTGTTGAACAGGTTCGTTCATCAATATAGTTTTTGACCTCTAATAGTTTATTTTCGATTTCTCGTATATTAATATTCTTTCTGACATCAGCCCTACTTTGAAAGTTTAAAATAACATTTTTTTTTTTTTTTTTTGTGTGGTGTGTGTCTTGATAAGTTTAAAACATTTTGTATGGCATTGGAATCTATGATCGATATATAATTGCATAATGGCAGAATGATTCCTGATTCTACATTTACGTGTGAAAGTGCTTCTTTTTTTTTCTGGGTCAAACATGAAATTGCTATTTATGTTCCAAAATTTCGTCATTTTATTATTTTCATGACGAAAATGTTATTTATGTTGTAACTATATAAGCTGGGTGCTAACTAGACAGGTTGTGAACTTCCCAATGTTACACATTTGTCTAAACTGCAATAAAAACAAAACAAAAACAAAAAGAGAACAGAAACAAATCATTCATCTTCTTATGTTCGTCATTCAACCAAATTTAATGGTTAAACTTGTATATTTGTGTACATGGATACTCAATTACATATAATCTCCAAAGGGTCGGGCTTAGTTAAATGATCAAAACGGCCCTCAATGATTTGGGGAGCCATAGTCCGATTTCCATTAGCCGCATCCGGAACATGACCAAACCAAAGGTCATTAAATTCTTTAATTACTCTTCACATCCTTAAAAATTATAATTATACTATGAAATAAAAATATATAGTTGAATCCTCGTGTAAATCATAAATATCGTATCAATAATTATATCAAAAGTTTATATATATAACTGTGCACGACGTCTCTCTCTCTTTCTCTATTTCTTAGATTTGTTATTCTTGTAATCCGGCAGGCCCTACACGTTGCTTTACATGAAACAATAAGGGAATATTGCAAAATCTACCACATTTCAACAAGTGGCATTAAAAATCTACCACAATCTCAAAAAAATTTCAAAATCTACCATATTCCAATAGCACATGCAGAATGCTGGACCAAAATACCCCTGAATGGGACAGAGTCTGTGTCAGAGACAGAGACAGTTTCGTCTGGCGCTTCCAAAGAAGGAGCAGGTCTGCAATAAATGCTGCACGGTTATTTAAATAATATGTTATATCAGGGACAGATTCAGATCGAATGAGTAATATAATTAGATCAGGGACAAATTCAGATCGAATGGGTGATATAATTAGATCGAGGACAAGTTCAGATCGAATGGGTAATAGAATTAGATCGGGGACAAGTTCATATCGAATGAGTAATAGAATAGATCGGGGACAAGTTCATATCGAATTCAGATAGAATGGGTAATAGAATTAGATCGGAGACAAGTTCAGATCGAATGAGTAAGAGAATCAGATCGAATATGTTATATCGGGGACAAGTTCAGATCGAATGAGTAAGAGAATTAGATCGGGGACAAATTCAGATTGAATGGGTAATAGATATAGATCGAGGACAAGTTCAGATCGAATGGGTAATAGAATTAGATCGGAGACAAGTTCAGATCGAATGAGTAATAGAATTAAATCTGGGACAAGTTCAGATCGAATGAGTAATAGAATTAGATCGGGGACAAGTTCATATCGAATGAGTAATAGAATGAGTAATAGTACTCGGGGACAACTGGATCTTTTTGTTATTTTGCAATAGAAGGAAAAAAAAATTCAATAATCCGGGTAGGTGAAGACAATAATGCTCAACTAATCTGTGGACCAAAATAGATGGTGAAAAATCTAAATAAAATTCGAAACCCTTAAATGAGAACAATTGGTGGACAAGATGTGGAGTTCACGATAATAGAGCAAGATGATGAAATCGGGGACAAGATCTAGACGCAACAGAAAATTCCCAATCGGAGACAAGATATGGAGACAAAAACGAAAGTTAATTGTTTAGTCTCAGGAGATATAATGTTTCTTGGTTAAAGTGCATGTGTTTGAAGGGAGAGAGAGATAAATAGGGAAGCTAAGGTTGTAGGGAAGATAAATAGGGAGGAGAGATAAATAGGGAAGGGAAATAAATAAGGAGGAAAGATAAAAGGGAAGATAAAAAAGGAGGGCAAAATTGTAACTTTACATCAAAATGTGGTATGAGTTGAAAGAAGGGAAGGAATGTGGTAGATTTTGAAAGAAATTGGGAATAAGTGGTAGATTTTGTAGTTTTTCCAAACAATAATGTCGTTTAAAATTAGTATTTTTAATCTCACTGCTAGTAGCTATAAGATTTTGATATCATAAGATCAGTATTATTGATCCGAGACAAAAGAAAGAAAAACTAAAATTATGATCATTAGAGCATGATTAACAATGGTTGCTTAAAAATAGTTCTTAAGAGTATTAAAATAATAAATTTGTAAAAGTGACACATGGATGGATCTTAATGTTAATTTTGGTTCTTAGCTAAGCCACTTTAATTTTGGATTTTAGTCTTTAACAAGATTTTTCTTTAATTTTTTAGCTAAGATTTAGCTAAGAAATGGTTAAGACACCACCGATAATGGTGGTCTTAATCGTCATGTATAGTGTAAGTTATGTGATCTCAAACCATCTCGAGATTGAGTATGATGGGTACAAAAGCAAAGTGGCCAAACCCTGAGCCCTGAGGTAAAGACGTAAAGTAAGTATGTCACTGGGTCTAAATGGTAACCGAGGAATCTAGCTGAATCCGGCTGAATTGCTGAAGTTTTAGTGATTTTTAGCTGAATCTAGCTGAATTTTTACATTTACAAATGGTAACTGCTGAATCTAGCTGAATGTTTTTGTGATTTTTGGTAGAATCTATCAAAATAATAAAGACTTTAACTGAAAAATATCGTCAAAGAATTATGAATATTAATAAAATAATTAAAAAAATATCAAAATAAAATAGATAAAATTATCTAATGATCTAATTAACTGTTATACTAATTAATTGAGTTATTCTTCCATATTTAATTTTTAAACTATGAAATATATAGATAATTAATGAAAAGCTTTGTAAAGCAATATTGATAATTTAATTTAAGAAATTAACATGGTAATTTAATATAGATTATCTAATTGTTTATTTTATGTTGTTTTTACAAAATTTTAAATTATCTAAAAATTATTAAAATTATCCAAAAATCTCTTGTATATTGTGGTAGTGATATATTATGTATCTGAATTATTTATATATCGTATGTGTATAATCTGACTTATTTTAAAAATATAAATTTGATGTGTAATTTTTGATATCGAAAATATTTTAATTCGACTTATGTGTTCGTTATTATCCAAATTTTTACCAGATATAAACGTATGTACGTATCTGTTGGTGCTGAAAAAACTGTTGAATCTGGCTGAATTCAGCTGAATTTAATTTTATGCAAATGATGACTGCGGAATTGCTGAATCTAGCTGAATCCGGCTGAATGTTTTTCTTATGTTACCATTTAAGGCCACTAATTACTCATTGTTTGAACAATTTTATTTATGTGAGAGCACAAGAAACCTGTAAAATATATATATGCCCACGATAATGGAAAATGATGTCACATATCTTTGTAATGAAAACGATGTGATGTAATTAAATTTTATGTCGTTACCTTGGTGCATACACGGCATTTCAAAGATACATATTATTTGCCGTATTTTTTTTTTTTTTTTTTCGTATTTTATTTGTTTTTTTTTTTGGTTTAATGTTAACTAGCTTGAAAACGGTTTATTATTTGATATACAAATAAAACTAAATACTATAATTAATGATTACTTATTAGTGTGGTGATTAAACCATCAATAATACACGTCTATGCTTCCTCAAACCTATAGAGTTTGCACACTTTTGTAAGAAAATAAAGACTTCAAATTAAGCAATACTCTTCTAAATATGTATACGAATAAAACTTGCAAATTGTAAAATCTTGGTTAGAATATCGGTCAACTGGTTTTTCAAAGCAACAAGAAAAGTATACAGAAAACAATTTTGATTTCATCATAATAGTATGACAATCAATCCCAACGTTTTCGTATGTTTTGGAGAAAAATACATTTGTTGAGGCTAATCAACACCTCACTATCATTGAGGCTCCATTCCTAAGAAAGTATATATAAATCCATGAAAATAACTATAGCAATTATGTGGCCTCGTTTGAGGCTCCGAATGGAGACCGAAACGCATAGTGCGGTGCGGTTCTAATAGTAACGAAAATATATATATATATATATTTGTTACTATTGGAACCGCAACACACTTTATCCGCAGTTGAACCGCACATCTCCATCCGGAATAAAGTGTGATTACGTTATTTGATACCAAACAATTGGTTTTAAGTGACCAATGAATTCATTAATTACTTGGTGGAATCTAATAAAACGCTGAACATTTATTTTTATATACTTCAAAAAACGTTGAACATTGGACTCAATATATTTATGAAATGTAAATATATTCCTCTCATTAACAACACTATTAAAATTTTAATTTATTCAACAAATATATAATTTTAAAATTATACACAAAAAAGATATCATAGACCTTAGCAAAATCCACTTGTCACTGGCTGCCATGCAATGCAAATTTCTCAAATGGGAAAAAATATTAAACCAAAGCTATAAAAAATCGTCTCAAAAAAAAAAGACGATCACTAATCAAATCAAGATGCGTAATCTTGAGCTTATTATTTAGTGATACTCTGTTATAAAAGGTCACTCATAATCATAACGGTCTCTCTCTCTTCTCTTTCTCTCTCTCTCTCTTAGACGAAGAACGCTTTCGATACTCTGTTTTTTCCCGCGAAAACGAAACCATGGGTGGTTGTTGCTACTCGAAGCCTCTCGAGAATGTTCAACCTCCGCAACAGCCACAGAATCAGCTCGGCGAAAGCAAGAACGACGAAGTCAAGAACGACGACGGATTTGTAAACTGGCCTTTCACAGAGTTCTTCCTCTCCGATCTTACAACGGCGACCAAGAACTTCAGATCCGACGAGATCATATCAGAGAACGCAGAAGAATCCTCCAATGTTGTCTACAAAGGTCGCTTATCAGAGAATCTTGGTTTCGTCGCTGTCAAGAGATTCAAGAATACGCCTTGGCCTGATCATGAGGACTTTGGGGTACACTTTCTTTGCCTTCAAAACCTTTTAACAATTCTCCGATTCATCTCTTTTGATGGGTTCGGTTCTGTTTCTTCGATCTCCTTCAGGAAGAGGCACAAGAAGTTGGAGAGCTAAAACACAAGAGACTCGTCAAGTTGTTGGGATATTGCTGCGATGAAGAAGAAAGACTTCTTGTTGCAGAGTTCATGCCTAATGATACTCTTGCTAAGCGTTTGTTCCATCGTATGATTCTTACTCTTTTGTTTTTACATAGAAAATTGGTGAATCTGAGGTTTGAGAGGCTTCTTTATGTGACATGATTTGTGCTATAGATTGTGTCAATGTGTATCTGCTTGTAGAATCGATATTGAATCAGAACTTGATAGCATTTCTCTGTGTTCTGTCTTTGAAGTTCTGTTTCTGTTGTGATCACAGAGAAAAACATGGAGTGGTCAATGAGGTTGCGAGTGGCGTATCATATAGCCGAAGCATTAGAATACTGTAGTAGTGCAGGTTTTGCAAAGTACGATAATCTAAGTGCCTCCACTGTTCTGTTTGATAAGGTATGTAAAACAACATTTACACGCCTATGCCTTCTCTCGTATGATCTTATAAGGATGCTAAACTGTTTTACATTGCTTAATGGATATATATATATTGTAGGATGATGATGCGTGTCTTTCCTGTTTCGGTTTAGTGAGGGAGATCATCGATTATGATCGAAGAACAACAGGTACATCAATTTGCATTTCTCTCTTGAGATTATTCATTTCAGAATGTGATGTTTATATTCTCATTGTAGGAAGTGTGAACACTGGGAATGTGACATACAGATTTGGTACTATCCTTGTGAATCTACTAACTGGAGTTGAAATTCCTCCAAGCCATGTAAGTTATTCTGTTCAAGTCTTCTCTTGCTTTCTCTGTGGAATCCTTAGTTTCTTGCAACATAAGCAACATTTCACTGAGTTGTTATTTATCCTCTGTTTCTAGGCTCCTGAGATGATCAATGGAAAGGATATTACTGATCTGATGGATCCAAATCTGATGGGAAAGTTCTCTAAAGAAGAAGCTACCGTGATTTTAAATCTCGCCTCTGACTGTTTGCAGTGCACGGATAGAAAGAGTCTCATCACTGAAGACCTTGTTGCAACACTTGAAGGCTTGCAGGCTAAGAAAGAAGTAAAGAGGCTGACTCTTACCATAATTTTATTCTTGATGATTTTTTTTGCATTCATTTTATAAATTTGAATCATTTTGCTTGCAGATTCCATCTTCTGAAATGCCTAAAATAACAAAGCAGCAGGAGGAGGCATCATCTTCAAGTCAACAACAACTTCCACCCTGAATCTGCTAATAGCTTCAGCAAAGTAACTCTTCTCGAAGCAACATTGTTAGGGAAGAAGAATCTTGATTTCTCTTGGCTAAAAAATGAACTTTATACTTTGACATCTTCTTTGTTGGTTTCTGATTGGGGCGTTTTGTGTAAATTTTTGAGCTAAGACTCAAAACCAAAGTTGAAACCTTGTTTACTATCTTTTATTTTTTTCCATGTTGATTAGTGTAATGACACCAAACCCATGCATGAATTAATGATAAAACAATATACAATTTTTACATAGGGACCTAAATAAAGTGTGATAATCAAATGAGAACTACATACTTAGTGGCTTAGTACAAGTGGCACTGTGGCAATCTAAAACGTTGAACATTTTCTTTTTGTTTTTGATATTCTAAAAAACGTTGAACATTGGAGCCAATATATTAATTATAGAGTTATAATGTAAATAAATTCTTCTCATTAACAATCACTACCAAAAAACTAATTGTTTAAACAATACATAATTATGAAGTTATTAACAAAAAGATATCATAGTCGTAATCTTGATCTTAGTACACAGTAAAAGTTTTCCCAACGGTCTCTGTCTCTCTATAACGAAGAACGCTTTGGAAGCTCTGCTTTGCCGGCGAAAACGTGATCATCATGGGTTGTGGTTGCTTCTCGATGCCTCTCGAGAATCAGCACGACGAACTCAAGAACGACGGATTCAGCGACTGGCCTTTCATAGAGTTCTTCCTCTCCGATCTCACGAAGGCGACCAAGAACTTTAGTGCCAACGAGATCATATCAGAGAACAGAGAAGAATCTTCCAATGTTGTCTACAAAGGTCTTTTATCAGAGATTCTTGACTTCGTCGCTATCAAGAGATTCAAGAATTCAGAGTGGTCTGATCATGAAGAATTTGCGGTATCCTTTCTTTGCTTGTGAATTTTGCGATGGTTATTGATCTCTTTTGATGGGTTTGATTCTGTTTCTTCAGGAAGACGCAAAAGCAGTTGGTGAACTAAAGCACAAGAGACTCGTCAATTTGATTGGTTATTGTTGCGATGAAGATGAAAGGCTTCTTGTTGCAGAGTTCATGCCGAATGATAATCTCGCTACGCGTTTATTCAATCGTATGATTCCTTCTCTTCATTTGTTTTCACATTTAAAATTTGGTTAATGAGTCTGTATTGTTAGTTGTATTTGAGATGACTTGTACTATAGATGGTGTCTATGTATCTGCTTATAGAATCAATTAACAAGTTTTTAGCATTCTCTGTTTTGAATCCGAACTTGTTAGCATTCACAGAGAAAAATCAAACCATGGAATGGTCAATGCGGTTGCGAGTAGGGTATTGTATAGCCGAAGCATTGGAATATTGCAACAGTGCAGGTTTTGCATCGTATAATAACTTAAGTGCTTACTCGGTTCTGTTTGATAAGGTATGTGAAACAACATTTTCATGCCTATACCTTCTTAATGATCTAAGGATGCTAAACTGTTTTCATTGCTTAATGGGATATTGAAGGATGGTGATCCCTGTCTTTCTAGTTTTGGCTTGATAAAGGCGATCAATTATGATCGAAGTCAGAGAACAAGAGGTAATCAATTCGCTTTTCTCTTTTGTTCATATCAGAATGTGTGATGTTACATAATATATTCTCATTGTAGGAATTGTGAACCCTAAAAGTGTGACGTATAGATTTGGTACTATCCTTGTGAATCTGCTAACTGGAAAGCAAGTTCCTCCAAGCCATGTAAGGGATTCTGTTCAAGTCCTCTCTTTAGTAGCTTAGTAATCGTATGGATTAATCATTGCTCTTGACCTTGTGACTGTAACCCTTAAAGAGAATCTGTCAATGTCAATTCCTTGTAACACAAGTCACATATAAGCTCATTAGATTAGTTGTGATTGTAATCCTTAATTTCTTGCAACACAAGCAACATATTACTGAGTTGTTATCTTCCTCTTTCTAGGCTCCTGAGATGATAAACGGAAAGTGTGTTACTGAGCTTATGGATCCAAATCTGAAGGGAAAGTTCTCTGCAGAAGAAGCTTTCGTAGTTTACAAACTCGCCTCTCAATGTTTGCAGTGCGAAAATAGAAAAAGTCTCATCACAAAAGAGCTTGTTGCAACACTTAAAGCCTTGCAAACTAAAACACAAGTAAGCAGGCTTTTACTGTAACTGTAATTACATTCTTGATGATTCCTCGCATTCGTGTTATACATAAAACCGATCTTTTTGCTCACAGACTCCATATATTCAAATGCTTGAACTGGCAAAGCCGCACGAGGTGGGAGCATCTTCAAGTCAACAACAACAGCAAGAAGTAAGAAAAGGAGCTTATTGTCAACCGCATTTAAAATGTAAAATGTAAAAAAAAAGTGATATCTTTTACCTTTGTTATATTAGAAAAAAAAATACATATAGATTCCTCTCTTCTTTTTGTTAAAGGGTTCAAATGAATTCTTCTCATTAAACGAAAATATCAAGACCTTTGCAATTATCCCCTTGTTACACCACCATGCAATGCAAAAACTTCTTAAATATACGAAAATATAATTTTAACCCACTAGTGAAAAACAAGGAATATATAATAACAAAAAAAAAAAAAAAAAAAAAATCATTAGAATATGAGATCAACGATCAAGATTGCGTAATCTTGAGTTTAGATTTTAGACTCTGTTATAAAAGTTTCATCATAAACTCAATTCTTTAGTGATATATACTCTCTTTGTCTCTCTCTTTGTCATTCTCTCTCGCAAAGAACGCTTTTGATACTCTGCTTTTGCCGGCGAAAACGAAACCATGGGTGGTTGTTGCTCCTCGACGCCTCTAGAGATCGATCAACAACCTCCGCAACAGCCGCAGATTCCTCCCGGCGAACGCAAGAACGATGAAGTGATCAAGAACGACGGATTCGTAAACTGGCCTTTCACAGAGTTCTTCCTCTCCGATCTCACGGCAGCGACAAAGAACTTCAGTTCCGATGAGATCATATCAGAGAACGCAGAAGAATCTTCCAACGTTGTCTACAAAGGTCGTTTATCAGAGAATCTTGGTTTCGTCGCTGTCAAGAGATTCAAGAATACACCGTGGGATGATCCTGACTACTTCACGGTACCTTTTCTTTGCCTTTAAACCTTATCAAGTTTGTTGATCTCTTTTGATGGATTCGATTCTGTTTCTTCGGGTTTCTTCAGGAAGACGCAAAAACAGCTGGAGAGCTAAAGCACAAGAGACTTGTCAAGTTGTTGGGATATTGCTGCGAGGAAGATGAAGGACTTCTTGTTTCAGAGTTCATGCCTAATGATACTCTTGCTAAGCGTTTATTCCAGGGTATGATTCATTCTCTTCTTTTGTTTTCACATAGAAAATTTGTGAATTTGAGATTAAGAGTCTGGATTGTTAGTCGTATATGACATGGTTTGTTCTATAGATGGTGTCAATGTATCAGCCTTGTAGGATCGATGAATCAGAACTTGTTAGCATTCTCTGTTTTGAAGATTCTTTTTACTGTTGTGATACACAGAGAAGAACATGGAATGGTCAATGAGGTTGCGAGTGGCTTATCATATAGCTGAAGCATTGGATTATTGCAATAGTAAACGTTTTGACGAGTACCATAATCTAAGTGCTTACACTGTTCTGTTTGATAAGGTATGTGAAACAACATTTTTCATGCCTATGCCTTCTCATGTGATCAAAGGATGCTAAACTGTTTTTACTGGTGAATGGATATGTTGAAGGAGGGTGATGCTTGTCTTTCTAGTTTCGGATTTGTGAGAGAGATCATCCGTTATAATCGAAGAGAAGGAGGTAATAGTCTCACGCTTGTCTCTTCAGATTATTCATATCAGTGTGTGATGTTTTATATTCTCATTGTAGGAAACGTGAGCACTGGGAATGTGACATACAGATTTGGTACTATCCTTTTAAATCTGCTAACTGGAGTTGAAATTCGTCCAAGCCATGTAAGTGATTCTGTTCAAGTCTTCTCTTGCTTTCTCTTGACTTTGTGGAATCCTTAGTTTCTTGCAACACAAGCAACATTTTACTGAGTTGTTATTTATTCTCTGTTTCTAGGCTCTTGAGATGATCAATGGAAAGGATGTTACTGAGCTGATGGATCCATATCTGAAGGGAAAGTTCTCTACAGAAGAAGCTACTGTAGTTTTAAAACTCGCCTCTGAATGTTTGCAGTGGAAGGATTATATAGAGAATCGCATCACTAAAGAGCTTGTTGCAACACTTGAAGCCTTGCAGTCTAAAAAAGAAGTAAGGAGACTTACTTTTACTGTAATTGCATCCTTGACGACTTTTCGCATATATGTTATAAAACCGAATCATTTTGCTTGCAGATTCCATCTTCTCAAAAGTCTGAAACAACAAAGCTGCAGGAGGAGGCGTCATCTTCAAGTCAACAACAACTTCCACCCTGAAACTGCTAATAGCTTCAAAAAAGTAACTCTTCTCGAAGAAACATTGTTAGGGTAGAAGAATCTTGATTTCTCTAGGATAAAAAATGAACTATATACTTTGACATTTTCTTTGTTGGTTTCTGATTGGGGCGTTTTGTGTATTTTCTGAGCTAAGACTCAAAAACAAAGTTGAAACCTTTTTCCATTTTTTTGGTGTAATGACATTGTGAAGAAACACCATACCCATGCATGCATGATACATATACATGTATGATCAAACAATATACAGTTTTTACATAAGAGATAAAGATTCAACGTTATGAAAATGATGAGCTGCATTCATAAAGCTAATAAGTAATAACACTTGCGGCATTTCATCAACTAATTAAGTTATATATAGAATACAAATATACAATACCACAATCCTATAAGTTCATCATACAAATCATCACACATATATACAGAGAGAGTTTTGTTAAGAAAAGAGCCAATACCCAATAAACATAAATAAGTTTAATTATGTTATTATATATCAAAGTCCTAACCTAAGATCTAAAGAACAATCTAACGTTGTGTCTGAAGATGTCGACGCAGGAACATTAAGATCGATGCCCCTGACTTGGTTCTCTTCCGGATCTTTTTCCCAATGACATCTCATGTGACCACCTAACGCTTGACCACTGGAAAACACTCTAGAACAGATGTTACATCGATGATTCATCCCTGAGACCAACTTCACACCCTTGCCCTTATCTTTATCAACGATCTCTTGAGGAGGAGGAGGAGGAGGCGGAGGAGGAGGAGGAGAAGGAGGAGGATCTTCGGTTATGTTTGTAATGGCTAAACATCCTTTGGCATGTGTTGCTCTATGTCCATCTAACGCTTGATGTGACCCAAACACTTTCTTACAACCACCACACTCAAACCGTTCCTCAACTCCACTTGAACCAGGCGAGACACCACCACTAGCCAACATTAGTAACAAAGAGGCTATGTTATGCTCTTCCTCCGATGCATCCCAACTCGAGGATGATGACGCAGCGGTTGCGTTGATCCCACGTTGGAACTTAACAGGAGGGTTGATGCCACGCCACTGACGTTCAGGGTGACATCTCATGTGTCCAAAGAGTGCCTTCAATGACCCGAATTGTTTACCACATTCAGTACATGGTGCGATTTGTGAAGCATCAGGATCCGGTTGCGCGACCAGATTAGGCCTTGGAGAAGAAGAAGAAGAACCGGTTTCGTTGTTGGTGAGTTTAGTACGTTTTCTTCTTGGGTTTTGATTGTAACTCGGAAGAGTTAAATTCGATGAAGCAAATGGGATATCGGAATCGGGATCGGAGTTTGAAGTGTTCGACATTATTATGAGTCTCTCTACTAGAGAGAGACGAGACCAGAAAACTAAAAGAGAGGAAAAAAAAAGTGGAAGAGTGGGAGTTATGGTTGGTTAAGTAGAAGCGGAACAAGTTAGTTTTCATTTACGGTTTCTTTGCAGTTACTTGTCCAATCGTTGTTACATGTCCCTATTTTGTCGGATTTACATTTGTTTTTTATTTTCTTTTAATAATTACTGTACTTTTTTTCTCTGTTATCGCTCTCACAAATTTTCAACGTTACTAGAGCTATATTTATAAAGAATTAACGATAAATGGAGATAAGATAACGTAAATGTACCAATTCCACATTTCGAAACCAACTTCTACAGATGTACGATGTAACAACTTCAAATAGAATCTGAAAGATAACAGAGGACCCAAAGTATGTAAAAAAGGTTATGGGGATGGGTAAAGAGGAAGAAGAAGATGACCACTGAAAACAAATACTGTATCCGATGCGCGGCTTTTCTATCCACAAGTTTGCGATCCTATCATAAATGTAGTTATACGAATTCCATAAATTTCATTACTGGAAAACACATTCAAGCTGTTTATTCTATAACTGAGAAGCCAGGTGGAGGAGAGACATCAGTTCACGAACCTGTGTATGCTACTGGCCAATACTCCCCAAGAGTCGTTCTACAGCAGCGTTAACATTGCCATTGGTTGCAAGCAAAGCTCTTATGTTCTCTGCTCTGTCGTAGAATCCCATTTCTTGCAACTGTTGCAACTGAGTCGCAAATCGCTCTTCAGGAGGAACTGGAATCAAACAGACATGTTTCAGTGGAACCATCTCAATAGATACATAAGAAATCAAAGTATAGTCCCTAGTGAATCTAACCATTGGGTTGGTTTGTGCCACTCAGGCCGCCAGCACCAAGACTGCCAAACATATTCATCAATAAATCCAGCCCTCCGTTATTGGCGGTCCCTGTAAATATTTCCATAGTATGATTTACTCAATAAGCAACATATGAATATACGATTAAAGTAGAGCAAAGAGAACAAAAAAAAAGCACACTGTCTAAGTGAAATAGCTAAAGCCATCATACTTCAATTACAGATAATATCTTAAAGAGTACCTGTCGCAGCACCAGTTTGCGTTGGATCCCTACAAAGAAGATGGATTGGGAACATGAATAGAGGTTGATGGAAATCAAGATAGAAAGATCAGCACACTGATATCAAATGTTAAGAGATAGAACCAAACGAACAAAAATGTTTATGCTCCTATTCAAGTTTATTTCAACTACTAAAATGCTTTACAGCCATTGATAGAGGTCGCTAATGATCAGCCCAGTAAAACATACAAGAGTTACCATTAATGATTCAACCCATTTCTTACTTAATATCAAGATAGTTCACCACCGATAGAATTATCTGTTTACCTAGTCACACTATTTTCTAAACACAGATCAACCCAAAATCCTATTATGATAGATAAAGGACATTAACTACTCAACTACTGTTTCAACTAAAGAAAACAGAAAAGGGTATCCAAACTTACTGGCCAGCCGTGTTTCTATTCTGAGAGAAAAGTGATTGTTGTAGAGACATCATTTGCTAAAAAAGACCAAAAAACAATCAAAAACATTAAGTCGGAGAAATTTGACTACTGAATGATACAAAAATATCTATTTGGAGAGACAACATGGGCCCAACTGACCTGCATCATCTCTGGAGAGCTAAACTGGCGAAGGAATTCAGGGTTCTGCATCATTTCCCTCAACTGAGGATTCATATCTAGCATGCTTCGGAGTTGCGGGTTGAGACTCATAAGCTGGAATAAACAGAAAACATTATAGACAGGTTCACAATAGCAACAATGTCTTAAATTCAGATTATTGAAGGCGCTACCTGATTCATGTATTGTGGATTGGAAAGTACACTTTGCATCATCTGCGACATAGCTGGGTTTTGCAGTATTTGGCTCAACTGAGAAGCATCTGGAGCCGCACCAAGAGGTGAGTCTGCTCCCAGCATACCGAGTCCACCGAGGCCTCCAAGACCAGCAAGGCCACCAAGACCACCAAGTCCAGCGCTTCTCGCATCCCCACCAGCATTTGTCCTTCCAGGGGCAGTTGTTTGGCCTGTCAAGTAGCCCCACAATATGTTCTAAAATGTTTAGTGCATTACGAGTAACAGTTAAACTAGAAACAAACAGCCAAGAAACTTATTCATACACAAACTACTCATAACAACAAACTGTGAGAACTATATGAACTCACCAATTTTTCTTATAAACAACATTATTCCTGACCAGTGTGGTGAACATGAACTTTCCACTTCTTACAAACAAATAACTCTTGGTTTTATAAAATAATATTGCATCCTTAAACGACGAGTAAAATCTCATATGAAATTAAGAGGATGAGAATGCAGTTTCTTACCAGCCGTAGCACCCCATGGATTAGGAAGTGGATTTGCATTAGGTGTACCCGTTTCAGCATTCGGTGTCGAAGTATTATTAGAGACATCGCTTCCTTGTGTAGTGACCCCCTGGTTTCCCAGAAGAGCAGCAAATGGATTAGAGCCTGTATTGCTTCCAGCATTCCCGGACATAGTGGTAGCATTCATTAACGGTTCCTGAACATTTTCATACATACGCCTAAGCATGTTAAATCCCTCAGGCATAGACTCAATATTACTCATAGCCCTATCGGTATTCCGCATCATTTCACGCATAAGCTCTGGGTTTCTTGCCGCTTCTAGAGTTTGACGAAGGATGCTTGGGTCATTGAGCACATGACCAAGCTCAGGATTGCGATCCACAAGCTCACGCATTTGAGGGTTATTCATAATCATACTCCTCATAAATTCTGGGTTGTTCATAAGATTCTGGATGGCTGGAGTATTCATCATATCTCTAATCATGTTAGGGTTTTGAGCTAGTTGTTGCTGTGCCTGCTCCAGATCCGGAAGACCAGATCCAAATAACCCAGCCATAGCATTTCCACCACCCAAAGGATTAAATCCAAGCCCAGGGAACAAAGATTCCCCTCCTCCGAGGTTTGAGCTATCATTTGAACCAACCGCTTGCGGAGCAGTGGTTTGGTTTCCAGCATTTGCAGCGGGAGCAGAAGGAGAAGAAGGTACAAAACCTCGAACCATATGAACAGTGTGATCAGCCTGCAAACCTATATATAACATGGTCCACAGAGAAAGGAAACATAAGATACAACACAATCACATCAACAATGAAATATATAACAGCCATTAATGAGCATATATCACAATTCATAAAATCATCCATGCTTCTGCAAATGAGCATCACCAAAACAGAAAAACCTTCGCCAACAAAAACCGTAACATAAATCCATTTTTATATTTGCAAACCCTATGAGATTTCAATCAAATCAAATCAACGGAGCAACAGAAATCCAACACGAAATGATCAGAAAAAGTACCATAGCTGAGAAGCGTCTGATCGTCCTTGAGGATACGTCCCTTGTAAATCAAACGCTGCTGATTGGCCGGCACATCGCTGTTCTGCGCAATCAACTCTTTGAAAGACTCGACCGTGGAATCGAGACTCGTCGTCACACTAAATTTCGAGCCATTGGAACACCGGACGTTCACGGCAACAGCTTCTCCTCCAGCTCCGCCTTCAGCAGTCAGCGGCTGACTCGAATCTCCTTCACCACCCATTCTAATTTCAGATCCTAGTTCAACAAATCGCGAAATCGATCGGAGATTCAAAATCTCTAACCCTAGAAAAAAATCGAAGAAGAAGATTTGAGGAGACTCGAACCAGCTCTAAGTCGGTTCTTTAGAGATTTCTTGAGGAAATAAATATTTTTGGTCGAATAACAAAATGAAGAAGACTGCAGAGAAATTAAAGAGAAAGGACTTATTTGTTGGCCCGAACGGCCAATTAAATGAGAATCCAGAAATGAATGACTTGCGCTTCAGAGAACGTATCTGACTCCAACCGGGTAAGATTGGGCCGGTCCGGGCCGGGCCGGGTCGGGTCTAAAACCAAAACCTGTATCCGAATTGAGGCATTTGGTATATATAGTTCAGGTAGGAATTGGCTGAATGAAACTTGGAGTTGAAACTAATTGAAGATGAATCAACAAATTGGATATTCCCTTGCAAGTTGCAACATGCCGTTTCTCTTTTTGGGCAATTTGGTTTAAACTTTGAACCAGTTTTATGGAAGGAACCAAACTTTTTAATGGCTTCGGTTTCACTTTGATGTCTCCTCCATACTCTTAAACATATTCCGAAACCAACATTTACAGATGTATGTTGGAACAACTTCAGATCAATTATGAAAGATAACAATATGTTAAAGAGGAAGAAGATGACCACTAAAACAAATACCGTATTGAATGCGGCTTTTCTATCCACAAAGTTCACGATCCTATCATATATAAATTTTAAGAATTCCATGAATATTCATTACTGAAAACACACATTCAAGCTGTTTATTCTATAACTGAGAAGCCAGATGGAGAAACCTCAGTTCACCAACCTGTATGCTACTGTCCGATACTCCCCAAGAGTCGTTCTACAGCAGCATTAACGTTACCATTGGTTGCAAGCAATGCTCTTATGTTCTCTGCTCTGTCGTAGAATCCCATTTCCTGTAACTGTTGCAATTGAGTAGCGTATCGCTCCTCAGGAGGTACTGGAATCAAACAGACAAGTTTCAATGGAACCATCAAAACAGATAGGTAAGATAAAACATGTGTAGTCCCTAGCGAATCTAACCATTGGGTTGGTTTGTGCCACTCAGGCCGCCAGCACCAAGACCGCCAAACATATTCATCAATAAATCCAGCCCCCCGTTATTGTTCGTCCCTAACAATATTTTCATCGTATTAACTTATATACGATAACAATATGTGCTAAAGTAAAGCATAGATGGAAATAAAGAGAACAAAAAGAGTAGCTACTATACCAAGTCACATAACTAAACCGTTTATACTATATATTAAGTACATATATTATCATTAAGAGTACCTGTGGCAGCACCAGTTTGCCCCGCATCCCTACAGAGAAGATAGATTTGGAAACATGAATTCGGATTGATGGGAAAAAAAAAATACAGAGATTCACACACATAGCTTATGCAAAAAGGCATAATCAAAAACAAACAAAAATGTGTATGCTCCTATTCAAGTTTATTCCTACGATTAAAATGCTTTATTTATATCCCCCTTGCTGGAGGTTACTAGTGAACAGCCCAGTAAACCATACATGAGTTGAGTTGCTGCGTTACTCATAGTTCAATCCTTTTCTTAATATAGATATCGTTCACAACCAATCTGTTTAGCTAGTTACAATATTGTCTAAACACTAAACAACCCAAAAAAACAATTAAGATACATAAAGGACATGTAAATGCTCAACTTTGTTTAAGCAAATCCAAACACCGAAGGGTATTTAAAAACTTACTGGCTGGCTGTGTTTCTATTCTGAGATAAAAGTGATTGCTGTAGAGTCATCATTTGCTGAAGACCAAAAAACAATAGAAAACATTAGGTTTAAGAAACTTCTTTACTTGAAAATAGCTTAGATACACATAAATGTTTCTTTCGAGAGACCACATGTTCAAAATTCATATGCATACAGACAATAGAGGACCAACTAACCTGCATCATCTCCGGAGAACTAAACTGACGAAGGAAATCTGGATTCTGCATCATTTCCCTCAACTGAGGATTCGAATCTAGCATGCTTCGGAGTTGTGGGTTAAGATTCATAAGCTGGACTCAAGGGAAAACATTTAATATATGATCACAAGGTAAAAGGTCTTAACTTCAGATTATTCTGTTTGCCAAAAAAAAAAAAGTTCAGATTATTCTAGGCCTACCTGATTCATGTATTGTGGATTGGAAAATACGCTTTGCATCATCTGCGACATGGCTGGGTTTTGCAATAACTGGCTCAATTGAGAAGCATCTGGAGTGGCACCAAGAGGTGAATCCGCTCCAAGCATACCAAGTCCACCGAGGCCTCCAAGACCCCCAAGACCACCAAGGCCACCAAGTCCAGGGCTTCTCGCATCCCCAGCAGCATTTGTCCTTCCAGGGGCAGTTGTCTGGCCTGTCAAGTAGGCCCACAATATGTTTAATTATGTTTAGTGTATTACAAGTAAATGTTAAATTAGAAATAATCAGCCAAGAAACTCATTCATGCAAAAACTACTCATAACAACAAATTGTGATAACTACATTAACTCACCAGTTTATTATACAGAATATTGTTCCTGAACCAGTGCAGTAAACAGTAACTTCTATTTCTTATAAACAAGCCACTTTTTCTATTATAAATATTATTGCATCCTTCAAAAGACACGTAAAATCGACTGGAGATTAAGAAGATGAGAATGCAGCTACTTACCACCCGTAGCACCCCAAGGGTTAGGAAGTGGATTTGCATTCGGAATAGTTCCCGTTCCCGTATTTGTTGTGGAAGAGTTATTAGAAGCATCACTTCCTTGAGTAGTAACCCCCTGGTTTCCCAGGAGAGCAGCAAACGGATTGGAGCTTGTATTGTTTCCAGCATTCCCTGACATAGTAGTAGCATTCAAGAACGGTTCTTGGACATTTTCATACATACGCCTAAGCATGTTAAATCCCTCAGGCATAGACTCAATATTACTCATCGCCCTATCGGTATTCCGCATCATTTCACGCATAAGCTCTGGGTTTCTCGCTGCCTCTAAAGTTTGCCGAAGGATGCTTGGGTCATTGAGCACATGACCAAGTTCAGGATTGCGATCTACAAGCTCACGCATTTGAGGGTTACTCATAATCATACTCCTCATAAATTCTGGGTTGTTCATAAGATTCTGGATGGCAGGTGTATTCATCATATCTCTAATCATATTAGGGTTTTGAGCTAGTTGTTGCTGTGCCTGCTCAAGATCCGGAAGACCAGCTCCAAATAACCCAGCCATAGCATTTCCACCACCCAAAGGATTAAATCCAAGCCCAGGGAACAAAGATTCCCCAGGACTCACTCCTCCTAGATTCGAGCTATTATCTGAACCAACCCCTCGAGTAACACTAGGTGCAGTGGTTTGGTTTCCAGCATTCGCAGCCGGAGCAGAAGGTGGTGCTGAAGAAGGTGCAGAGCCTCGAACCATATGAATTGTGTGATCAGCCTGCAAACCTATAGTAAACAAAGAATGGAAACATTAAGGCTCACAGAACAATAAAACTTGTATGTATCATTAACACTTCCATTAACAATATCTCCATATTCTTCCCATAGTAATCATCTATCAAAAAGCTTCCCCCACAAAAACCTTACCACAAATTCAATTTTATGAGATTTCAATCAATAAGATCCACAAGAACAAATCAGAAACGATGAAGATTACCATAGCTGAGGAGAGTCTGATCGTCTTTGAGGATCCGACCCTTATAAATCAAGCGCTGCTGATTAGCTGGAACATCGCTGCTCTGAGCCACCAACTCTTTGAAAGACTCCACCGTCGAATCGAGACTCGACTTCACACTAAATTTCGTGCCATTCGAGCACCTGATGTTCACGGCCACAGCTTCTCCTTCTCCAGTCTGCGGCTGACTCGAATCTCCCTCTCCACCCATTTCTAATTTCGGATCCTATAGCTTAAACAAATCACAGAGCTCGCGAAATCGATCAGAAGCCCTAACCCTAGAAAAATTCAATCAAGATTTAGACAAAAGCTCTAAGTCGGTTCGGTAGAAGAAATGGATCGAAGAAAACGAAACTTAAGACTTTCTGCTCGAGAGAGAACGTATCGACTCGAATCGGGTCGGGTCAGATTGACTTGAGTCAATTCAAGTCGGTTCGGGTAACAAAAACCCGGTTCATTTCACTCGGATCGGAGATACTATTTGTCTGCTTCGTTGAGGCCCAATGGGCCTTAGTTTATCGGTCCTACCGTATCGTCTAACCTCATGCATCTGTGAAGACTCTGAACGACATCGTTTAACTCAGAATCATTCTGGTTTAACTTGTCTCCAGCCAAAAACTTTCTAGCCATGCTTCCTTCAAGAACCATGCTATAACCCGCAACGACTCGAACCTTTCTCTCCTTCACCAACCTTCTCATCATCGCTACATCGACCCATGATTTCTCTGCAGCAAAGGCGCTTGATGCAAGCAAATAACCTGAAGAACACAATGGCTCGAGTTCAAGAACCTCCGCTACTACCTCTGAGGTAATGATCCCACTTCTTAAACGGTTTCTGCAACCGCTAAGAATCGCTCCCCAAGCACTAGCCCCGGCTTTGACGTCTTCTGGAAGGTTCTTTATTAGTTCCATCGCGGTATCAATCTCTCCAGCTCGGCTAAGCATATCTACAATGCAAGAGTAATGATGCAATGAAGGTTTTTGATCTTCTTCTACCATTGATTTGAAGATCATGAGACCTTTCTTTACCAATCCTCCATGATTGCAAGCTGATAAAACTGCCAGATATGTCACAGCATTTGGTGTGTAACCTTTTTGTTTCATTTCATCGAACGATGTTAATGCTTTATCCGGTAAACCGTTAATAGCATATGCTGAAATGATCACGGTCCAAGAGACGATGTTTTTCTCAGTGATTTGATCAAATGTCCTTCTTGCAACATCTATGGCACCACATTTTGCGTATGCGTCAACAATAGAGGTATCAACTGAGATGTCATTGATGGCTAAGCCTCTCCGGATAGCAATTCCATGTGCCCATTTGGAAGTTCTCAAGACTGCTGAAACTGAGCATGCGCTAAGAAGACTTATGACGGTGATTGTGTTGGGCTTATCCCTCATCTGACAGAAGATTGAGATTGCTTCATCGGGTCGGCCAGCACGGGCTAATCCAGAGATCATTGTGCTACATGACACCACATCCTTGTATGTCATCGAATCAAGCACGATTCTTGCATCATCAACAAGACTGCAGCTTGTATATGCATCAATCAAAGAACTCAATGCCACTTCGTTTGACTCGTATGCACGCCGGATTATTACACCATGTATTGACTTGCAGGGCAATGGCTGCTCAAAGAACTTACAAACCTGGAGAAGACTCACGAGAGTAACTCCATCCGCTTCAATCGCCTCTTTTTTCATCAAACGAACCATCTCAAGAGCCTCATCGTACATTTGATTGTGTACAAACCCAGCCAAAATCGAATTCCATGAAACAATGTTTCGACAAGTCGTCTCATCAAATACTCTAAATGCTGAATCAACATCAAATCCTTTGGAATACATATCAATGAGTGAATTACGCACAAACACATCAGCCAAATCAAAACCTCTCCGTATCGAAAACCCATGAACTGATCTTCCCACATCAATGTCCTCCAAAACCGCACAAGCCTTGAGAACACTTGTTACAGTTACACAATCAGGCTCTGTTTTCGCCTCGCGAACCATCTCTTTAAACACCTCCAATCCCAAAACAGGTTCCTTGCTTTGCACATAACTTCTGATAACAACACTCCACGAAATAACATCTCTGTCAGACATTTCGTCGAACAGTCTACGTGCACTTATAGAATCACACTCTGAGTACATACACAAGATCGAATTTTGAACAGACGAAATCCCCAAAAACCCACTACGGATCACATAGCCATGAATCTTCTCTCCATCAAACCATAAACTACGACACGCATGAATCACAAGAACCAATGTTGAAACATTAGGCTCAAAACCCCAAACTCTTAACTTCGAAAACCACCATAACCCTTTTTCTTCAAAACCATGATCGAGAAGCCCAAAAACGATAACATTCCAAGACACAGAATCTCTCGAACTCATACCATCAAATGCTCGTAACCCAGAACACAAGTCTCCACATTTCATATAGAAATCAGCAATCGAATTCCCCACAGAAACATAAGACTCAAAGCCTCTCTTTAACAGACTCGCTTGGATACATCTACCTTGAAACAGCCATGAGAGCTTAGCACAAGCTTTAAAAACAATGGGGAAAACAAAAGGATCGTTAAATTGAATTCCAGCTCTCTGTATCTCGGAATACCCAGAAACCACTTCCCGCCATTTTCCATTAACGGAAGCTTGCTTAATCTTTGAAGACAAAGCTTGTAGCTTTGAACACAGGTGTGATCCCATTACCATAAAGTTTGAAGCTTTCACAAATTGTGTGAATAATGGCTTATCTATTGATGACCATTAGTTAAACCTTTTCATAATCTGGTTTAACCATTTGAGTAAATTATATTACACACACTAATACAGGTACAAGATATGTTTTGTTTTCTCTAGTATACATACGAATGGGTTCTGATTATCTTTAACAAATACAAAACTAAAAAAAGAATCTCGTGTAGTCGTGTCTTCAAAACCACACTAGTGAGCTCGAGCCATGGTATGCCTCGGACGAAATGAAGAGAGTTGTTGCGGGCGATAATGGCCTTGTTGTTGACGGACGGATGGGGAAGCTCTAGTGGTTCTTCGTTCTAACGGTTTCTCATTGGCAGCTTCTATGAGTTCGAGCGATTCTACCACTTCTTTCATCGATGGACGGTTTTTGGGTTCTGGTCCAAGGCATTTCAGAGCAAGTTGAGCGACTCGGAAAGCGGATTTGAAAGGGAATTTTCCTTCTAGACGAGGGTCCATTATGCTCCTTAGCTTTCTTCTTTCGGATAGATGAGGTTTGATCCATTCGGTTAGATTGTGTTGCCCGGTAGGACGGGTAGGATCAAGCGCATGTAAACCAGTTAAGATCTCAGCCAAAACAACGCCAAACCCGTAAACATCACTCTTTACATACAAGTGACCTGTTGAACCAACAAACATGTTCACAGTTTTGTTGGAAACCAAAAGAACTAAGAATACAAAACATTGTAGTACCTGTAGCAACATACTCTGGAGCTGCATAACCGTGTGTACCCATAACCCGTGTTGTGATGTGAGATTGACTCGCGGAAGGACCTAATTTCGCCAATCCAAAATCCGATATCTTTGCGTTATATGACTGCACCAAAAGCAAACCAGTTGAAATTCCACACTTGATGATTTGCTACATCAAATCCATAAGCAATCTGTATTTCCTTACCCCATCAAGTAGAATGTTTGACGCTTTGAAGTCTCGATAAATTACTTGCTTTTCTGAAGCGTGCAAGAATGCTAAGCCTTTAGCTGCTCCTATTGCGATCTTAAGCCTTATCTCCCATGAGAGCGGCTGAACGGAAGAGCCCTCTGAAGGAATAGAAGTAAATAAAGCAATGACAAATCATGCGGATTGGGGAATCATCCGATCAAAATATCGAGATAAAATGTGCATATAAGCAAAGGATTCTAATTAAAGAAGGTTCTTACTTCGGAAGAGATGATTCTCTAAGCTCCCTTTTTGCATATACTCATACACAAGAAGCAATTCTTCACCTTCCAAGCAATATCCCAACAGTTTCACGAGGTTTGGATGAGAAACCCTCCCAAGAAAATTCACTTCACACTGCACAAAAACCAACAAAGAATCTATCCAGTAAACAAACAAAACTCCACATTGCATATCAAAGAAAACTACTTTTCCATGATTCATCCGAGAAGCCGACTTTACTCACTTGCCATTCCTCGAATCCTTGGAAGCTTTCTGCATTCAGTTTCTTAACAGCAATCACAGTTCGATTACTGTGTTTCCCAGCCGTCTTGTCTTCAAGCCAGCCCTTAAAGACTTTCCCAAATCCTCCCTCTCCAAGAACATTCTCAGACCTGAAATTCCTTGTTGCAGCTCTAAGTTCTGCTAAGCTGAATATCCTCAAATTCGGAATGGGAAGTATCTGACCATCGGGATAAGCATCTTCACCACTTGCCACAGAGAACCCACTATTGCTAGATATGTTACTTCCCCTTGATGTTCCTGTAGTCGTCGTGTTGTTTGATGACTTAAAAGTCCCTACTTCAATTACAACCATAAGAAAACAAAGTCAAGCCCAAAACACAGAAGCACATAACAGATCACAAACAGCATTAAAGGTCGAAACTTTCAGAGAACCCATAAGAGATAACACCAAAAGAAGAGTCACAAACCAACAAACCAAGTCTAAAACCATACACAGAGATGTAAAAACGTAACCTTTATGCATCAAACAAACAAGTACAAAAAAATCGCAACGTATGACGCAAGTTTAAGCAAAACCCAGATGGGAAAATTCAGAAGATTGAGAGAACAAACCTGAACTGATGTTACCAGTAGAGGTAGGTGTTGCTGTTGGAGGAGAATCAGATGGAGATCCCCAACAAAGTCCCATCCCAACAAAGAAAAATTAAAAGCCAGACCCTTTTTGCTTCCTTTACAAATATATAACACGTATCTCTCTGTCTGTCTTAAACAATACCTTTGTCAGAGGATTTTACAGAAGTCAAAGAGAGAAAAAAAAATGGCGTGTGAAGCTAAAACAGAGTACTTTACAAGAAAAGATACAATATTGATGGATAGAGATCGGACAAGTATCGTTTAAATTGGGTGTGAATGATTAGAAAAAGAAGAAAAGAAAAGATAAAACTTTTTTTATCTGCTCCAATTCGACGAAATTTCTTCCGACAGGTTTATTTATTGAATTGAGAATTTTGTGGTGTGAGGAGCATAAGCAAGTGGTTAGTTATCATTCATGGGCATTGAGAGAAGAGAGAGAAGACTGAGTCATAAGAATGGTGGTGCAAGGATTTGAGGAAGAATAAGGAGAGAGGTTTTAGGTCTAAGTCAACTCTAAAGAAAAATATTTCCATGAGACCACCAAATAAAGAGAAAAACAATCAAGGCCCCAAACAGTTATCCTCTGTATTTTCTTCATTTGAAACTTTATTTTACTTTTCAACAAGTCTCTATCGGTTGTTGGATTATATAAATATGTTTTAAATTATATTTTTATATAATTAATTTGGTCTGTAAAAAAAATCAATTATATTTTTATTATATATTTAAGACAGAAAGTCAATTTTGAATTTTGTTAAAATAATAGTTAAAAACAATGTTTTTGGTCATGTAAACTCAATTAAAATTCATTGTTGCTTTCAATTTGTTTTTGAAAAATTAAAAGATATTTAGCATTTCAATATTTTTTATAACATACCATGTATTTTCCCTATGTAAATACATATAACATACCATGTATTTTGGTCATGTAAACTCAATTAAAATTCATTGTTGCTTTCAATTTGTTTTTGAAAAATTAAAAGATATTTAGCATTTTCAATATTTTTTATAACATACCATGTATTTTCCCTATATAAATATTTAAAATGTCCAATTAAATAAAATATAGATAGCTCTTTTCATGTAAATAAATTAATAATCTATTTTTTAGATTTCTTTTTCACGGCACTTTTTGGTAAATTATAGGACCAAAATCCAAGACTGAATATATTGGTTGCATACAGACAAAAAAAATGTTTGTCGAGTTCATGAACGTGATCTTGGCGTTTTAAGTAGAATGACAAAAAAAAAAAAAAAGTTGAGTGACAAAAAAAATGAGTTTGATGTGAATGGAAAGATCTTAGGAAATTAAAGTTGATTCACCATTGAAAACTTGAGTCACTCACCTATTTTACTGTGTGTAAGGCCTTTTATCTTGACATTTCTTTTTCATTTTGACTGCACTGAAATATGAGCTAAATAGATAAGTTTTGAACCAAAAACCCTTTTCTTTCTATCGAGATCTTATATAGTATATAGTCTCCCTCCTAACACACACTTGATTAACGAAAGCTTTTACAAAGACTAGAAGAAGCTTGGAGATGAAAAAGATAACCATGTAAAATAGAATCAAAACAAGAATCATTATTGCTCAAATGAGCTTGATAATATAGATATAAGGATATGAAATGAAATACTAATGCAATGAAAAGTAAAAGGGAAGAACTTTAGATTGTCACCAAAACATAAATCGATTTTGATTAATAATTCATAAATGTGAAGAAAGAGAGTTGTTTTGAGACAACAAATATTTATATAGAAACATATCTTGTTTGGAAACTCTAATTACATGTGCCATCACATAGGATTTTAGACTTCCAATGAGACACTATTTTGGGCTTCATATGAATCTTCTAATATGTTTTTCACTACTTGTGTACAAACTAGTTAGTTTTAAAAATTTTGTAAACAACATTTATTTTCACTAAACCAGATATATTAGTCAACATTTTATAAAGATATTGTTTAAAAATCAATGGAGGAGTGAAAATTAGTATATAACAGGTATAAGAAAAGTATAGTCTAATAGTTGATTGAGTGTTTAATTAATGTTTCTTCTTCTAATAGAATTGTCTATTGTGATTATGTGTGTTACAAGTAAAAATGTTTATCGTGTGCATGTAAAATATTGTGATCGATCGGTTAGTAATAGTACGTAGTATTCTTTAAAATGAGCAACATACGAAAAGCTGACCAACAAAAATGGAAAAACATACAAAACAAACGAGTTAAGATTGTGCAAAACAAATCATACGTGCATCATTAAAATAATATGAACACGACTACAATAATGTAAGCATGGCAGCCTTCTCACGCGTAATGCGTCGGTCAAATGATCATGATGCATATATTTTTGTCGATGGAACAATTTAAAAGAAATAAAATTAAAAGTTGATGTGCTAGAAGAAAAAAGAAAACATATTTGTCTAGGGAGGTAAACAAAGTTATTCAAGCTTTTTTCCTTTTTTGTGTATCTTCAATCTCATGGTACATGTCTAATTAAGTAATCATGTAAATATATTTGTTTGATATACCAAACAAAAGTTACATTGTTGATCATTCACGATATTTAGACGTTTAATTTCTATCAATTTGTTTCGTAGCATTATTTTTTGATAAAGGGTTTCCTATATTTGAGACTTTTAGTACAAAAAGACAATTAGTGAATTTTGTTTGTGTATGTTTTTTTACACATACGTACGTAATACGTTAATCTAAAATATGTTGAAGGAGAAAATAAGTTACATCTAGAACGAGGTGGCTTGATCCAAACTGGGCTTTGTTTGTTCTTGTCTTCGTGATGTATCTTTTGGGCCAACCCAAATATTAATTTCATTTTCATTCATCTTATGAAGAGTAACACTTCACCTTTCTTTCTTTATTTAACTCAAACATACTTCATTCGTAACTGATACTAGGAAGCAATCACAGGGTTTTCCCTCTCCAAAATATGTCTTAATCAAGGAGGAGCATTACACTCCAAAATAGCAAAATGAAGTGGACATGAAAATATAGATTTTGCTATAAAAGATGGCTTCAAATTAAAAGACCATTTCTTCGACCAAGTATCTTGCTTGTGCTACTCTTCAAACATGACCATGATGATTGAGGACGGGTCTTTGATGCCTGAACCAGATTCTTGGTCACTTTCAAAAATGATATCCTCGAAACCCAAGTTGTTGATGCATGACATTGCACACACCATCACATACGCTTCTGCATCCAAATCTGTCCTTAACCTAGGGTATGCTTTTGCACCAAACCATCTTAATACTTCATCTTATAATATAACAATGATAAATGTGAACTACAATCGATAAATATTAATTCATAACATTAAATAGACGTACATAGTTAGTAAAATTAATACTCCCTCTATTTCAAATTATAAGATGTTTAAGGTAAACACACACATATTTAGGTAGTTTGTTTGTTTTTTTTAAATATGATTTGTATTTAATAAAAACAAATCTCATCAATCATAAAAAATACCGCAGAATATAAATGGTCAGAAATGATCAAATGCATTTAACTTTGCATAGAAACTTGCAAAACATCTGATATTATGAAACAAAAAAATGTCTAAAACATCTTATAATTTGAAACAAAGGGAGTATAATTTATTAATAAGTTGAATTTTATACTCATTTTTAAACCCACAACTGTAGTTAACCAATTAAGACTAACAAGCAAACCAAGCTCGTCCCGCTAGGTCCGGCCAAAAGATCGCACAAAATAATCAGGCCCGTCTTAGAGCATGTGCTAAGAGCATACGCAGTTCAACATCTCTTTAAGAGATGTTGATAATATATTTATTATTATTTTCTTTTAAGAGAGAGAGATTTGGTTATTAGTGGAGAAAGAGAGAGGAGAGAGTGAGAGATAGATTTTGTCACGTGGGACTTACAACCGGGGTGTAAGTTCACACCCTTATTTCGATTCTCAGACAACTTTTGCAATAAAACATATTATTTTATTACTTACACATGTGTATCGAGTACGCCATTGCGTATGACCTAACAATGCAAAAGCACTAGATCTTTTTTTATTTCTTTAGACAAAAAGACCCTACATTTTTATAAATTATTTTGAAAATGGTCCATAATTTTGAATTTTCATCTTACATATACATGATTTGAAATTTTCTTAGGAGTGGGCGCATATAATTTCGAGACTGCCTGGAAATAATACAAGAAAGGAATAATACGCTTAACATTAAATAAACGTAATTAATTAGTAAAATACTCTCTAATTCATTATAAGTTGAATTTAACTAAATTATACTCATATTTAAACCCACACGTATTCCAAAACGTATTTCACCTATGTATTCATCCTTTATAATATATAATTAAAATGTTTCAATGAAAATAAAAAGTTAAGAAGGCAGGACTAACAAGCGGACCAAAACTCGTCCTGCTAGATACGTCCAATGGTACACTTTAAAATGTTTAAACCGTGAAACCTCCGTGTCACCGTGTGTTAAGAAGCAGTCATAATCAGTCATAGACTCGTAGCTAAGATCGACTGATAAACATGTCAACATGAATAATTGCCGAAAACATCAATTATCTTTAGTAACCAAAAAATTATGAGATAGATAGCTAATGAGGTGAAAAAGGCAAGAAAAAAAAGGTTTGAGGTAATAAATGCAGTTTCCATTGACATTGGTAAATGGTAATGATTGTAGTTTCAAATGGGGTCCTTTTCTTAGCTGTCGTTCACAAACACACTCTCAATATTGTCTCTGCCACTAGCAAAATATTGTCTTCAAAGTCATTTTCCTTACCTTTATTATTACAGTGCAACATTAGTTTTTAGTGTTACATATTTGATTGGTAAATCAACCAGGGCCTCACATAAGTGTATGGGAGGGATCGGAGTCTAATTTAATTATAAAAAAGACAGCATATAAATATTGTTGGTGTTGATAACCAAATTTTTTTTTTTTTAAAAAAGACATTCATGCACATGAATACATGATATGACCTTATTTTTATTTTTAAAAATAGACCAAAAAACAAAATGAAACTGTTTTATTTAATAGCCAAAAATGTTGTCCGAATGCCCTTAATAATCTTGGACCATCCATAAAAAGAGGCACTGACAAATTGAACCGCTTTCTTATTTATTTATCAAATAGAAAGATTAAATTCGTCCTTAAACTATGCAAACATTTGAAACTGGACTTATTTTAAAACTCGTAGTCTCGTACTTTATAAAACTCGGTTAAAACCAAACTAAAACAAATAAACAACTACAATTATCAAACATGGCACATGTAGTTATAAACTGTTTTTCTTGTTTTATATAAACAGTCATCCACATTTGATCAAAACATGTATAGATAAATGCTTTGCTAAGATAACCCGACAGCTAAATCTAATTGCAATAAAATTATTAATTAAGAATCTTACCTTGTAAGAGTTTTAAGATTCGTTTCTCAATTATCATCATGTCAGTTCTCAATCCAACGAACCTTTTAAATATGATTTGTCTTTTCCATAAATACTGAAGACAACTAAAGTTATTGTTATCGTACACTTACATTTATTGAAACACCGATTACACTAGTACTAAAAAATAAAAATAATGCAGAAAAGAAGAAAATATCTAAAGAATTTGAAATTCAAACGTTTTCACTTCCCGAAGTATACATTAAAAGCTCTTAAACATTACCCAATAGTGTTGAAATAAACAAAAAGTGAGTGTGAAAATCAAGATTCATTCAAACACAAAAACAGTATAAAAGCATTATATATAATGTTACATTACTAAACCTAATTCTAATAATAAACGAGTTATTTCATCATTATCTTAGTGATTACCAACAAATCACCATCATTAACATTCATAATCATCTTCTTCTTCGTTTTAGTCGACAGAGTTAGGACCAGCACAAGCTTTCAAATTAGGGTTCCAAATCCATTGAACTAAAAACTTTCTTCCTCCTTTACCATTCATATTATAAGTCTTCCCTTCTCTATCTCTCATAACTTGACCAATATACCCTCCTCCTCCGCCGCTACCATACAATCCTTCACACAAATCACCAATCTCCGTCGGAGCCGTCGGATCTTCTCCGGCGTACCAAGCATTAATCAACGGATTCGATACAACTTCAGCTAACTCATGACCAATCACACTAACCATCCCATCTACACCAGTCTCTCCATTCGGTGGCCGGAGCTCTCCCGGACCACCGTGACCCATATAACCCGGTAATGCAAACGGATAAGCACAAACTTCGGGACATAGTTTTCCCGATTGACCAACCCAAGCGTAAGGCATAGTGTAACCAACCATCGACGGGAAAGTGAAGTAGTGAAAACCACAGACCGCGCGGCAAAAGTCTTGCATCGTGACGTCGTGTGACGTCAGAACTAGATACATTCCGTTTTTGTGATCCACCGGAAACGAAGCGGATCTCGCGGCGGAGGCGATAACGTCTTGGATCGTGAGACGAGTTAGGTGTTGGCCGTGGGAGTATTTCGAATCGGAGTATTCACCGGCGATTAAAACGGATCTAGATACGTTAGCTCCGGTTTGATCTGCGTAAAGAGAAGCGGTGCGCCACCATTCAGCGACGGAGGGAGAAGGAGCTTTAGCGTCGGAGATTGAATTGAGGAAATCTCTGATTAAGGATTTGTGTGGACGAGACCAACGTCCGTACCAGATAACGTAGATGTTGATCGGAGAAGAAGAGAGGACTGGTCCCATATGGTAACGGAGGTGGATTAGATTGGAAGATCCTTCGAATTTTTTGGAGGATGTGAGGGAGAGACTCCGCGGCGGAAGTTTAGGGTTTACTAGCTCGATCTCCGCCGCGGCGGAGGGGATGTTTAAGGAGTTGACGGTTGTTGTGTGTTTGTCGTTGTTGTTTTCGAGAGAAGAAGAGAGGAAGAAGGAGGAGGAGAGAGTGATGAAGTAGAAGAAGGAGGAGAGAGTCGCCGGAGACGACATTGTTATTGTGAAGAGTGAGGTTTTGTTGGTAAGTGAAGAAGAGAGAGATTTGGTGATTTAAAGAAGAAAGGAGAGATTTTGGAGAAGAAAGGAATGAGAGGGAAATTGGCTGTTGCCAGCTGCTGTGAGCGTGGGCTTCACGCGCTAGCCTTGTTGTTGTTTGTCTGTCTTCTTATTAGGGATGACATAAATATGGGATGGGATTGATTTTTTTTTTTTTTTTTTAATTCCAAGTCCTATACAGAATTAAAGAAAATAAAAGGTATTTAAAAATTTAAATAATAATTTTGAACTTCAAGCGTAATTGTTGAAATAAAATTATAAAATAATACAGTATATTTTGTATGAAATGAAAATCTGATAAATTAGAAATGATAGTATATTGAAGTATTATATGTTAGAGTTTAATCGAAAATTTGATAGTCAAATCCAATATTTGTATTGATTAGAATCGATTATGAATAAAGAAAATAACATTATTATTGTTGGTTTTTTTCATTAAATCATTTTTTGTATTTGATGTTTATGACTTGTATGTATATCATTAACAATATTCAAAAGGCTGGAACAAAATTTGTTATTAAATGTTAATAGTTTAACTGGTAAAAATTTTTAGACAATCGGTTCGAGTTTTATTTAGAAAAAATCATATAAAATATTACGGTCTTTGGTCTGAAAAAATGTATGAACGTAGATATAGAACCTCTTTGTTATTCAAAAAAAAAAATTGTTATTACATAAGTATTTTTTTTATTATGAATAGTGACTCATGATTTGGGTATACGAGATAACTAAAGTATTCTATCGGCATTGAATGAAAAGGATGATAATGGATATTTTGTTACATGTATCTGAACCGAATGCTTAGTTAATTCTCGGATGTCTAATTATTCATGAAAAAAATGATGCCATTATTTTAAATCTTTGGTTTAGCTTGAATAGCCAAAAAAAAGAAATATCTACTCCCCTTTACTCTTTTCGAATTTGAATATCTAAGTCAATGCAAATATTGGCTCTCTTTTTCTATATGTCCTTCTTTTTGTCACTGACTATATTAAATTAAAGGCAAATTTTATTGAGATCTGTGGATGGGGAAAATATCTTAAGGTTTTATTGAAACTTTTGTGTCTTAAATCTTAATGCATGTCTTTTATCTTTATTTACACATTTGAGTTTGGGTTTTTGTTTTCTTCTAAAGCTAAATCACATGTTTGTCAGTGTCTTTGCTAAATAATGAAGAAACAGTAATAAATATAAAATTTACTGTACTTTTCTTTTTTTGGTTGTAAGAAGAGGGGAGACAATAATAGCATTAGAATTTAGAATATGAATTTTTTTTATCGTCGTATACTCGTATTAAAACCAAATGAAATAGTAATATGACGATAATTTATGCTTTGTTCTAAAAAATAATTTAGCTCTCTCTCTCTCCCTTTTTTTTGTTTAATTTGTATATGATTTTTTTGATATAAAGATACTGTATGTCTGTATCACTGTATGTATTGACATAACAAGTTATCATTTCAAAGAGATTTAGATTTATCTTATTATAATTTTTTGAAGAAACAGAAATAACTAAAAACTTTGAATCAAGCAAAAATTAAAAAGTTCTTATTGCTATTAGCCTATTATTAGTTTGGTTTCGAAAATCGATTAAATTGTTGTTTTTTCTTGAAATAAAGTGACAAATGCCAACATTAATTTTAGACCATAGATTTATGTTGGTAATAATTTAGCCTTTTTGAATGGTGGTCCATAATTATGTACAGTTCTCTTGCTACATTCGAATCTTATTACATGTATAAAAGTATACACATATGCAAATGTATGTATTTAATCGGAAATTGGCACACGATTTTAGATATTTCTCCATTGCCAACTGTGTAAGATGTTGGGATACGTAGGCCAGCTCTACTTATTAGCTGAGTTCCCAACTAAAGTGCCACATACACTCGATGTTAGTAACTTGTGTAAGTATATAAGAGCACCTCCAATGGGAGGTTGTCTCAAAAAAAATTAAGGGTTCTCTTGAATAATTGGACCAAAAATAATTCAAAAGGAGGAAAATAGAAGAGAGTTGGTTCTCTTCA